GTTTCAGTTGGCAACCGGCTCTTCAGCAACTGTTTGGTATTTTGTCTGTAGTTCGAAACTTTACTTTGTCGGAAAAAAAAAAAAGATGAAAAAAAGTCTGAAATACATTTGTAAAAATCCAGCCGTTTGATCGTTTCCTGATAGACGCTGCAGAAAAAAATCGTTTCGAAAGCTTCTTCAGTGTTTGCATCCAAATGTGACTGTGCTGAGCCTTTCCACCCCCCCACTCCCAGATCTTTCTTCACATCCAAGTTCCTGCTGTCTTTTTATCCTAAACAGACTCCCATCAACAGAGCGGTCCCTTTGACTTTATTTTGAGGCAAATTGTGTTTTTTGCCATGGCTTAGCTTCTTCTTCTGTAGCCACAGGCACATAATATATCAACATATCAGCCAAAAGTGATGTCAAATCTGGTTATTTGGACAGTACATATCAGTTCAGTAAATGCTGCAAAATTTTAAGTCTAACGTATTTATGGTAAATAAAAATTTAAAACCAACTCATAAATATAGATAAAGTAGGTAATGAAGAGGCAGTCATTGTTTGGAGATATTAAGCATGTGATTTCAAAAGTCAGCTAAAATTAATTACAGTTTTTGTTCCCTTATATATGACTGTAATTTCTGTTTTGTTTTGTTTTTATTCGACTTGTTTGTAAATATGTATTTTGGAGATATGTCACTGTGTTTGTTTTTGAATTGAATAATTTATTTAATGCCCATATATTATTGTTTCTACATGCCTGATTATGTTGTACTAACGAAATCAAGGGGATGAAAACAATGTATCGACTCTTTTCTTATTCATGTTATTCTTTTCGTTAATGTTATGCTGTTTCTGCTTTGGGTGATGGTTTTTACAACAAAAAAATTGATATTCATTTACTCGTATTTACTGATATGTAACATATGTTTGACCGTGTTGTATTTGATCAGATGTTTTGTGGTCACTTGCTAGTAAAGCTTTTTTCTTTTTTTTTTCTTTTTTTCAGAGAGTTTCCAAATCATGACAAAAGATATAAGCAGTCACAGATGTCATCTTTTTTATTTTATTTTATTTTTTATTTCACATTTAAGGAATAACAGGTGATTTAAAGATTTGGTCTTATCTGTTCAGGAAATGTTGACCCCTAATTTCTAGATTCTTTGTAGACTTAACACAGAGCCCCAGAGTATTCACTTTTAAACTTTTTTTTTTTTTATCAAAAGACACACCAGTGTTGAAACTACGTTGGACAGTTGTTAAACAGATAACTCTACAGGTACTAGCAGACACAACCATTTAGATTCAGCTAGCTGGAGTAAAAAGGGGAGAACAGAAACAAAAGTTTGAACCCTAAAAATAAGTTTTGACCAATCAGAAGAGAGTGTACAACTGAGGAGAAGGCACCTCTGAAGGGGCAGCCACCTAAATGGCTAGCGTCAGACGGTGGATTTAAATGCTACTAGACGAAGCTAAATAGGCCTAATCCTCCACTGTGAATGATGCTACGTTACGTTAGCATGACGAACAAAAGTCCTGTATTTTAATGAAGTAAAACTAAACTAAATGTGATGTCAAGTTACTAGCTAAAATGCTAACATAATGTGTTTTTTTCTTTGCCAGTCATACTGAAATTAAATTTAACAGACTGAGACCAAATATAGCCATTAAACAGTGCGTTTGCTAATGTGGCAGTTCTTGTAAAAAAAAATATTATTGAAGAACTTTATAGTATTTTAATCCCCCAATGAGCTGTGTTACGTTTCTGCCTTCATTTGGTATTTTAACGTTTTAATAAATAACTTAAGTCCACGTGTGCAGTTATAGCTAGGAGAAATCCTTTTGAGGGCTGGATAGAGTAGAGTAAGTACTGAAGAATAGGGTCAGGGGGGGTTATAGCTGTTGCAGAGAGAGGGGGAAAAAAACTGAAGAAGCAGGTTTATGTGGTGGGGTGTACACGATGTGAAGTCCGCAGTTGCCGCTTTGTGTAAACACGGAAATTATTTCCTTTTAGTTGCCCCACATTGTTATGAATGTGGCACGAGTCTTGCACAAGAATGCTGTTAGTGGCAAGTTTGGTTTGGTTCCGTTGGGAATGATGAATGTCTATTTTTTAGTTTAAGCTTTTTAACCATGTTATTACGCTTACTTTTGAATTGAGCTGTATAGCAAATTAAACATTTGTTTTGGGGTCTTTTTGTCTTCAAATTGTGTGGAAACAAAGTTTACATTTCATGCACAGAGAAGCAAGCTTTCCAGTGAAGGTGCCACACAGTTGGGGGTGAATGGACTCGTCATCCAGGTCAAACTTGGCCTGTTTTTTTTTTCTTTTTATCTAGAGGTGAATTCCCATAATAATCTCCATTTCCACTAGATTTTTGTGGACGGGGCGGACGCATGTGTTTTGCGGCGGCAGAGATTAGGCGGCGTTTTGGACGTGATCCGTTTGCAGTGCTCTCATTCTCCTAACCGTTGTGGTGTGATTAGCACTGTGGGAGGAGGTTTAGGTTTTTAGGCTAAAACCAATATTTTAGTGGTAGTAAGAGAGTTAGGAACTACTATTAATTTGAGTTAGAATTGGATTTATGGTTTAAAGAGGGGTTTTTATTCTTTGTTTTTTTAAGAGATAGCACTTGAAAAGTCGTCACGGTCCTTCTGTTGAGGATACTTATACATTGATAGACTGTTCCAGAATACATTTATCTTTCTCCGGTTTGAAATTCAGTTCTTTTGTTTGTTTGTTTTTCTCATTTTCACTTTACTGTTAGTGACACTGAAAAGGGAGCGCACAAATTCAGACGTGAACTCTGGGGCCCTTTGATTTGCCCCGTGTGTCAACCCTGTGAAATAGTCAGTGGGGTGTTTTCGTGCACGTTCTGCTCCTCCTCCGTTACTTTGTGAAGCACATCACTTTCAAATGGTGTAACAAGTGGCAGGTGTTGTTTTTCTATGAAAGAGTCAATCCGGTCCGTTGTGTTTGTCAAGACTTAACACTCTGAAGTAAACGCGTTCGTTTCGATGTGCAGTTCTTCGATGTCGTCCACAAAGTTGAGTTTGGTAAGAGACAATAAAGCAACCGGTTCAGTCGCAGTGACAGGCGGACTGGATTTGGCAATGTAGTACACTTTGCTTAGCAGACGGACCGAGGAGTGCTATTACATCCATTGTATTTTCACATTAACCTCCCACCATAACCCTGTTAGATGCCATAGGCTCAATGCTGTTAGAAACCTTCTCGCTAAGGTTTCTCTTCATGGGGCAAAAACAAGTACTTCAGGGTGATTTTTTGCAGCAGACTACGAGGGAGCGAGCATAAAAATGTGGCTTTTTGTCATGATTTAAGAGACTGACTGAAATTATGCCATTTTGTCATTGTGCTAAAATGAATATAAATATTCTATATTAAAATATATTTGCTAACCAACACGGTTGTGTTTCTTTTCCCCTTTAAAACTAGAAAAGGTTCTGAATCTTTCAAGGTACATCCGCCCTTTGTTTTTTTTCCCACGAGGTTCAAGATCTGGTTCGCAGTAAAGTTTTCAGAGCAAAGTCAGTGGCGCAGCTCCATCACCGTGACCGCACCCCCTGGATTCCACGGTTACCATGATACCTCCTCAGCTCAGCTCCTCAAGAGTATATAGGCGGAGAAGTTCGTGGCCCATTTACAAGTCCTTGGAATTTAAAACGAAGCCAAGTCAGCCGCCTTCTACTACAGCTAGCTTTACACCTGGAAGGAGGTATTTATAAAGTCAGCCACATGCCTCTGTTTTTTTTCTACCTCACTGTACTCTATTGACGTGAACTTTCTTCCCTCTCAGGATGTCATGTACCTCTGTATGTACTTATGTATGGAACCACACTGGATAGGTTTTTTATAGAGATTAATGGAAAGATGCCCCATAACATGACTACACTGGCCACAACAACAAACCTCTGAAAACAACACACGATAAAATATTTTCCTCTATAAAAAAGATACTACTCATTACATATAATCCATACAGTTTAATTTTATGCCGTAGGTTACTTTTCAATACAATCGTGACATTTGTGATTAGTAGCAAAGGAAAGAGAGCTGTGATGTAAAGACGCTGGAATTTGTTCTGCTAATATGATCAAATCTAAACATGTTTTAACTCACCCTAAACTAAGATAAGCTGACTCACAAACCTGTTTAACAAGTTTCGATTTCGTTGATATGCTTCTCTCACTATCAGATGAAGAGTTAGTTTTTAGGATTTAAACTGATAGATACAGACATCAGATATTTTCACACAAGTAGGAACATTAATGTTCTCTGGAATACATATTGGGGATTAATCTGCAGTTCAGAAACTTCAAATCTTTCTACATTACAGCCTGGAGTGTTCTACGCCCATCCCATTACAAATGGGCCCGCCTTAGGTGTATCGTTTCATTTGTGGTTTGCATATGTCAGTGTCGCAGTCAGATGGAACACGCTTCAACGTTTCCCGAAAAGAAAAGGTAAGAAAAATTACATTCTGTGTGTTTTATGTCTGCTACCCCTTTAGGGAATAAGTGGTAACAATAGTGGCTGGATGGATGTGTTTTATTTGCTGTGCTTTATGTAGATTGTCTATGGCTCTCTGTATTAAGAAACTGCTGTGCCTACTCGACCTCTGAACCAAGCTCCTCGTAAAGATAGCCGGATTGAAATTTATGAGGTATAGAGTAGGAACAAGAGATGAATGCACACCTTTACTTCATGCTGTTTTTATGTAGCTTTATTCTGGAACCTGAAGTTTTTCATCACGATTACACGACCCATTTCTTGTTGCTCCCGATAAATCAAAGTTAAGAGATCACACAGCAGTCACTCCTCATTGGTCCTTTTCAAGTATTCTGGTGGGGCTTTGAGGTGTGGTTCTGCTCATTCATTTAGATGACCATTAAAATCAAACAGGTGGAGCAAATTTTTAAGGAACGGGTTGATATTTCACTTATTTTGTTTTCATCAGAAAGGAGACAGATAGGTTTCCAGCTAGTGAGTAGAAAAAAAGACTTGCCCAGAGCAAGTGAAAACAACAGGAAAGTTTCTATGCGATCAAATCAGCAAATCAGTGAAGTAAATCCAACGTCAACATGTTCATAATGCTTTGCAAATACTTGCAAGTTGTGGTACAAATGACGTCACGGAACACAAAGCCAAAGATATATCCCGGGGTATTGAACAATTAGGCTTGTGCAATTCATTTGTGAATTGACTTGAATTGTCTTTTTCCAACCGGTAACATCAAATGAATACCTTTTTGCATACGGGTATTTATAGTGTGTGGTGAAAGGGTGAGGTGCTGTCTCTGTTTAAAACACCTCTACCCAGTGTAAGAAAACCAGTGCTTCCTGGTTAAAAGTAAATTTCTTACTTCTGTAGGTTAACAGAAGGTATCAGAATGGCCAGAAGACCAGTTTTTTCCAGTGCCACAGATGAACAGATGTATGCCGACGAAACCACAGATTCACCATTGGACATTGTTTGTGCAAATCAGTTCGAAGGACTTGAAATAGAACAAAACATTGCAGAACAAATGGAGGAGGATTTTTATAGAGGAGCCCCACCCGTTTGGTTGAACTTTCATGTTAGCGAAGAGGCTGAAAGAGATGGCTCTGGATCTTCTTTTGTCAAAAGAGACGGATACGAGAGACTTTTACAACAAATCAACAAGAAATGGAAAGGCCAAGGAACATCAGTCGTTACACTGTTTCACCAACAAGGCAGTGGGGGGACCACACTGGCCATGCAGGTGTTATGGAACTTGAGAAAAACGTTCCGATGTGCCGTGCTGACGGACTTAACGACAGACATTATGAAAGTTGCAAAGGAAGTGGTTCACCTTTTCAAAGCAGGGACTCGGAACATCCTTAAAACTGTCCTGCTGTTATTGGACGATACCTTCAATTTGAACCAACTCCAAGACATCATAATGGAAGAGGTTACCGAGCAGAAGCTGGACGTCGATACGCCTGTGGTAATTTTACTCAGCTGTGTGAGAACAGATCGCGCCATCCCTGACAAGGGTCGTTCTGACAGAGAAACGCAGGGATTCAACATGATTGACGAAAAGGATGTAGTCCTGAAAAGGAACCTCTCAGATGCAGAAAAGTTACAGTTTGATGCCAAAAAGAAAGAGCTCAGCACAAAGTATGGGGATAAAGTCAAGCAGTTCCATGGTTTTAACATCCTTCAAAGTAATTTCTCGTGGGAATATGTCCGGGAAGTGTGTGCTATCTTTGCAAAAATGGAAAGGAAAAAAAAGCCATTGAAGAGCCAGCTTGCTACTTTCCTATCCCTGCTAAATGCTTATGTACCTGGTTCATATCTGCTGGAGTCGCACTGCCTGGACTTCCTCAGACATGAGGATGATGATGATGACCATGATGTCCTGCCACTGTTGGAGCAAATGCAGCCTTTTAGCCATCTAATCATCACCTTAGAGCACAAAGAAAGAGATGACAGAAAGGTCCGGATGGCTCACCCTTTAATCGCAAAGGGTTGCACCCAACTGTTGGCCGATGGAGGTATACCCAGAAGCGACACAGCCAGAAACTTCCTGTTGAAGTTTTGCAGAGATGATCTATCCCCATGTTTACTCAGTTTCATCACGCACATGCTGACCAAAAGAGAAATAAAGAGGGACGAGAGTACTGGTGATAAAGATGGGTACAATCCCAGATCAATGGATGAAAATGAGAGGCTGGAGAAGTTTTCCACTCTGATATTACATATCTCTAAAATGGAGGACAAAAGCGAGAGTGCCTCAGTTCTAAAAGTTGCATCAAAAGTATTTGCAAATAATGCTCTGTTTCCTCAGGCACTTTCTCGTTTTTATTACGGAGAGCTAAAAAACTACCACGAGGGTGAAATTTGGGCAAAAATGGCAAAGGAGCGAGATCCAAAGAAGTCGTTCATTGCCGATACCCTCGGTCAAGTTCACAAGAATCATTTGAAGAGCAAGACATGTCCTGCTGAACCTAGGGAAATTTTGCATTTGGCCCGAAAGGCCATTGAGGCATTTGAAGAGGAAGAACAACTTGCGAGATCTGAGCATTGGAAGAACATGCGAGAAGATGGAAAGAACAGAAACCTGCGTGACTTAAACATCAGAGGACAGTTCGGTTTCCTGCAGGTTTGTAACATCCTGTACGACCAACTTGTTAGTAACAATGAAACTTGGAGAGAGGTTCTCACTGGGAAAGTGTCCATGGGCTCTGTCCTGAAAACACTTGGAGACAGAAAACTCTTCGGATTCAATTATCTAATTACAAGACTCAGAGTAAGGGTTGAGGAAAAATTTGAATTTCTGGATACTTTCCTAACTTATTCAGAGTCTGTAATGAAAAAGGACAGAACATACGCGAGCAAGGAGGCTGCAGAATGCTACCGAAAGTATGTCGGAGGCACCATTCCTAAACACAAAGAAAAACATGAAGAAAATGTCCAAAAACTCAAACAAAAACTGGCTTTCACCTCCGCTGGAATACTGTCCTGTCTTGACGGGAGATGCACAACATCGGATGTTAGAGAAATCGTCAAATGGTGGGAAGAAATCTGTCACGGCACGAATTTCAAGGTGTGTCATTTTGTCAACTTCGTCCTTGCTAAGATCATGCTGAAAAACTTGAACGAGCAACTGCCCAGTTTTGATGATAAAGGCGCTTTAAGACAGAAAAAACTTCCATCCTCTGATGAGCAGACTGAGTATCACATGTTAGCCCTGCTCCTATTTTGGCCAACAGATTATGAAAAAGAGCCCGTCTCTGACCTCCATCAGTTAATCAACCACATCAAGAGCTCTTACACACAAGAATACAAGACCGTGTTTGGATCAAGATACCTCCGACCTCTGTTTTTTATCGGACCGGGCAAGGAGCTGAGCAGATTTGTTCACAGACGAATCCTTGAGATTAAGTGGACTCAAGACGCTCTCCAAGATCCAAAGGTTAACTGGAGGAGTGAGATCATTTTCAAAGATCCCGTAGTCCAAGACCAGCTTCTCAAAGTCAAAGGGGTGGTACGGGATTACAGACTGTACGCAACATTTGGCTCCACAGAAATTGAGGTCAAGGCAAACCGAAGTGACGGCCTCTGGAAATCAGGCGACGTGTCCTTTTACCTGGGATTCAACATCAATGGTCCTATAGCCTTCAACATTCAGAGGAGATTTCCAATCTCTGTGGGTAAGACCATAAACTAAAACCCCACCTTAGAAAAATACATACAGAGTAATTACATTTAAAATTACTATCTGTACTCTCTTCTTTCAAATTAACATAATAGTTTGAAAAATACATACATATATAAACATAGAAACTAAATTGTTCCAAAAAGATTGGCAGGATTAGATTAACATAAGTGTGGGATTCCTCCACAATTAACCCAGTGTTAGTATTTATTTAAATGTTTCATGCCATACATTTATAATTTCATTTGTTTGTGTGCTTATTGTTTTAGGTTGTTTACTATTATGGGTGCACACATTTAGTAAGCGCCTTTGTTCGGTAATTATTAATTATATGTTTGCTGAGTTAAAGGGCTGGCTGGGAAAGAGGACTGATGGAGAGATGAACCAGGAAGTGGAACAAACCATCAGGCTGCTGGAAGCAGGGGACCTGATGTTAAAAGAACTTTCCTCTTTCTAGTTATAGCATAAGTCCTTAAATATTTTGATGTTAGGTTTGATTTGTGTTTGTTATGGTGTTGTAGTTAAAATATGTTGGTTTAAATGAATTGTTTATTTTTATACACTGTTTGTCGTTGCCTCATCTCCCGCCCCTTCTTGTGTGTGTAGGCTAGCCTTTGTGTTTAAATTCCCCTGTGTGTTCATTGTGGGGAGTCAGTTGTTGGTTTGTTATCCTGAGCTAGGTATGCTTTAGTTGTTTTCTTTTGGGCCCATTTTTGTCATATTTTGGAATTTGATGTTCTTTTTTTGGAAGAATAATAGGAAAATAAATGGCATTCATTTGTTTATGCCTTTGTCCCTGTGGTTTACTGGACGGACCGTAACAATAAGCAATTGTAATTTTAATGTGTAATATGAAGCTGATTGAGGTAAATAAACTATCAAATCTGGACTAAAAGGATACCTGAAGTTCCTAATTAACACTGTTCCACAAGTGAAGACCATAAAAACTAAAAGATACTTCATGTGTTTTATTCTCCACTTAAGAGACAAATATGTCAAGCCCGGTATGACCTTAGGGCTCTGGGAGGCTGATTTTTACTTTGAACTAAGATTATTAACCGCTGAAATCAATTAAGAAAGACGCTGGGCCTGTTTGTGAGAACTTGCTGAGCAAGCCGCTTAATTTCCAAAGAACAATGAGATGAAGAACAGGTTTGATATTTGGACCAAACAAGCTTTGTGGGTGTGACCTCAGACCATTAAATACAGCCGTCCCCAAGTAGCGCTTCAATAGGTCAGACAAAAGAAGTGATTCTAAAAAACTTTCTTTCCCCCCCATCATCAGCAACTGGATTTTTAAATCAAGAAGTCTGTTTTTTATTTAGGTAGGACTGTGCCATCATAGGAATAGTTCCATTATAATTATGATCAGTAATGTTTACCATTGTGTCTGTGCTACCGTAGGACCTTCAGGAAAGTTGCAGCTTGGAGAACGAGCTATCGTGAGTTTTTGTTAGCTTAACTTGTTTTTATCCGTGCGAGTCAGTGATTCAACATTTATGGCTTCTGGAATCTTCAGGAACCTTCTCTTTGGTCAAAATGCACACCAGAGGTCAAGACAGGGGATAGGCTGGAAATGTACAGGTCAGTAAAACAGAAGGTGGGTGAGGAAAAACGGCCTCATGTTCTCACAGAGGAGCAGACTTGCGGTCTGACGGAGGGTTCTTTGAATGTGCCGTGTCCGCCCTGCGCTGGGTTTCCAAAGAGCCCATCAGCTTGGGGTACCGGTTCTGCTCTTGGGAGGAACACACAGAGAAGTCGGTATGCATGGGTCTCATGCCTGCCGGACCCCTGCTTGACATTTCGGTCACGAGCGGAAAGCTGGAGGAGATGCATCTGCCACACTGGATAGGTGAGCAAGCATACCCTCTATTCCAGGGATCCCCAAAGTCGGTCCCAGAGGGCCGCTGTCCTGCAGGTTTCAGAAGTTTCCCTGCTTCAACACAGCTGCATCTGGCCAGGGTGCCCTAATCAGGATTATGCAGAGCCTTTGAACTGATCCACGTAATCAGAATCAGGTGTGAAGCAGGGAAACCTCTGAAACCTGCAGGATACCGGTCCTCGAGGACCGGAGTTGGAGACCCATGCTGTATTCCAATATTTGAATAGAGGGTGGACTTGAGTTGGCACACCTATGTGAACACACTATATTACATTCTTGTATATATACATATATACGAGTGTGTATATGTACATACATATCTACATTTGTTTTTATGTATATATATTTGGAAGTATACATATACATATTTTGTTGGTCTGTAAATTATATTTAAATGGACGTTTTGATTCACCCCTTTTTTTGTGCCATCAATAGTACTGAGACATACAGAATCTTAAGAAAGTTTCTTTTGGTTTCGTTTTCTTCCTTTCAGACACTGAATGTACCACTCCAGACATGTTTGTGGTTCTACACGTGGAGGCTTGTGGAGAGGCTGTGCAGCAAGTGTCCGACGTGACGTCATCCCACGTCAAGTTACTCCAACCAGCCTTCTCTCCAAATGGGGTTATGTTGCGGAAGAGACTGGGCTTGCCGGTGAAGGTTTACTGCGATGTGATGCTATTCAAGACGAAACTGGAATTCCTCACGCTGCACTTCTACCTGGTCCCCCCGGACCAACACTTAAAACAGGTGATTTAGGGGGCATTTGTTTTGCAAGCATTTCATTTGTGCTTTGGGTGTGCATTTTCTGAGCCAAAGGAATGTTTGCGTCTCTGGAACACACAGAGAGTCGAGAGTGATGAGTCACGTCATCAATCACTCCTCATCCGTAAACCAAGCCCGTACAAGTCTCTGCAACTGAAGGATCACTTCTTCTTGACATGTGACACAGACATTGCTGAAATTCAGCCAAAAGTAAGGTCGTCTTCATCCTGTGGTGCAGTTCTGAATACAGAAAGGTTAGAGGAGCGAATCTAACATTTGAAAGCAGTAAAGGGGACGTCTGTCTGTATGTATCTGTGCATTTTGCTAACCATGCGTAAGTCTACAATCCAGTAAATTTCTCCACAGAGCTTGAAGGTAAAATACAAAAGCAATACGTTCTTGGAGGTGTTCATCAGAAATGCATGTGATGACTTCAGCTTGACACTCAGGACAGGGGAGAGAAACGATACAGAGGAAGTCTGGAAATGTACCATTCGAAAAGGTCAGTGGCCCCTGATATTACAATGAAGCTGCAGGAAAAAGTCCCTTATCAATCACGCTTTTAAAAAAATTTTAAGATAAGCATTTGTTTTCTAAAATGCCGGGGGGAGAAATAAAGCATGTTCATACAAACTCATCATGGTTTGTGCTTTTCTTCCACTTTAGGAGACTTCCTGAATCCAAGCATGGGCCATTCCAAAGGTGAAATACTTTTTTATATTAACATATTTATTTTTTTACATGATCGTTTTATATAACTGCCACTATAACAGTGGCTCTGGCACTGTTTGATCCTTTTATTTATTACTTCTTGTTGAAGAACTTTAACCCTCTACCACTTCCACCATTGACAGTTTCTCTCCCCTGCTTCAGATCGGCATTTTGTGGATCTCCATCACACAGATCTGGTCAACGGAGTCAGAGACACACGGCACGTCCTGGACAAGCTCCTGGAACTGGAGGTGATCCGCCAAGAAACCTATGACAAGATCTCAGCCAAGACCACTAAGCAAGACCAGATGAGGGCAATTTTAACCCATGTGAAGTCGTCCGGCACTGATGCAAAGGACCGTTTCTTAGAAATCCTTACAGGGATGAAAAACCTGAGGTCTCTCCTCTCTAGCCTTGAAGAATGTTGACACACTAGTTAAGAAGGCATGAGGTGTTATTTGATAGGTAGAAGATTTTTAAAAATGCTGGCAGGGATGAGCAGAACCGTTTGACAAGGAATTCTTCTACTTCCTGTTGGGGTGGAGCCAGGCCCAGGGGCGGGGCACGATGGCGAGCGCCATGGATGTTGTGGAGCTGCGTTGGGTAACGCGACTCTGAAACATCCCGTGGACATCAGGGGCAGTTCCGCTGGATTGGCAGACTGGGGTGGTGGTCCCCCTATTTAAAACGGAGGACCGAAGGGTGTGTTCCAACTACAGGGGGATCACACTCTTAAGCCTCCCTGGGAAGGTATATTCAGCGGTTCTGGAGAGGAGGGTCCATCGGATAGTCGAGCCTCGGATCAAGGAGGAGCAGTGTGGTTTTCGTCCTGGCCCTGGAACGCTGGACCAGCTCTATACCCTCAGCGGGGTCCTGGAGGGTGCATTGGAGTTCGCTCAACCAGTCCACATGTGTTTTGTGGACTTGAAGAAGGCGTTCGACCGTGTCCCTCGGGGTATCCTGTGGGGGGTGCTCCGGGAGTATGGGGTACCTGGCCCTTTGTTACGGGCTGTTCGGTCCCTGTGCGACCGGAGTCAGAGTTTGGCTGGAGCGTTTTGCAGCCGAGTGCGAAGCGGCTGGGATGAGGATCAGTGCATCCAAGTCCGAGACCATGGTCTCTCACCGGAAAAGGGTTGAGTGCATTCTCCGGGTCGGAGTGGACGTCCTTCCCCAAGTGGAGGAGCTCAAGTACCTCGGGGTCTTGTTCGCGAACGGGGGTAGGGAGCGTGAGATCGATAGGCGGATCGGTGCAGCGTCTGCAGTAATGCGGGCGCTGTACCGGTCTGTCATGATGAAGAGAGAGCTGAGCCTAAAGGCGAAGCTGTAAAATTATCGGTCGATCTACGTTCCCACCCTCGTCTATGGCCACGAACTTTGGGTAGTGACCGAAAGAACGAGATCGCCGATACAAGCGGCCGAAATTAGTTTCCTCCGCAGGGTGGCTGGGCTCTCCCTTAGAGATAGGGTGAGAAGCTCGGCCATCCGGGAGGGGCTCAGAGTAGAGCCGCTGCTCCTCCACGTGGAGAGGAGCCAGTTGAGGTGGCTCGGGCATCTGATCAGGATGCCTCCTGGTCGCCTCCCTGGGGAGGTGTTCCGGGCTCGTACCACCGGGAGAAGGCCCAGAGGAAGACCCAGGACACGCTGGAGGGACTATGTGTCCCAGCTGGCCTGGGAATGCCTTGGGATCCCCCCGGAGGAGCTGGTGGAAGGGGCCGGGGAGAGGGAAGTCTGGGTCTCCCTGCTTCGGCTGCTGCCCCCGCGACCCGACCCCGGATAAGCGGAGGATAATGGATGGATGGATATTTAACCTGGGTGGTACAATCAAATAGAAATAAAGGGCAGTTGGACCTCTTGCGTTTGTAATTGTCATAAAGGTTTCTCCTGCTGAATGGATGCTGAATGAATTCATTCGAGAACATTGTGCGTCTGTGTATTCACATCAGACCGTCAACAATAAAACAATAAATCAATTCAAATTCTTCATCCTGGGATCAAAAGAGTCTAATGATTGTTTCACCCTTCCCTTTTGACCAAGGACTTCGAGGCTCCAGGCCCTCCCCCGCAATTAAGTGGCTATTGAAACTGGACAGGGACTTCATACTCAGTGGACAGTAATAATGTTGGTTTAAACATATTTTTTTAGCACAAATGAAACCCAACACAAAGTCGTATATCTTTCAGTTTATTTTGGCAGACAGCTTAAGGGCACAGGTGTCCCACTCCCCAACTCCAGTCCCCGAGGGCTGCTGTTGTCTAGGTTTTGGGTGTCGCACCGCTTCACATCAGACACCAGACTCACATCAGGGTGGCATCAGCAGGCTTGTAATAGCATCTTTAATATATCCCTTCCATCCGATTCAGGTGTGTCAACGCAGGGAAGCAACATAAACCTGCAGGACAGAAGCCCTTGAGGACCAGAGCTCGACACCTGTAAAAGGCTTTAGAGATTATGGGCTAGCTTTTGCATGAAATCAGATATTTAGGAACCAGTTCAAAAGCCTTGTGAAAATCCAAGAAACATGTTCAAGTGACTTTTCTCTTAATACATTTCGACATCCTGGGATTTTACATTGATTAAAGTGTGAATAGAATATGCAGATTTTGGAAGCATGGCTTTAGGTAGTTCCAACCACAATCAGACTTATGGGAAATCGGAGGCATGTGAAAACTCCATTTTGCCCTTTTGGATTACAGGATTAGCTCGAAAAGAACCCTTCAGATCAACCTTTTAAACCCCCAAAAGACTCCCACAACCTCCAAGACAGCGTTCAACCTTCCACATCCTTTTTAAGTGTTTTGAAATATTTGTCCGTTTTGTTTTGTTAATTTGACGCAAAATGTGTTCTGATCATCATGAAATCAGTGGCAAGAATTCCCAAGCTTTCCTGTCACGGAAAGGCTGAATGGCAGACAGTGCTGACTTTTCGTTCCCGTCATCCTCCGTGTGCTTCGAGTGAAAGGCGGGTTTGGGAGGAAAGGGAGCGGGTACGGTAGGCAGGGGGTCAGCGAGCTGTGGGAACAGAAGGGTGACGACGCTCGTGATGCGATGAGTCGTCTGCTCTAGCTCAGGGGTTCCCTGGAACAGAGAGACGGTCGCAGAGGAGGAGAGAGAGGACGAGCAGAGATAAAGCTGAGGGGATCAGGGGGAACCGGGCTCTTGGGATGCCTGCACTGCTCCGGGACGAGCTGGATTTGGTGCCTCGCTGCCGCTGAGAGACTGGTGAGTGAAGTTCTTCAAATATTGAGCACGTTTTAAGAACCCCGTCTGCAGGATGGCTGCCAATCATTGACTCTCTTTGTAAAGGCTGCTGCACATATTTGCTCAAAGTAATGCACTTTAGAGGACCATTTGAATGTTTTCCGCCCGTTTCAGTCATTTCTCGATCTGCTGAGGGTGAGTTTATTTTCATTTTAGACGACTTTGATCAGTGTCTGTGGTTTGGGATTTGTATTTTGTATATGTTAGTGTAAAGGAATGCAGGCACAAAGAGGAATTCAATTGGAAAGGTGCTCAATGTGAAGGAGTGGGAGTGTTTACCCACAGATGGCTTCTCTGTGGTGGGATTGTGATTGTCCATGGTCCCCCCTCCTGAGTCCAGCTGGCAGCGCTCATGCGGGCTTCATCCCAGCCAAACCATTACTTCATCCCCAATTTTGAACCTCAGCATAATCGGATTTCTATTAATATGCCCACCTTTTTTTCTCAGCCCTGAATCAGTGTGGTCTGCTGTTGATTGCAGTCAAAAAGCATTGTAGGTTAAACTGATTCCTATATATTCACCATTTTGACTGGCGGAGTGTGATTTTTATTCGACAATTCTTTTTTAAAACACATGGCATTTGACTTGTCTGCTTTCTACATTGACAATAGATTGATAAGAAAATCCTGATCTGAACGAAAGAAGGCCCAAAGTGCTTTGGTTCCTGTATATGTGGTGAAAGATCTACAAAAACAATAAGGAATATAGCATATTATTAGAAGAGCTGTTATATGTATTCTTTACGTCTGTCGTCATTAGGGAAAATAGCAGAAAACCATACACACGATGGAAGTTTGACTGACCGAATACACCGAGTGAGGGTATTGCGAGCTTAGTTTCCCAGTGTTTTGGAATCTGGAGAATTGTTTGATTTGTTTCATACAAATTTTCAGAGCGAGTTTGTGTCATGTGATCAACAGGCTTGGAGCTACTGCTGAACTACCTTGCACTTCTCGGTCGATGACCGGTTGTCTCATGGTCATTTCTGCTGCGGCCTGAAGTCCCGAATCCCCATACACGGACCTGCTGTTGGCCAGCATGGGTAGCCGCCATCTTGATGTCAAATAGTCATTTTTACCAGAGAAATCGACCCAAACGAGTGTTAGCAGTTCTTTTTTTTTTCCCCAAGAAGATTTTCTGAATCATTAAATGAGACGTTAAATGTTGGCCTTCCAAGGGAAACTATGGCACTAGTAAAGTGAGGTGTTTTCCTCAAGACGCAACAATACAAACGGAAGAACCATAAACCCTGAACGTTTGCCCCAACTTGGAAACATGCCCTCTCAGTGTGCCCTCTCCTTGGCGCCGCATTCGCTCTTCCTGGCTGGACTGCTGCTTCTCTGCCACCGGGGCCCCTCAGAGGTCAGCTGCCAGAATGAAACGGAGCCAATCGTGTTGGAGGGAAAGTGTCTCGTGGTGTGTGACTCCACCCCATCGGCTGAGCCATCAGGCAACGCTCTGGGCATGTCCGTGAGGTCAGGAACTGGCCGGGTGGCGTTTTCAGCGATACGTAACACCAACCATGAACCCTCGGAGATGAGCAACCGCACCATGACCATCTACTTTGACCAGGTGGGTGTGAAAGTCCCTAAGAAGCACAGGGATTTACTAGATCCATCCCAACAACAACAAAAAAAATGCATAGTGATAGCAGTGATTTGCTCACACATCTTACAGATGTTAAGTGTTATTACGCAGCTGTTACGTTTAAATTGGTATGTCTGCTGAGCATCCAGTGGACAGCTGGCCACTGTTTTTTCAGTACAAGAGACTGTGAGGATAACAATTTGGCAATATCATAGAATTTTACTGGAGCTCTATCAATATTTGCCTTTCTTGTAATTTCAGAGGTATACAAGTGATCAGTGTCAGTACTCCGTAGACTCTGCTAGGAGTTTTATGGCCTTGATTGTCTTTTGCTGTTCAATGTCTCGCACGACCACAATACAGATCACAACAATGAATGTTGCAAGGAAGGTCAACCCAAAAAGATAACAATCACAGCTGGGCAGGTAGGGGTCGAGCACAAGGGTCTACAGGCTCCTTACTCTCTAAAGTCTGGTTTGTCAAAGTCACTGCAGAGGCCGGGGATCAAATCTATATCAAGCTAAAAACAACATGAACAAGACTTTTCCAGCCAGCTAATTTACTTCTAAAATCCTTCTGTCCGAGGTTAATGAACTACTACATTAAGTTTCGCTTCCTCACCATCTACTCTTCTCTTCGCGCCCTCCATCACTTTCTTTTTTACCTTTGCAAAGATGCAGTGAAGACAACTGCGCTAACATTTTTTTAGTCAAACTCATCAAATGGTATTTGCGTGGCACACGCTCTCCCTGAACCGGAATGGTCAGGTGTAGAAAACGAGCGGGTAAATGTCATGCACACGCCTAGCGCCCCAAATTCTGAACCCGTTAGCATCGCTTACAGGTTTATTTTGCCTGTGGTGGAATAGACTGGATGGGTCTTTGCGTCAGCATCTAATGCGTCACATATTAATAGATGTTGTTGTTTTTTTTAGTTGGGTTAGGGTTAAGGTTAGATGTTTTGCCAGCTAAAACAACTACATCCCATCCTATCCCAAACCCTCGACAGCATGAGCACTATTTAAACCCAGCAATTTGGCACTGAGTTTGGAACAACGGAGCCAAACGTCAAATCATCTTGGTGATTCCAGATTGTTTTGGTTCAGTTTTTGATTCGCGTTGAGCGGCTGTTTCTTTGAATTGAATCTATCCTCCCTTGTCACCCCCCAATAGATATTGGTGAATGTTGGGAGCCATTTTGACCCGGCCAGGAGCATCTTCGTGGCACCCAGGAAAGGAGTCTACAGCTTTAGCTTTCATGTCGTAAAAGTTTACAACAGACAGACAATACAAGTAAGGACAAGGGTTTTTCGGAAAGTTCCATCTTTTTGCTCTTTCGTGTTTAATTCTCGATGTGCAGTTTTGATTTAAATTATCTATGCAGATGTTTGCAAACTCCACATTTTATCATCATACCAATTGTGATTGTTTCTTAAACCTAATAGCTTAACCTTTCCTTTTGCTACCATTCTCTTTCAATGTATCCCTGCCAGGTAAGCTTGGTCCTCAACGGATGGCCAGTGATCTCAGCTTTTGCAGGAGACCAAGATGTGACCAGGGAAGCAGCCACCAATGCTGGGCTGGTGCTGATGGAGCGAGGGGACAAGGCTTACCTGAAATTAGAGAGGGGGAACCTAATGGGAGGATGGAAGTACTCTACATTCTCTGGGTTTCTGGTGTTCCCCTTGTAGAGTTTGTGAAGGTAAAATGCGGGGAGACCATTTCACATAAAGAATGTTGAATATAGATTGTTAAAGCCCTGGACATGAGGAAGATATCAAGGATGGATACACCCTTACGTTCAGATCCACATAAAACTGCTTCAAAAGGATAAAATCACCTGGCACCAAACCATTAAGAATGTTTGCATTTCAACTTATTACCTATTTTCCACTTGTCAGCTCTCATTTTTGATGTAGAAAATAATGTCATTTGTGCTTGCTTACACCAGGTGTTCAGTCCTTGAGGGTTTGTGCATGAAATAATGCAATGTGACAAATGTTTATGGCAATAAAGAAAATCATTATCTATCTATCTATTTATCTATCTATCTATCTATTCATAAATATTACATCAACTAATCCATGTTATCAATGGCAAGTGAGAACGTTTGAAGAAAGAAAAACTCATACAAAACAATATTTAGTACCTGAAATCCATCCTTTTGATACAAAAACTTACCAGAACCGTTTACATGTCAACCTACTGCGTCCCCTCCTACTGTTTTATCGGGCAAAACAGAGGCCTTGCATCACGTACATTTCTATTGAAATACATTCCATACCTTAAACATTACTTTATTTAAAAGGAGGTCAGGATATTGTTTTCAAACCATTCGAGCAGCCATGTGTGAGTGTTCACTTCCCTGCTGGTGCACATCCACTCCGCATCTCTCTGTGGTGGATCTGGTGGCAGATGGCGGACTGGCAGTGAGGAAGGGAACCGGGGCCAGGAGCCTGTTGGGTTCACACAGGACCATCGCAACTGATTAATGTCAGCTTCCTGGTACTCAGCGGAGGCCTGTGTTAGCGTTTTAGAAAGTCGTGTGTGGACTACAAAGCTAAGCTACGGAAAGACTTTGGCAAGAAAAAGGAGCAGGTCAAAGTCAAAGACTGTAATTGGGAAATGATTCTTTTGAAAAGGTACCCTCTCTGTAGCAAGAAGGCCCAGATAAGGCTTGTAATGGAGCTTTATTCAAGAACTTGAACTGGAAATGCATCAAATGGGATGCCTTTGAAAGAGATAGTTTGTGCCTAACTTGTCTTCTAGCCGACTTTTTGGACAAATAATGCAGACTGAACTTCTAAATTGCTTATTTCTATCCAAGGCTTTAAAATGACACACTTTTAGAAAAAGAAGGCATGCAACTGTACCTTTAAGAGTCCATAGATCTGCTCCTGAGGTGGTTCCCTCAAAGGTCCTGCTGTTGTACCCTTGTAATTCATCCGTTTACCACTTGTATGGACGCATAAGTGTATATTTCAGGTCCACTAAAATTACAAAATCGTGCATCGGGATCTAGTTATTATCCGTGTAAGGTACACAGGAAGTGAAAGTGCCTCAGCAGACATAAAAGTGCTCCTATTGCACCCTTGTTTTAGTGTATTGGCTATGTGGGTCGTTTACAGTCAAATACAGTTGTTCCAGTTGTAGCTCTCAATTATTACTGCAGAGAGAATACATGCATAGTAAACTGAACAAAACTGTACAGTGACAGAAAATCATCAAACACTGTCAAAGGGAAAGTATTCAAACTGCAACACGATCAGATGTATAACTAGAGAGGTTTTCCTGGAAACGATATGAAACAAGGGTTATTCAACTTTCGGTATTGATGTATTGAATGACTCTAAAGGTTATTTCATTTTTATAATTTGATAGAATGAAATAGATTGAAAATGTATTGGGCATGTAAAAATTATGCAAGAATAATCACATAAAGTATGTTTTTCGTACTCAGTTGACACTACGTTCCATTCTTACTATGTAAAACAAGACTAAAATATTTTGAATTCGTAGACAAAACTGAGAAACACGTCCCTAGAGTAAGTGCGAAGTACAATCTACTCACAAAATACAGCTTACTCAAACTTCCGAAGAACCTTTAAAAAGCATAGGTTTGGGAAGGAATTGATTTATTGTCCTAGACCAGATGAAGTCCCATCGAGGTGAGTTAATGCTGAATGATTCAGGGGTGAGTCACATAAGACAGGGAAAGATGTCCTCTGCTCTCTTGCTTACAAAAACCTATCAAAAAGGGAAAGTCGTGATTTGTGAACAGCATAGCTTTGTGTTGTGCGCCCACAGAACCACACAACACACACACACACACACACACACACACACAGGAAAGTACAGACGAACACATACATTAACACACACTTGGGGTCAAAGGGAAGTGAAACAGACGGCCCAGTCATGACAAAAAACATGGAATAACCATGATTAATAAGGATTCCGGAGTTTAACCATGACTGAGGGGATTTGTGATTTACTTGTGGTTTGAACTGAAATGACTTCCCATGAGTCATTTAGAATATTGTAACGCAGCACAATCATTTCGTTCACACCTTTTATGATGCATCATGGTGTTAGACAGGGAGCCTGTCTCCATGTGAGACCTATAAAATTAGTGCCATCCTCCCATGGAACAGTGGATGGATCCACTTGGAATCTATATTTATTGCTCTATGATCTCTATTCCTTTTCTTTAAGATCTGTTTTACATAGTTTCTGATACTTTTTGTTGTCTTTCACCTACACCCGGCTTTTAACATGTTTCTCTTCAGGCTGCTTGGAAGCGAAACATAAAGAAACAAGAAAGTGGACCAAAACTTTGTCAACACAAATGACAGAAGTGTTGTTTTTTTTCAAATGGTGCCAAATGATGCGACTCACTCGTTCTGGTGTGAGAGGGAATTTCTAATTGGACCTTTAAAACTTGGAAAAACACAGAGAAGAGAGTTACATACTGAACACACCATTAAAAAAAAACTGAGAACAAACATAAAAAAGAATGAATCCATCTTACTCTAACTTTTTCAGTCAAATTTGAGAACAGAGAGCATACCCTTGAAAGCTTAATGTGAGCAACACAAAAAAACATTTCACATCTGTTTGTGCCAACACTTCATTGAAGCTACATCAACTTTGTACAAAGAGCAATAGTCAAAGCAAAAGTCATTTTTAGTAAATGTACCGTTCTGTTACACAAAGGTCGCCATGATAGTTCAGAGAGAATTTCGATTTTCTTGGCATTGACGGTCCATCTAAAAGACACCTCCTTTGGACTCCTTTTACACTTAAAAAAAACGCATCTTAAAATATCTTAAAAGTCCTCACATTGCCTGGTTTGACAAGCACACTGAGCAACTATCGGATTAATAAACATATCTACAAAAAAAATAGACAATAAGCTTTGTGTTGTGGAAGAATAACTTTTTAAAAACAAGCATGGGAAGCACAGAGGGAGTGGGACCCCCTGTCTGGTCTACTGGGAGATGTGGGACGTCAGTGGTACTGTGGAAGGCGCCGTTGGGTGCCGTTTCCTCTCCATGGAGGTGGAGTTGCTGATGTACATGGTGTTGTTGTCGCCATACTGGAATCCTGTGACGTTGGAGAAGTGCATGGTGACCCGCCGGGGAAGGTAGGAGGTGGAAAGGTCGGGGCTGGAGAACTGACGCTGCAGGGAGAAGAACAGCGTTTGATCGATGGTAAATATGTGTACATCTCATTTCAACTGAACGGACTGGTATTTTAAAACCAAGCATTGTGCAAACCGTTTCAAGCTCAAGGCTTTTGAACTAAAACTAGAGTATGAAGCAATAATCGAGCGCACGGATGTAAAAAAAACCGACCTGGTACATTGGAGAAAGAGGTTCTTTAAATGCCAGCTGGGAGTTTTTTTCTGCCCTGACTTGACACGATGACTGTATGGGATGAACAGAAGATTTTTTCACTTTCTGGTCTGCCACAGGTCGCCCAAGAGATGAATCTGCAGAAGAAAACATTGAACTAAAACAAAGACCCCACAGATGGTTTGTCTGTCTTAATCCATCTTTAAACCCCCCCTCAGCTCCACTTCCTCCTTACCTTTGACTCTTTCTCTGGTTCTTTGACTGGGATTCAGACAACCAGCCATTTCCTGCAACATACATGGTAAAGTCAGCTTGTGGCTCAAGAAACAATGACAATATCCACTGTAAGTGGAAGTGAACACTCTTCCAAAACTAAAAATTCAAATACCATGTAGGTGAACATCTTTCTCTGGACCACAACGCAACATACTAAATATTAAAAAAAAAGATGAAAAAGACCAAGATTGCCTGTAATGAAACAGCTTTTCTCCCCATAACAGCGGATTCCACGCCCCGTTTTCTTGTCTTTTGCAATGATGTGGTCAGACTGAGGGTCTACGCATAATTCTCACATTTATTTTCTAACAGTCACATTCCGTCGCTGATTGGCACTGTCAAAATCAAGGCCTCGTCAAATATTTCCAGCATTTTAAAATTTGCTGCGATCAGTCATTCTTGAGAAAAAAAAAACCCTGCAGCAGGAAATGATGCAAACAATGTTTCCCCATGCCAGCAACAGCCTTTGCACCACAGGATTGACCAATTTGTTGCGAGATAAAGAAAATCCTCCCAGTCCGCGTTGAGAATCACTTCTTCAAGCCGACGTTGTTTTGGGGACCTGCCAGATGATCTCTACGTTAAGCTTTTCTTTGCCGTCCACTCATCGGCTTAATGTTGTGAAGCCGTTTGAGGGGTGGAGCCAATGCAGTGGTCAGGCAGGATATTTGAAATCTCACCTGAACGGGCGGGCGTCCTGTGGGCACATCATCACAGGGGTTTATGGCTTTGGCTGTGGCTGTTTCTGAAAAACAAAACAAAAATTAGAAAGTGAATAGTGTTTTTTGGGAAAAAGAAAAAGACAGTAAAGGATTCAACCTGCTCAGATTCCAATTTGCAAATAAGAAGACTCAGTGTGTTAGCGTGAAGAAATGTTCAATGGCATGGAGGAACATTTTATATCTCCTAACAGATAAGTTATAAATAATTCTGTATGCGATATAATTAAATGACCTCACAAGAAATACCTTGGGGTTGAGTAGTTTGAAACCTTTGGAACTGCTCCAAAGGTTCTTGTACTTCTTCTTCTTGTTTTTGGTCCTAGAAAGAGGAAGAGAAAGAACTGGTCGTGTGAGGAAGAATTGGCATAAAAATAGTAATGTGCTTCGTCATGTCTTAGAGCGTGCGTTATGAGAAATGTTCCTCACCAGGTTTTTAAGCACTTGGTGGACAGCGTCGTGGATTCCACGTTTGTGCATCTTAAACAGTTCGCCTGTCACAGTGGTGCACTCTGATGACGAAATAAATAAACGAGATTTAGCACGGGGGACTGAACACCAGCGGCTGTGGCATCTGTCATAATTCTTTAAGTGTCTAAATGTTCCTGCATGGCGACTGCTCTTGTTCTTTCTTACCGAGTGACGTCGGCCTTTTGCTGGGTCTTGCTTCCCAGCATTTTTGTATGAGGTTAACCAGATTTGTCAACCCTGTGGCCTGACCCCTGATCTCATCCAGCGACGGCCGGTCGCCCCGTGGGATGCGAAACCGCACGATGCTGGACTTTGCATCTGCAAGGGGGACGAAGTAAGAAGGAGAAGTAAGAAGGAGAGGGTAGTTAAAGCTGTGTTAACATGACGGAGCTTTTTCAAACTGCTTGGAAAACGGTGAATGTAACGAGGCCTCAGTGGTTCTCGTCCCCCAAAAGCGTGCTGGGCTGATCGTTATGAAAGTGAATAGATAGATTAAATCAAGCCCACAATGACCCAATTGATTGTGTCCAATGGACACAATGTATGACAAAGTATGGACACAAAAAACATCTTGCACAAATTTATGGCTGATGGCTGAGGCCTGCACTTTCCACACGCCCTTCTCATCCCATGACATTCCTAAATAAGTCGATTAGAATTTGGCTAAAGAATATTTTCATATTTAGGATCAATTTAAAGTCAGTGTTGAATGAAAAGAGCGATGGTTAGTGGGGTGTGCTCGTGTAGTGCCTTCCTAGTCTAGCTGATGACTCACTGCACATCTTACATGGTAAGTGGGGTTCTTTGTTTTGCTCACGGACACTAGGACTTGCTGTCTAAGGAATCCAGGAGTAATATCAGCGACCCTCTAATTGGTGGGCACCTACACTTCCACCTGATCCCACTTGTGGATGCTTGAAGTGACTCAGCAGAGCCCATCAGTTTCTAGGCTGTGTTTTTGTAGTTTTTGACTCCAGCAGGACTGTTTTGAAACTGTTGCCCTTCCTTAGGGCTGTTTTTTTTTAGGTACCCAAGCTTTGATTTGTTGGCAAACCAGACACCAAAACAAGTCGAACCATAAATCAGGTTTTGAGATTTAAGTTTTGCTTTTCGTTGCCATCATCATGACTTTCAAGGGTGTTGTTCACTCTGAAAGTTACAATTTAGTTTTCCGAAACTAAACACACAATGTATCAAGTTCAGATTCAAGAAAAAAACCTTGAAGCAAGATCTAGGTGATAACATGAGAGTGACTTACTGGCATAGGGTTGTTTCCCTGTTAGAATGGACCACACCAGGACACCATAGCTGGAAAGAAAAAAAGGACAGTGTAAGTAACCAGAAAAAAACAGTTTCCTTGTTTTGACATTTCTTGATTGGCTCAAGGTTTCTTAAATCTTGTCATCAAACAACAAAAAAAACATAACCAATTTACATGAGTTTGGGTCACTTTCTGTTTTATCCTCTGACTTCTTACCTGAAACCTTTTTCCCTTCAACAAGATCTATTTAACCTCCAACTAAAAGTTAGCCAGCCTTCAGGAATGCTGTTTAGTTGTTAAGCAGTCAATGAATGAATAACTTATGTGTGGTCCACTGATCTTTTACCTGTAAATGTCGGAGGCCTGTGCAGGACTATAAGAGACTTGAAATGCCTCTGGTGGCATATACTTAAGGGTTCCCCCCTCTTCTTCATTGTCCTTTCTGGATGTCCCTGTGATGCTGTGGTACAACTTCGAGAGGCCAAAATCTGTAAGCTAGAGAGAGGAATGGCCAAGAAAATGAGGAAACACTAGAGTAAGGTAGAGAGCATGTAAGTCATCATGTTAAAATAGATAACTTGGTCTAGGTAAGGCTTCCATTTGCTAGGTACAGTGAGTAAATCCAGAGAAGGGGCATTTATATGCTGATGACACAATTAGTTATACATAGTTTGTGTTTTTTTATAGTTTGTGTTTGTTTTTTTGCATTTCAATTCTATATAATAAATACCACACTTACAGAACCATCCATCCATTCATTTTCGTAACTGCTTATTCCCTAATGGGGTCTCAATTTGAAATGTCCAATCAACCTAACACCCAGGCAGACACAGGGAGAACACGATAACTCCACACAGAAAGGTCATGGTTCCCCAGAACCCAGAACCATTTTGCTGATGGTGCTGACCACTACGTGCCACAACTGTCTTAATCTATGAGTCAAGTGGCTGTCACCTCACCTTGGCGTTTAGAGCGGAGTCCAGTAGCACGTTGCTGGGCTTCAGGTCCAAATGCAGCAGAGCTGGGGAAAGACTGTGGAGGTAGTTTATACCCTGAGCCACCTGATGAGTCAGCCTGAAGGCCAGTGGCCAGGGCATTATTCCTGGTATTTGTCTCTGTGAGGGAAGGGTAAGATTGATATTCACACATTTTGAAAAAACTACACGTTCTCTTCGCTCGTTTCTTCACCACATTTTCTACCTATTTACTTTATATGTGCTGTTTTCAATGCAAGAGAAGCTTTGAGTTGAGTCTACCAACTACCAAAATATTTTCCTACATATCTCCATCAAGTAATGAAGCCTAATTCTGTGGAGAACATTTCATGTGTCTTCATGATAATCCATCAAAGAGCTGTTGAAATATGTTAATGATACTGATTTAAATACCTGCAATGAAGCCAGTGAGCCTCTCTCCATGAATTCCATGACCAACCCGAGCTGGACTGAGCTTCCCGAAGAAGGCGGCTGACCCTTATACAACCCGTAGACGTGAATAACATAAGGACTGCTTCCTCGACGCATCATGTTGACTTCCCGCAGCAAAGAGCGGCTGGTTCTGTTTGGGAATCAGTTGGTCTTGTCATCAGGTCCTTTGGTTAACTGTTAAACGGCCCCTCTGTGTAACAACTTACCCATTGTTGTAATGAAGGAGTTTAATGGCTACATCACACCACCAATGACGATGTCTGGCTTTGTAGACTATTCCAAAACCCCCAGAGTCAATCTCATTCCAGTCCTCCAGAGCGGAGTCTCCGATCTCCGCTGGATCTTGACCACCACACAGTGCCATAGTTCACTATTAAAAATAAATGAATGAATAAAATCCTTATGACTTTGATAGATAATGGATTTAAACATTTCTGTAGATGTAATGACCAAAAGTGTGGGAACAAGAGGGCGTAAAAAAGTTTAGATAAGAAACTCTGGGGGAATACTGAAGGCCATTGCTGATTGGTCACTTGCTCTGAGAATCTGTATTTTAGCCCAGAAGTCTGATTAGTTGAGAGACATCCATGCGGATCAGTGATCTCACAGGGAGGCCATGTTGTGTGTCTATTGTCAACACCAAATATGTTTGTTATCCCAATAAAGGGATTCGTCATGACCATTTCATGAATGAGGAAATGTCTTAATTGTGAGGCAGACAGGCCACTAAGTGGGCCACTCAGGGAAAAAATGTGCACGTTACCAATTCAAAACTGAAAGATAGGAGCAATGAGAATTTCCTGGCATTGGACTCATGAGTCTACGGTCAATTCCTCCGAACTGGCATGTAACATTCAGATCTGTGATACTAGATTGTTCCTCACAAGCAATAAATGACCAAGTACGATAGGCTGGCAGGTTCTTTAATTTAGTTTTTTTTTTCCTGCTCTAAAAAAAAAAATCTGTGAAATTCCACGTCGTTTGTGTGGAAAAATAACACATATGAGGTTCCAACCGATCAAGCACTAGTTGTATGCAGCAACCAATGAAACCTGATCGTTAGCATGTACTCTTTAACCTTTATATTCAAGGTATAAAATACTTTTTACTTGTTTCAGGAAGTCCAGAAGTATTAGCAGAATGCAGTTCTATAAAATCAATCCCGTAAAATTCTCTACTTTACAGGTACAGCTATTGATAAGATAAGCATTTTAGGGTTCTTGTCCAAGGCTAAGGCTAAACTATATTATGCCTCCTACCACCTCTTATTGAGGTCATTCTAGAGAAAAAACAGGAAACCATGCTCTTTCGGTGTTCAACGCTTGCAATATGAAGTACAGACAGTTGAATAAGTAACAAAAACCTTGTAGTACATCAAATTCTTGTTGACCTATTCATTGCTTTTTGCTTTAGCTTTGGATTAGATGCGTGGATATAAAGAACCTATAGCTATAGCTAAAGTTAGAGGTTCAAAGTGGAGCTTTTTAAAGACGAAAAATAAAAAAAAGTCTCACACACGCACACCTATGAGAGTTTCAAAGTAATTTCTGAAAAACAAAACAAAAAAAAGAAGGAGGGGAACCACTCACCCTTTGGGACTTGCTCTGATCTCTCATCATTTAACTGTATTATTTCAAAGAGTCGGGAGTGTAAAAACCCTCCTGCTCATTCAGTGAGTTTTCGCTCGCTGTGGCAGCATTCAGTGAAAGCAGAAATGAAACTACCTTGATCCATCCCATTCGTCTTTGTGTTACTTCTGCTTCTCTGTACACAGGACCTGTTTTTCTGCTAGATGACGTTTTTCCTCATTGTTGGATTTAATCAAAGTACATGCAGATTTTACTGGTAAGAATTTGTGTCAAATTGTGTTTGTTTGTTTATATGTTTTTTTGTTTGTTTGTTTTTAACCACATTATTTTGCAACACAAAAAGGAGAAATAGTATGACTGTAACAGAAGTTATCTGGATTAATTTTTTCCCAATACTTCAAAATCTTTCATCCAAGCTGGTAAGAAAATGAGACCAATACAAAGATATAAAATACTATGGGCAGCTATCATGTTTTGCTGTGGTTAGAATTTGTAACATTACTTTTTTACTAACTAATATTTAAGATTTAACCATCTCCCTGTCAAAAACCTGTACATAAAATGCCCCGACCTCTCTGGCCAGCAGAAGGAGGGTCAGATTTTTTTCAGGATGACTCAATGATCCAAAATGACAACAGAAAGGACCTTCCTTTTTATTACAAGTGATCATTATTCTGATAATCAACTAAGGAACTGTGTCAGAATGTGTAACATGAAAAAAAGAACAGAGATTATTGAGATGATATCCCACTTTTACTTCTGGGAGAGTATATCCAAGAGGAGTACCTTTTTATTTGATGCTTCCGAAGATTGAAAAAGTGTTTTTTAAACCTAAAAATGTAAAGAGGGAGACAACCTCTGCAGTTTCCTTTAAAGTAGGGTCTTGTGAAACAATGCACTCCAGCAGATGTGTGAAAGATAACCCATTTAACTCTTTCCAGAACCAAAAGAAATCCCTTTGTGTGTGTTTTTGTGTGTGTCCCAGGCTTAATATATTGGAGATGTTTTGCAATATTCCTCTTGACTTTGTTTATATCCTGCATTTAAAATACTTATCTGATTCATTTTCTTATTCATTCAAATCCAAATGAGTTCAATGCATTTGCTTTTCATTTGCCTGCTTCATAATATTGTTAATCTTGTTTATGGACCTAAGGCAACCACTTCAGCTACATTTTGCGTGTGTTCAGTTTGCGTCTAAACTGAGTGGTTCCACATTTTAGTTCATTATCTATCTTCAAATCTATCTTCTAAAACTGTGTGCAACTGCAGGCTGAGAACCTGGATGTCCAGATTCAGTTTAGTTTGTTAGAGACTGCAACAACTGCTTCCTGGAAGCCAAAACTCTGCTGCAAACGCATTGAAGTGACCCCTATCACACTCAGCTACTACACATGCTGTTGTCTGTCAATATTTGTCAAAAGCAGATAACAAAATGCTTTTCCAGCTGTAGGATCTATGCCTGAGACAAGAGTGTGCTGTGGGCAGTTCGTGGACAAAAAGAGCAACCTGGATGCACCAAAGGAAGAGTTCATTCACCTTATGTTGTTAAAAGAAAATGTCAGTTTGGGAAAAAATTCTATAAAAAAAAGACAAAAATATTACGTTGATAAGTAACGTTCCGGTTATCAGAGAGCAGAGGCGAACTTTGTTTAGTTTTTTTTTTAAAACAAACGTGGATGTGGCTGCCGTGAAGCGCGCGCGCGTTCACCGCCAGGCAGTGAGCCGTTCACTGAACAAAACAAAAAGAGGGAAAAACCGCTTCTGACGTCAGTGGAAATCCCCTTTATCTCCTCTCAGACTCCGGACCAAACTGAAAACAACACATTTGAAGCTGTTCTTTTTATATATAAAAAGAACATATATATATACATGTCCCGGGGAGAAAAATATTCCTCTTTTAGCCGAATGTTGTAGAAAATCTTCGGTCTGGCTGGATGTAGATTCAACAGGCGCGCGTGCGGGAGCGCTGTGTGTAACTTTAAGACTTAATCATCAAACTTTCAGAGAGGAGTCTTGCAGTGACTTTTATTTTTTTTTAAAGACATATTCCAGCCCTTATCTCGACGCCAGAGGCGGTTCTCGCCCTGCCTATTAGCTGCTCGCTTCAGTTTCGGTTTTGTCTTCGAGCTTTTCGCCCCCTGATGATGATGATGATGATGAGGATGATGATGATGAGGTTCAGCTTCCTCATCTCCCCTCCGGCGGACTCTGTGGCCGAAGTGTGACTCTCCCCCTCGGACTTCCCCCCCCCCCCCTGTTTACCGAGGACCGGGCCGTTATTGCGACACGCGCCGGGGCTCGTGTTTGTTGTTGTTTTTTTAATGGTCGCGAGCGGCTTCCGGATGGAAACGAAACTCTGAGGACTCACCGTCGACCGAGCTCACGTAAGATAGGTAAACGCTGAAATCTACTAAGTTTATTCTTTCTTTGTTTTTTGTTTTTTTTAAGTGTTGTGCTTCGTCTGGGAGGGCTTTTTTTTTCTCCGTTTGGAGGTCGGTTTCTTTTGTAAACGGGCTGAGTCTCGATGTCGGGTAAAAAATAAAAAAAAACCAGCAGCCATACTCTCCGAGATTTTCCTCATTTAAAGATCGCGTTTCAACCAGATGTTAAACGCTTCCACCGAGGTGGAAGTTTGTTTTTAAATGTTTCAAAGTGGGAGTGTCGGTTTCCAGGAGCGAGGGACCCCCCAGCTGCGTCTATTTATCTGTCACAAATCTGTCCACGCCTTGTTCCCAGGCTGTTTTCCAGGTGGAGATGGAGCCACACAGCAATATTCAGTAGGGAAATATTGTTATTCTCATTATAAGGAATGATGGTCCACTTACATCTCTACTTGTCCCGCTATTTCTTGTTTTATAGGCTTTGAAAATAGTTCTAAATCTATCTAAAAAAAACACCCATAGACGTCAAACCAGATCAAACGATGGGTTTGTAAGTCCTTTAGGTGTCATGTTTGGGCCCCTTGTCATGTTTCACTCCTCTGTGGGGTTTGTTGGATGAGTTATACCAGTACTGAGGAGAGAGGAAAAAAATCCCCTCTGATGGTTTTAAAGGGACCTCCACCAGCTACAGCCATGAGCCTGCCCCAGTCTGGGGAAGTTTTGTGATTCTGTCCTCCTGATCCCAGGTAACTGGCCACAGGCCTGCTAAATTGGAGAGTGGTCAGCTGTGACCCTGAAGCAGGCCTCCTGGCTCTCTGCCCCAGGACGCCTTTAGCTCATTACTTCTGCCAAGAGCCTTGTGAAGCCGCCGGACCTGTTTCCCTCGGCCTCGGTTGATGTCGCTAGTCGATCGCTGAATAGATTCCGTAACCGAGCGTACGAGCAGGAAAATGTTTCTTTGTTAGTTTAGGCGTGGGGTTTTTCCGGAAACCACTGACCCCCGGGTCCTCCGTGGGCTGTATCGGCCGTGCTGTATAATGGGGTTAGTGGAGAACTAGGCAGCTAGAAATCTAGGCCCTGTAGAGCCTTTTATGAGGGTGCACAGTCCAGACGCGCGGCTTTAGGGGACAGAGCCTTGGGGGAGTCTCTGGATTCGCGCCGGGCCTTCAAAACCTTAGTGGAGAAGTGGGAGGACAGGCACACGCTGGACCTCCTCGTGCTGCCGGGGGCGGTGAAAGAAATCGTGCTGGATTTGGTAAAAGAATCTGGCCTTGGATCAAGCCCGAGGACGTCGCTAACGGATGAGAAAACAGGTGCAAAATCTCAGAAAAATGCGACTAAGCAAACACCCCTCGACCTAGGCAGCTAGAAATCTAGGCCCTGTAGAGCCTTTTCCAGCTGCCTGCTTATCGTCGATGTGTTCTAAAAGCGTAACCTTCACGAGAAGGGAATTTAAGGAAAGTTTTCGGAATTCACTGTCCTGGATTGATTGAAAATAACTTGCTGTTTTCAACAAAACTCACAGGTCCCTGCCTTCCTCCCCCCCCCCCCCCCCCCACAGTATGTATGGCTGTTCGCCTGCCGTTTAAGAAGGCGCCATGGACAGCGAGAGAAGCGGCGGCGCCGGGGACGGAGCGCCGGAGGTGGAGGACGAGTTTGCGTGCGCGGGGATGCTGCGGGGATCCCTGACCGCTCTGCGCGACACGGTGGAGCGCATTTTCAGGGTGGCCTTCGGCATCGGGGCGGACGACATGCCCCACGGCGACTCCGGGCAGATGTGGCTGAAGCTGAGAGGCCCCGCCGCCAACGTGAAGGCCGCCAAAGTAAGAGGAGCGCCGGGTTTTTATCCTGCGTCCAGCCGAATCCGTGCTCCCCGCCCCGATATTTGCCGAAGCTTTGTCCACAAGTTAAAAGAGTCGTGAACTGTGACACAGTCACACCCAAGGTCTGAAGAGCAACTGTTTATCAAAGCCATTCCAGTCACAGGTTTCTTTATAAAGTCATGTCCAGCAGACACAGCACAGCTTATTTTCACTGTATGACTTATTTTCACTGTATGACTTAAATGTGCATTAAAAAGGGAAAAAAGCATATTAGCAAAAAACATTTGCACAAAGGCATATCAAGGAAATTCAAAGGAAAAATAAACAATGGGATAATGATAATGAGAACAAATGTACACAGTATATTTAGAGAAACTGAGCATTAAAGTAACATTTAAAAGAAAAAAACTCTAACAGCAGCCAAATAAATAAAGTTATACTCAGAGTTGGACAATAACTAAGTCAATTTACCTGACTACTGTACTTTTTGAGAGTTTGATCTTCATTGAGTAGCCTTTAAAAAAAAAAACATTAATTTTGCTACACTTAATTTTAGTCATAATTTGAGGGAGCTACTTTTAATTTAACTGCAGTACTCTTTGACCAGGAGGATCAATACTTTTACCCAAGTAATAAAACTGAGTACTTTGTCCACAGCTGGTTATACATTTATTTGTTCTGGCAAAGGTTGCCCTAAAATGATATAGATACTCCAGGTTGCTATTTGGTAGTAACACACTATATCTTAGATGTATAAGGCTCATCTGGCAGTCAGTATGACAGAAAAAACAAATGGATTTAAGATCAATAAAGAATCAGCAGAAAATCTCTTACTCAAAACAAGAAGAGAGATTATTGGTGTTCGGTTTGCTTCCCAAAAACACGAACGTCAAAACTTAGGCTACGTTTTAAGCGCCATATTTTCAAGTGTACTTGTTGAGATTTGTCAAAGGTGCAACATTTAACCCTTTGATGCCGTTTGAGTGATTTTATGCTTTGTTAAAGAGGTAAAACGAAAAACTTAAGATTAAAGAAGGTAATTCTTTTCCATCCATTTTTTTCTGGGGTCAGGCCTTATGGCCAGTGTGCCACCCTCTCCAATGGGTTTCAGGCTTTTCCGAGCCTCTGCACACCAGATTGCGATGAAATGGATCCCTCCCAAACGCCGTTAAGCTCTGCACAGGCCTGCTAACCTCGCACTGGTATGACTCAGTTGTGCTGAGGCAGGGAAACACCTAAAACCTGCGGAACGGCCAGTCCCTTCTAGGAATGGAGTTTGACACCTCCAAAAAGATCAGCATTTGGAATTACACATAATATTCTCTGTTTTTGTGTAACGGAGGGGACATTTTGTTGTGCTTTGGTTTAGGGTTATGGGATTAAATGGAACTATATCTCCCACATATTGGCTGGCCAAGAGGTGAAGTAAACGACATTCTTTTAAACCATTTGCAGAGTCAGGGAATAAAGGGAGTGCACACACAAAGTCATCAAACATGTGACTTTGCGTTCAACCACTACAGGTTAAAGGTTTTGCCGCTCTAGAGCTGACTGTTCCGGCACCGTAGGTGTGTCTAGACAGTGCAAGCTGTGTGAGAATGAGCTTGATCGACAAGTCTCATGTAAGTTTCACTATGATATTCGCAGAGAGCCCGTGACACATGATTAATAACACCACGCTATGAAGTTGTTTGGTCCTCACACTATGCCACAAAACAAACAAACAACACTGCTGCATTACATGTTATCACCATCTTTTAGAACTTCTGTCTTTTCAAGACCTAGTTTGCTCTGATTAGTTAGTATTTACAGTAAACAGGGACGGAGCTCCCTCTGTTTTAAACAGTACCTCTCTTTGGTATGGATTTAAGGGCATTTTACCATCTGTGCTACAACATGCAGTGGAAGAGAGGGGAAACCCCCCCCACCCCCAGAGCACTGTCGCTTTTCGCTTCCTGTCTTTGTGTTGTCAGCTGCTCTTTTAGGTGCCTGCTAGTTTTTGGCTGTGTCGCGTTCCCATGCCCTTTTCTTTGAAGCCGATGCAGAAACGATGCACGCACCACTAAAAACATGGGTTGCAGCTTTTGTTTCCACAAGAGCTTCTATGTGTAAAGGAAGAATATGGGTTAAGTATGGGTGCACTTCAGGCATCGTTCAACCAATGAGGCAGAGAAAATGAAAGTGAAGATAATTTGTATCAATAGTGAATGACCTACTTTAGTTTTAATAATGAACTCTGATTCTGTTGAGATTGCCATAAAAGTGGTAATAGTGTGTAAAAGTGGATGTGTTAAACCCCAGAAACCCTAAAACGGAAATCCTTAAACCCTGAGACATAGTACGGACATGCACACTTAGAATATAATCAGATTTGTTCAGATTAAGAGTTGTGACTTCATCACATGGACCAATCACGAATGAAAAAAAGGCTACACTTGTGTTTAGTATTTAAAAAAACATTCATTATAAAACATTATAGATCATTTAGATGTCAACAAATTGTAGATGATAAAACCAAACTTGTGTATTACACAGCAAAAATTTCCAAAATATCTTCTGAAGTGTCTTATAATAAGGACGATACATAAAAGTCTGCATGCCGTCTAGATTTTTTCCATTGCTATCACAGTGCAGTCACTTTCACAACCCGACACTTAACACAGCACATCTCTGTCTTCTAGTTATTTGTGAAGGGACTTGTTAATCAAGAGGAGCAGCAGGAAGTTTCCTACCCCGCGGTCCTTCACTGCATCTTCTGTGGAGCCAGAGGGCTGTTCACCGACAGCCTGATCAGAAACACCTCAGCACATATTGTGGTAAGTGGCGCACACAGACATTACTGCTACCCAGACTGCCCACAAGGAACAGTGTGTGTCCCTTTTCACAGACATAGCAGCTGGTTGTATGGTCTTGTTGTCTTTCTTTCTTTTTTAGTTGATTTTTTCCCCTTTCTCTTTGTGTCTAAAAGATCTCTCTCCTTTCCACTGCTCTTCTTTTTTCCCTGTCCCTCTGTCAGGTTCGGCATTATTGGACACTTGTAAGTTTGGTAACAAAAATGAATAAATAAAGCAGTTTTGGGTAATAGAGGGGGGCTTTTCATTAATATGCCTCCCTTGGCAAAGCAATTTTGTTCAGAATAGCAAGTCCTTAATTTCCTGAGGGAGTCTTCCCAAGGGATCAATAAAGTACTGTCTAAGTCTAAGTCTAAGTCTAAGTTACTCAGATTTCAGTTTGGCTGCCATAAAGCTGAACAGGACAAGGTAAAAAAAAAGAAAAGAAAATAAAGAAAACATTTAAAAAGACATTACTGCTACAACTAACAGTCGTTTCCCTGAACTAATTCAGTCTGTGAAATCAGAATCAGAATACCGTACTTTATTAATCCCTTGCGGGAAATTCTTTATATCAGAAAATGTCCAAGAGGAACACAGATACAGAGAAATGAGAAATAAATAAGAGAAGTGCAATTAACAGTGGGTGCATTATTTAGTTTGAGTTGGACAATCTTAAAGAAACTGACTATTTCAGATCCCTGTAGGGATGATGACAGGGACATTTTGAAAGTGCTTGCAAAGCCATTACTGACTAATTAAAACTGAGTTGCATTGCTGGGACATTAAACGCCCACAATGGGAGGATCGAAACAATGTCTTGTCAGGTTGGTGCGTCATGCTTTGGTTGTTATTCATGAAATATCTAAAAATGAGACTCTAGTGATTACAACAAAAAATACACTATTAGTCAATATTAGCCTTACATAATCAGCTAAAATGTTGTCACATGTCTTCAGGAAATTCTCATTGTAAAACCACAAAGTGTTCACTGGGAAGTTTTTTTTATTAAACGTGGTTTGTTGGAAGTCAGAAAAAAACTGGGCTTTTTTGACGTCTTTCTTTTCCGCTGTTGCAGGGGATACAAGTTGGGAAATAAACGTCATTGATGTGTCTTTCCCTCTTTGTGGTCCTTACCATAAAGGTTCTTTTTCCTAGAAATAATGCATCGCTTTCCAGAGCTGAAAAAATGTATTTTGTTTCAAATCTTTCAGGCTCTTGTTACATCTTTACCTTGCGGTCATGAAGAGGAGCCAGATTAATGTTCTTCTGCTCTGTTTTGCTATGACTGAACAGGTTGGCTCACCTGGATTCCTGCTCATATCAGGTCTGGCGGAGCCGGTGGTGCGAGCCTACTCCCTTATTGCAGATCTAGTGGCGAGGTATGAGGGCGCCCAGTCCAGACGCGCGGCTTTAGGGGACAGAGCCTTGGGGGAGTCTCTGGATTCGCGCCGGGCCTTCAAAACCTTAGTGGAGAAGTGGGAGGACAGGCACACGCTGGACCTCCTCGTGCTGCCGGGGACGGTGAAAGAAATCGTGCTGGATTTGGTAAAAGAATCTGGCCTTGGATCGAGCCCGAGGACGTCGCTAACGGATGAGAAAACAGGTGCAAAATCTCAGAAAAATGCGACTAAGCAAACACCCCTCAACCCTTCCAGCTACACTGACAGATGGGCTGAAAGGTTTTGGAAAGACTCTGCTGAGGAACCTTTCTTTTCTTTCTATCTTATTTCTCCTCCACAGGCACGAGAGGGAGGGCAGAGGGGGCCGAGGAAAGACTCCTGCCCCCTCCACAGGAGGTGGGAAAAGATGAACAGTTCCAACAACAGAGGACGTTGGACACCGAGGGCCGCAAAGAGGAACAAGAGGATAGAGAACAGGACCTGCATTTGTCAATGGGAAACAAGGAGTTCTGGCTACTTTTGAAGTTTTTCACAGCTATGGGGTACACGGAGGACGTCGTGAAACGGGTCCTCGCGAGGACTGGACCTAAGGAAGCATCGCAGATTCTGGACTTGGTCCAGCAGGAGCAGGATCACAGCGACCGGGAGCAGGCGCCTTGCTGCGTTCCGGGCCCGAAAAATCCAGAAAGCGTTGGTTCGAACCAGGTTAACAAGCCCTGCGAAACAGAGCACACGGAGGACGAAGGTACTGCCGCGGGAGGAGGTAAGGCTACGGGTTGTAATGGAGAAATAATTCGGGAGGGGGGTGAAGAGGGGGCGGCTGGAGGGAGAGACTGCAGCATGGAGCCGGGTCAGATAGAAAGAGAGGAGGACTTTGTCTTGGGGGTGGTGAAAAAAGCAGCTGTGAGCTGCGGGTACAGCGAGCAGAACGTAGCCAAAGTTTACAACATGGTGCCGGATGGCTCCACTCGCCAGCTGCTCCTGGAGCTTCAGAGAGAGGGGGGCCGGCAGGCGGATGGCTTCAGGGAGGAGCCCAGAGAGATTGACGATGTGGTGTACGACAAAGAAGGGCCCAAAGCTGCACCAGCCGAAGCAAGGGGAGAATTCGAACGTTCCGGTCCTGAGGAAGAAAGGAAATCCCATGAGAAAGGACAGGTCCGGGTGCCGGACCTTTCTGGACTGGCCGCGGAAGCAGATTTGGCTATTTGGACCGGCAAACCGCAGCAGCTGCCTTTATTAAGCCAATACACTCCTCAGCCAACTCAATGGCAGCCTTTGAAACCCCAGGAACCTCACAAAGTCGCCCTGTCCGAGGTCAAGGGGCCGCCCATGCCTATTTACTCCTCATCTCTCGATCCAGTTACTCTGAACTTTCAATCCAACAAGCAACACGGCCATACCAGACACTGGGCCGATCCACCCATGCCGAAACCAAACCATCAACCCCACGGCAACTCCTCGACCCCAAAACACCATTCTTCAATTTCCATAAAACAAGCGCTTCAAGCTCAGTCGCCCTTCGTCTTCGGCGATCGGCCCCCCTCCGGCTTCGTGTCCCCCTCCTCGGTGGTAGTGACCGGGGAGCAGCGATTCCTGGAGGGACTGCAGACTTCCTTTGAGCTCAAACTGACAGATGAGCCCGGAGACCCAAAACTGAGGACAATAATCATTGATGGGAGCAACGTCGCTATGAGGTGCGTGAGTAACATATGTTGTTGAAGTGGATAGTTACCCACATAGGTTTTTAGGGTTGAAGATTAACAATTACTTTTCTTAAACGCAAGTTCAATGAAACCATATCCGTTGTCGTCCTATTGGCTCATTTGTTGGTGTAGTGCTGAGTTTATCTGCCTGTCGCTGCCTCTGGCCACCCTAACGAAATAATCACGATAAAATTGATTGTGTAACCATATTCAGGTCATCATACAAACCAATACAGTAATAACAACCTGAATCTTAAACTCTGTTGGCATGGGTAGAATATTCATCTGCTTTAAAAACTTTAGACATTAGTTTAAGATTAGTTTTAAAACATTGGTTGCTTAGTTACCAATCACCTGCGATATCAACTGCTTTGAATAATTGACTAGATAAGTGAACCCATATGATTTCTTCGAATTGACGCACCTTTTACTAAAGGGCTTCACACTAAAGTGTTAACATTTGTCATTCACGGAAGAGAGCTGAGCCTAGGATGGCGTCTTCACCTCCAAAGATCCATCCGGCCATCCCAAAAAGTTTGATTTTGTCAGGAAACTTGACATTTTTTCCCTCCACGTCTTTTACAGTCACGGGTTGGGTCATTTCTTCTCCTGCCGGGGAATCGCTCTCGCCGTCCAGCACTTCTGGGACCGAGGTCACCGCCACATCAGCGCTCTGCTGCCCCAATGGAGGCAAAAGAATGACCCCAGGATTAAAGGTATTTTAAACCTTTGTAGCACGAATGTCATTTAATTCAGGTCACAGGTAAAGTAGTTCAGCGCTGTGTTCTAACTGACAAAGCTCCCTGACCATCTCCACTAGAAAGAGCCCTGATTTCCAGGTGTGATGGACATTTATGGTCTTGGGCTGGACGCAACCTAGTCTTATTGGCCAGTAACCTCTGACATGAACATGAACGGGCCAGCTAAACAGGCCTAATTTGAACAGCTTTTGCCCCACTGAGTCAAAAGCTGTTTAAAGTTCAAAGGGACAGTCCCTTCTATTGACTGTAGTAAAATGGGTTTTAATGGACCATATGACAAATAAGCTGACTATGGGAATTTTGCCAATGTGGGAGTAAATTGAACTATCTTCTTGAATTAGTGTGTTTCGCATCAGATGAGCACATCCGGCTGACTGCAAACGAAAGCTAACACTGACGGTGCTAAACTTCGCAAAACACCGGAGTCCCAGTGAAAAACTTTAGCCTCCATCTTCTAGCTTCTTAAAAGTCACATTCCAATTTTCTGATGAAAGGTTTAACTGATTTTTCTTTTTATGAAACGGCTGATTAGCGACCCAGCTAGTTCACCTTTTACCATTTAAACAAAGCAGAGTAAATACGCTAAACGCAGTAATCATTTACATTCATGTAATTCTGAGGTCTGGCTCCAGAATACAACCCTATTCAAGGGGGAGGCTCAGCAAATAACAACGCATTTATTGAAATGATAGAAATCATTTAAAAAACTCATGACTTGCCGCAGGCAGACGCATCTCATTTAGTTTCATCGACAAACTAAAGTCAAATCGGACAGGAAAACCCACCATTTTTCGTTTTTGCTGTACAAAAAACAAAGGGGATTCTCCATTTGTACCTTTTCAGACGTTCATGGCTCTGCTGGCACTGCCGCAAACTCGGTTTTGGTGGTTTCTCTTATAAATTACATCCTCACCGAAATACGGGCCGACAGACACAAGCATGAGACTATAATGGGCGTTTACAAGATTTCTGATCACAGAAATAATGAAAAAATAATAAAATGGCCTGGCCGATCGGCTGCCGGCAGCCTGATGCGAACCTCGGTCGAGCAGGTGCTAAAACTCTGTTAGGAGGCGTCAGCCACAAATAGAAATGCAAAAAAAAAAACAAGTCGAGTCAAGCCGAGCCATGCTGAGGGGGAACATGTAGAAAACCCCCCCAAAAGGGCATCTCCTGTATTATGAAATGTTTGTGGTCATGCATTTGTATACACGGATTGTGCTCACGATGATGATATGTGCAAGACTTGAGTTTGCATTTGTGTTGAGAAAGCAGACTTTTGAAAATTGTAACATATTTTTAGTTTTCAAAGAACTTACAAGAAACAAGTTAAGAAATTCCAGTGCAATGATAAGATATATGGAATTTCATTCAAAGCAATCAAGTCCTTTCAGTTTGGTTCCATTAGTTTATTAAAGTGTCCTCCCTTTGTTTTAATACAGCTCCACATTCCACAGTTTGCTCTTTGAGGGTTTAAGTTGTGAGACTGTGCTTCCTTTTGTGTGTGTGTGTGTGTTTGTGTGTTTGCATGCCTTTCCAGAGAGAGAATAAAGTGGCTTGCGTTGTATTCTTAGACGCATTAAAGGGAGAGACAACTCAGGACCCAACCAGGCCTTGTGGAGTGCGCTTGCCAAGAATGTGGGCGTTTTCTGTTTGAGCAGACAAAACATCTTGTTGTTTGGTTCCCGCTTCTCAGAGCCGCGCTACCAGACGGAGCTCCAGAAGCTGGGCCTGCTCTCCTACACCCCCTCCAGGGAGGTCCACGGAAAGAGGATCAGCTCGTATGACGACAGGTGGCTGCGGTGTCACGGCGTAACGGTTTAGTTTGATATTAAACTTTTGTTTAACGCTCTTTTTTTTTTTTTCCCCTCCCACAGATTTATGCTGAAGCTGGCACAAGAGACAGGCGGAGTGATCGTTACCAATGACAACCTGAGAGACCTGTCCGATGAGTCCCCTGCATGGAGGGACATCATCAAAAAGAGGTAGACAAACATTTGAAGGAGAGCCAATTGATGTTTTCACCAACAAGGGCTGTCACATTTGTCTTCAAGAGCTTCAGATCAATTATAAATTAAACTAAGCAGCGGTTCTTAACCTGTTACCAAACCCTTCAGAGTTGGATTTTTAAATTTTTTTCATTAGTGCACAAAAAAAGTTATTTTGTTGTTTTTTTCCATAAACCCAATAAATCTTTGAATTTTCCATTGATATCCATCAATATCTTTACGTTTTTTTATGGCAAACCAGTGAAAATTAGTAAAAGTATTGTGCGAAAGACAAAAGTATTAAAAATGCATGCGGCAACCCTTGTGGCTGGAATAGACACACACACACCCAGACACACACACACACACACACACACACACACACAGCTCCTCTGAACTGACTCACCAAACCCCTGGGATTCTACCAAACTCAGGTTAAGAGCCACTGCCACTAAAGCGTGCGTCTTTTTAAGAGAAGTTAACCCCCTTTTGTTGCTTCCTCAGTCTTCTTCAATACACTTTTGTCGGGGATCTGTTCATGATTCCCGATGACCCCCTGGGCAGAGGGGGACCTCACCTGGATGACTTCCTCCGCTCAGAGCACAGGTAATAAACCAGTTAGATGTATATGATCTTTTAAGACAATCCAGCCTGTTTGCGTGTGTCGTTCCAAGATGGTGGAACGACCTACCAAGCGCCACAAGAACAGCAGAGTCCCTGTCTGTCTTCAAGAAACTCTTGAAGACCCACCTCTTCAAAGAGTATCTCCTATCCTAATCCTAACCCGTACCTCTACCCCCTTACAACTCCTTCTGTAGTCCCTCTACCTCTATCTCTTGCTGTCACCATTGACTCTGATCAGTGTTTCTCCTCTATATAGCTTATTGTCATAGTGATGAGAAATGTAATATTGTGTCTACTCTGTAAGTCGCTTTGGATAAAAGCGTCTGCCAAATGCATAAACATAAACATAAACATATGTGTTGTATCACTTGTAGCGTAGTCATTTAAAAAGAGATCTGGATTTGGCTGTCACTGTTTTCTGAATTCGCGTTTTCCCCTTTCAGAGGCCCCGATCCACGAAACCACTCCTTCGCTGGTCCGGCCACTGCTTCCTCTTCCCATAAACCTCCGCGCTCCCAGACCGAGATCTTAAACTTCCGGGACCGGACGCCCGGGGTTGCGCTGGAGGCCTCGGGGGGACGTGGCCGGGGTAAGGGCGGGGCACAGGGAAAGGGCTGGGACCAGGGGCACCGGCACGGGCAGCTGGAGGCAAACAGGACTCCGGAGGAGACGGCCGGCCTCAGGGACGACCTGTCTCAGATTTTCCCCGGTCAGGACAACACGGTGACGCTGGTGCTGCAGTGCCACCTGGCGGAGAGAGACATAAACGTGCTGTCCGATCTCATCCTGCAGCAACAGGGGGACTAGCATCGCCTCCATTCGGTACATCCGCTTCCAATTCTGGATTTTTTTTCGCCAAGATTCGCCCACCCTCTCTCAGGGAAATGCGAATCGTTCGGATTTCCACCTATAAACAACTAAAGCAAAGTGTGATCTGCATGTATGCCGAATAGAAACAAATACTCTGCCAAACATTGGTGCCATAAAAATGGTCCACGCTCAATCTTAGGGCAAGGCAGCCTTTCCCAAATGTACCATGATCAGCTGTGTTTTACCACTTATGCCTCCCTTCTGCCACCTCTGCCGCACTGCTCCTGGTCTTAAAAGAAAGTATTTTGCGCCTAATTTATATATTTTTTAAGTGTCGGACACTCTAAATGAGTTCCAGCTGCAAAGTTTGCAGCAGTGTTGACTTCAGTAAATGTTGGTTTATGTGCTCTGTAAAAAGTGCACATAAAAAGAGTGCTTTGTAAAAAAGAATGATTTCACAAATGCTTTTTTTATCCCTTAAACAGCTTTAATTTGAACAAAGCAAGCACTCTTTGTTCCAATGTGGAAGTTTTAAAGTACAGTTCCTGCCACTGTTCGTCCAGTGTAAGAATTTGCCTTCCGATCTGCTGCTTTGAAGCCTTATTCTCTCAAAGTTTTCCTTCATGTGGGAGGAAAATGGGAAACAGCACCGTGAGATTCTTTCTTTCCCCCATTGTCCAAAATATCAAAGAAGTGATAGCAAAAGTGATGAAGATGTTCCAAAAGGAAGCTAAAAAAATACGGTAATAATTATGGCAGTCTTTGGATGATTAGCAAGCCAATAAAGACGCTGCGGAAGAAAATGAACACAAATTAGGAATAGCACAAAAGAAATGTGGAAATATGCAATGTGGAAAAATAGATTAAACGCAGAAAATTCTAAATTAAATTTCACACATTTTATTTCTTTTTCTGAATAAACTGGATAAGGTTAATAATTTTATGTTTTTCATGTTCTTTGCAGAGTTATTGTTTTGGAACTCCTGTTATTCGATACATCTTTGTCTTTGTTTGATGAGTTATTGATGGACGGACCTGGCATGCAGCTCTTTATAAAAGCCACTTTTTTGTGTTTGCTGAAGAACTGTCGATTGTCAAATAGATCCTGATGGACAGATCTAAATCTAATTCTGCAGTTCTTTAGCCACAGCAGCTGGATGTGTACTATCCTCAGTACAACTTCAACTTTCGTCTTTTAAATCATTTTAAAAGTTGATTTTCTTCTTGTGCTTTACACTGACCAAACCTAAAGAATAATAATAATAATAAAAACTCTTCATTCTTAGCTTTAAGGCAGTCTGTAAGTTCGTGAAAGAAAGGGAGTGGCCCTTTTCCAAAGCTGCTCAAAGGATTTGGAGATTTGAGTCTTCTTCTCTTACTCTTTTTTTTATAATATTGGAGAATTTCTTTTCAATCTGCTGGGTGTAATCACCAGTTTCTTCTTGTGTGACTTGTCTTTTTTTTAAGTACTTTGAATGACTCCCACCGTCTTTCTTCAACCTCCTGACACTTTCCAACAAGGTGACAGATAAATGCCGCAGACGAGCTGAGAGGAGATTTCTCTCTTTGGCTTTTAAACTGGACACTGGAGACGAGCACATAAAGACTGTAAAAATCTGACAATCTTTGGATCTTTAGAATTGGGTAATCATCCCATCCTCTGAGATGGTGTCCTCTGTGTGTGCCTTAATATCTGAGAAAGATGTAGTAATTGTGTGGATTGTGTTTTTGCAGTCATATTTTTCTTAAGGAATCAGGTTTCAGATGGAGGGTGATAGCATGATAAGAGACATAATATAAAAAGGACGTTTTTTCAGGGTTTTTTTTTTTGTCTGGCACGTTTAACAGCTCTTTTTCGATTTTTCTTTTGCCTAAACTAAAGGAGTAATGGGAAAATGGACGGTGTAGGGTGTTGCTGTGGAAATGGAGAACCAGGCTTTTGTACATGCTATGCACTTGATTCTATTATTTTAACTTATTGTATCGGGGCCTTATGGCTTCACAGTGTTTGGTGATAAGTCACACAAGGTGTGACTGGACGTACAAAGGAATTATCCAAAGAAGACACCACACTGAGAATGACTTTTCCGGCGTGTTTCTAACTGAGAATCAAATCTGACTCATGTGAGATAATCTTATTTCAACTGTTTATATGTGTTCGTTTTAAGAACTTAATAAAATATGTTTTTAGGGACTAAATACTATTTGTGTGTTTTAAGTATTACCGGTAAAACTTGTAAAACTGTTTTTAGTCATCTCTTGTGTCTCATGATCAGCTAATTTAAAAATGAAAATGGGAAGAACTCAGAAGTTCTTTAAGTTTTTGCTGCCCTGGTTATGATTCATACATGATCATTTCCTAAGAAATATCCTGAGGACCAATGCTGCAGTATCCCCCATCAGTCACGAAGGTTTGCATCATGATCCAGTAGGCGAGTAATCAACTTTGTTCTAAAATAAATGCTTTTTTTGTTGTCGTCGTTATAAAAAATTCCCAGATCACTTACAAACAAGGGATCATATTTGTTGTCCAGTGGATGAATAGCCTGTCACATATTCGTTTATAAGCCAGGTTTTGGAATTTGACTACAAAAAGAGTATCTGTTTCATTTTGCATATCGCAGGCAGTTCGGTTGAATGACTGTTAGCTGAATCCAAAGGTCAGAGGTTTGGAAAAACACACGTACAACAACAGGATGCTTTGTGAAGGACGCTGGACAACACGGACACAAGGTGTCGACTCTGAATTAATTCAGCGACTAATCACCGTTTGGACTGCAAGCGTCTCACAGCTCTGAACATCAACCAAAAACTGAATTGCCCACTTGTCAACTGTCACATGGAACAGATTGCTGTTCATCTGAATTCCCACCAGAGGTCAAACTTTACCACCGTTTGTCTGAAAACAGGACGAACGCCATAAAGTGGCATATATGTATACTTATATCTATATTTATCTTTATATATCGATACATTATAGATATATATATTTGTATGTATTGCTGTATGTTGTAAACAGAACTGAAAAGGCCCATTGTTTCTCACTTCTGTGTTTCTCTTTTGTGTATAAGGAAGTTCTCCCTGTAAGTCGCAAGCACAGTAACTGGAACAGGCCCTCTTTGGATCCAGCAACCAAAACACAATGCCTGAATAAGGTTGTGTGTTTTAGAGAAGAATGACATTGTCTGTTGTGTACGTTACAGAGTAAGCTCGGCTTAACTTTGTAGAGACGTTGCAAAAACATGGATCAACAGTTTGGAGATCATTTTAATTGGTGGATGGAAGATCAAGAAAGTTGGCAACAAAAAAATGTCTCAAACTGTGTATCTGTTTGTCGTATTTTTTCCGGCACCCTTTCCTCCATCATTCGCCTCCTCCGGCTTTCATTTTGTTGTTGGGACGTTTTGTTTTGTGTTTGGGTGACGCGCACAGAAAGGAGAGCGGGACACATGTCTGGTAGTTGTGTTTGCACAGGAAGACTTCTCCCTTTTGAACTTCACAGAGGAGCACAGTGCTGAGTCTTTCCGAGAATAGAACCACACCAAACCGGTTTAGTGAGGTTCTCAACAACAGAGAAAAGGGACCGCGCATCTATTTTGGGAACATCCTGAGCGAGACAGTTTTCAACAGGCTTCGGAGCAAAATTGGAGGCTTAAAGGCCGCTTAAACAAGTCTTCTGTTATACAATACGCATTCAAGTTTGTGGCCATGCACTGAGAGGCAGTGGGCAGTGCATTGATGGAGGGGCACAGCTAGGACAATCAAACAAAAAAGAAAAAAGAGCAGAACATTTTTGTTATTAGGTTATTCTTAAAATCTTCTCGGAGTGAAACAGTGGTGTGGCCTCACAGCGGGATGGTTTCCCGGGGTTGAGTGTGTGGACTTTGTATGTTTTCTGGAGAGACCCCACGCATCCAGCGACTGCACACATTGCAAAAAAAAAAAACACACACACAAAAAAACAGAAGCTGCACCATCATACAACCTTATTAACGTGTGTGTTTGCCTGTGTCGTAAAATACTTTTACTGGCGACATGGGGAAATATTAATAAACCAATAAAGCTATGTGACCCGAGAAAGGTAAACAAGAGAGATAGGGGGCAGAGGAGCTCAGGAAGAATAAATTTAGCTTTCACGTTGTCACGGAACCATTGTTGTATCAACGTGTTGCATTGTGTATGATCTCTTACCTCACACTGCATATTTACATAGTTAAAGCAGACCTGCGGTTCTATTTGCAATGAATAGTCTTCAAACTTTTTTATTACGTTTCATCCTCGTGATACGAAGAATAAACGTTATCTGGCATGGATTTAAAAGGCACTTGCATTGCTTATTAGTTATAGTCAGCATGTGATGATGCTAAATCAAGCTAGTCCCTGAGTCAAAGGCTTGTCCTACCATTGCACCTTATTTGCTTTATCCACACACCTGGTCTTGTTGAATGCTTGTATTTGTGTTTCCATTTAATCTCCAGGCCCATCTCAAATTTTGCACTGCCTTTATTTAATCTTCTCTCTCTTTTTCCTTCACGCTTGCACTGATTTGTTCTTATCTTTGCAGCATTATTTTCTTGTCTTTGCAGCTTGTTATTTGTTCGTTGCATCTAATCTTGGCACTGATGAGTATTTGTCTTTGCACAGTTCTTATCTTGTGCAAATCCAAGATGTTGCACTATTGCTGTCAAGCACTGAAGATTTTGAAATGGGAATGTTTGTTATTTGTGAGCAGTACCATCTGCCACCTTCCGACTGCCCTAAAATTAGCATTACTTAGCACGACAAGGTTGTGAAAGATCCCCATTCTGACCGTTTCCATTTTCAAAGGAAAGCACAGCAAAGCACTGTTTTGAAAAGTTGCAATAAGTGGCCATTTTACAGCATTTAATAAAAGAGTTTGTTTCAGGGAAATTTCATGAAGTGTTTTTAGCTGAAGAATTAGCCATGAAACTCAATGTTTAAAAACAAACACAAAGCTACATGTTTTTTTTAAATAGAAATATCCAAAGGTATGTCAGATTTTCATATACTTATTTGATGATTATTTTAAAACACTTCAAAATAATGAATGGCATGTGTTGTATAACTCATATTGATCAACCTCAGGCATATCTGTAATTTGTGTTATGTATATCTCAGTATTAACTATATATTCTTTGAATAATTTAAAAAGTAAGTCAACATACTATCGGGACACCAGCCCTGACAGCAGCTTCAGTCCGACCTCTGACCCTTCGTCCCTCTCCATCTCTCTTCTTCTCTGTTTACCCACCTCCTCCTATTTGCGTTGCCGCTGGACCAGAGCGCTCTGGCTCGAGTCCGCGTGCGCACGCCCACGCGCTCACACACCTGCCTCGCGCCCCTACGCCGAGTCTTCCCCTTCAGTGGCTCGTGCCCCGAACGAGACTCGGAACTTTCTTTCTAGCGGCGGTTGCCCGCGGACGAGAAGGGGTCGTTTCGGACGGATAGTTTAGCCTTTCGTTCGGGTAAACTTTCCTCTTTGCGCTGCGCCTCGACGATAAAAAAGGATAAAGGAGGAAGCGGAGTGACAAAAAAACAAAAAAAAAACAGCGGGGAATTTTAACCTGTAAGAGGAACAAACTTAGTTGAAAGCGACGAAGTCCAACGATAACATCAATGAACGATGAGGTAAGCTTAACGTATGTATTTGTAAGGTGTTAACGCATTTTAGGTGGGAATTCTTGAGCTTTTCAACCAAAGCCGATGTATAAAAAAAATAAGACATGGTTCCTTGACTTTATGTCACCAACATAAGTTTTTTGTTTGGGGTTTTTAATTAAATTTGTTTAAATACACGGGGTCATTCAACTATATGTTTAGCTAACCCAGGAATGGTCCCAATGGCGTTTTTATGCGCCTGCTTCCGTCTTAAAGTATGCCATCTGGTCTGGTTTTCCATGGCTTTCTATGAATGCTGTTTTTACTATACCAGCAGCATCTATTGTCATTCATGTTAGACTTTAAAATGTCAGCGTTTTAAGAAGTTTTTTAACTTTAAGATACCATAAGCGAGCTTATACAGGAATCAGAGGCATGCATTCCTTTTCTGCCCTTCTGATTTTTTTCCGCTGCTACTTATGTTTTTTTTTAACGATATTCGATTGTTTTTCAATGTGGGACTATCGATGGGTCTGTTCTCTTGTAATGTTGATAATTTTCTTACATGTCCAGTCCTGCTTTATGTCTAAAGCATTTTACATACTAGAAAGACCAAGGTGCTTTGCAGATTACCAAAAAACATTCATATGACAAATACCCTTTATAGCCACAGTAACATAGCATATTTAGGTCCAAAAGTCTTAAAAACAAGTAGAACTTCAGTAAAAACTCAAATAAAATAAGCACAAATTGAAATCGACAGTCTCAAAGGCCCTTTTTAAGATTACATTTTGAAAGTCTTATGTCACCTAGGTGAATTTGTGTCTACAATTAGTGTTTACCAAATCTTTAAAAAAATTTCTGGTCACATGCTATCCACCTGAAGACGGTTATTGTTTTTACCCCGAAAAAAGGTAATCACAGCTTTACTGGATTGGGTTTGATCTGACCAAGTTCTGGAAAACCACTTCTGTTTTTGACAAGCAGAATGGAGTAATGAAACCAGCAAAAAAAGGGGAAAAGGATACCAACTGAGGAGTGGTTCACTAAAGTGAGAGCAGTATGTGAGCAGCCATTACAACACAGTGCAAAAGAAGTGTGTTTGTGTTTAATATTTACAGTATCCTTGTATAAAAGGTGTCCAGATTATCTCTAATATCCAGTATACCGGACTTATTGAGATGTATCCTGTAACCCCTCTTCAACTGGACTCTCATTTCAGATACATATGTTTAACATAATAAAAACAGTTGTAATCCAGTATTTTAGTGACTTCGATGGGGTGATAAATTCAGGCTACAGAGAATGGGAAACGCAAGGAAATCTACATGTTCTAAACCCCTCCATAGTCTTTAAGGAAAACCTATAAGGGCATAAATTAAAGCAAAAAAAACAAAAATGCAGAAATCATCCCCTTCTTTAAGGCCCCAATTAAGGGTGTAGGCAGCATTTGACTGCATTTGACCAAATGCAGCTCATTAACTGATCATTTTCAAGTGTGAGCCCCTCTATAAAAGCCCAGGTTTGGGTAGTGTGCTGCTCTATAGCATTCAGGTGTGTGTTAGCTAAAGGCCATTGAGGAAATGCATCAGCATTGACCTTAAAAAAGCAATTGTTGCTGCCAATCAGTCTGAGAGGAGCTGTAAGGTCATTTCCAGAGAATAGGAAGTACATAATGCAGGGCTTGGTGATATACAAGAAAAGATCTCAGATTGTATATACTGTCATTTTAAGACTAGGCTTTCTTACAAATTTCTACCAATAACAGAATCTAGTTCAAATAAGTTTGGCTTTAATTTGATGACGGATTGTTGCAGTTTTCTTGAATATAAGATACAGCTAAACATACAAGCTTTGAAGCTTAGTTGTAAAATAAGATGGCTACATGTTTTCTGCTCTGAAGTTTTCAGCATGTGAATAAAACCAGGCTTTTCCAATGTAAAATGGACGTCAGATCTTCAGCCGTGTAAAATGCAACCATATCTCTGATTGCTTTATACCGGGCCTCTTCCTTATTATACTTTGAAAATAAGTCCCCTAATGCGATTTTTATCTGAGGGAGTTTGATGACTGCCTCTTTCGTTTGCATCTCGTAGGTAGCAGCTTGCCTCTGTTTGAGGTGTGGATATAAATTGGTTGTACTGCCTCCTTTGGTAGCAACAGCTTTGAAAAGTAGTTTTACAATATGTTGTTACTTGTTCTGAGACAGTGCATTAAGAAATGATTAAATATACAATGGTTCCATCGGACCCTACATATCTCAGTTAGGTTGAGTTCATAACTGTATGTTAAAAAAGTGTTTTTCTTTTTTTTTTAAACAAGAAAGCATATTTTTTTCTAAAAGAGAATAACAAGTTTGTTCAAAACAAACCAAATAAATTCTGTAACAATGTCCTTTAGGCGGTTGAGACCAAAATGGATTTTGAGCAGCCCCGTGAGAAAACCCAAACACAGCACATCATTACAGACAATGGTTTAATGGGTTGGGCATCTTTTAAAACCACTGAACTGTAGTCTTATAACAGGACAGTGATCCAGCAAAACAAAAAAAAGGCCAGCAAATCTTCATGACAATGGAGAAAGAAAAGCCTTTTAAAGTCCAGACCTCAGCCTCATTGATGTGACTTAGAGCTTCAGAGAGAAACCTTTCCCCACAAAGCTCAATGAACTGGAGCGACATTAGAGCAGAGTGGAAAACTTTTCCATAACAATGTTGGAGACAGATGGCGCCATGAAGAGAACAGGCACTAGTAATTACAGTTAAAGGCGTCTCTTCAAGTTACCAAATTATTTGATACACTAACCAGCTCATTTTGTTCACACTCACTTTAAACAAATAATAACAGGGATTAATAGATTCTGTGTTGTTCATCTAAGACTAAATGTATCTTATTTAGGTCTTGGGTAGAGTAAGATTAGTTTTAATCGCATCCTGAATACTAAATTCTGAGAACTGACAGGACATACTTTCTTTCTTACCTGACTGTAGGTGTCGAATACGGAAACGTGTTTCTAGTGTATTTAGGGTGAGTCACTGACATTTCATTCCAGCACGCACCTGAGCTCTGTGCCCTACGTATTTTGTACATGAGTGTGCGTCTCTGGAATAGAACCCACAGCCTGACGAACAAGTTTTTTTGCATAATGGGGAAATAACTAGAGGCACTCTGTCATTAAAAGGATATCAAACCATGGGCAAGGACAAGCTCATTGTTTCCCTTTTTGTTCAGACAGACGGCTGCCTCACAGCTAAAACTGACTTTTCTATTTGTTGATTGTGTTCCAGCCTTATTTATGTGTTTTCTGTTTTGTGTTTTCTGGCAGGAAATCAGTTCATCCTCCAAGTATGGCTCAATGCTCATCTAATGAGATTCTACTGGAGTTAAAGATTCCTTATCGACCCGAGGGACTTTAACAGATCAATGTGAGCTCAGTCGTAACTTTTACTTCCACCTTTAGCTTTGCAGTTGTGTTGTTAGCTTTGTCTCTTTTCAAATCAGAGGAGCTGGACTCCCTCATGAACGTTCTCCGAATCACCCGTTTTTGATGGTGTTAATTTATTAACCTGACAGATAGACAGCTTAAAAGCCCTTTAGCAACTCTTGACAAGAATATCAAGTTTTAAGCATTGCTCTGGTATGCATTTATCACATAGAAAGGCCAACAGAGAGCCAGGGAGAGCACGGCAACACCTTGAGAGAGCGTGAAATTCTTCCCACAAGCTCTGTTCACCATGCCAGACGAGTCCCAGGCTTCGCGGGACAGTTGTAAGCCTGATGGAGAAGCACCGCATGTGTCTTCGGTCCCGGACATTGTCGTCGTCTCCAGTGATGGAAAGGGCAAAGGTAATGCCCTCAAGCTGAATGACCTCAGAAACACAACAGACACCTTAAAAGAACCAAGAACCGCATCACAAAGGAGTGATGACGCTAGGAATCTATCGGTGGAGAGCCAGTCAGGACTCAGCGAATCCCAGGTCTCTGTGGAGGTGGGTGTGGTGAAAACAGCCCACGCCCTCGAACCTCTCGAGACCAATTCTTTGATTATAGGATCGGGATTGTCCTTGCTGAATGTTGATAACGATGAAGTGGGCTCAACCTGTGACAAGCCACCGAAGGAGGAAAGGCTCTCCCTGCAAAACAACAGCTGCACCGATTCAGACTACGGCAGTACAAAGTCCAGCCCTGGTTACGCTTGCACCAGTTTCAGCACTGATCTCTGTGATGAAGAGTTGCTGGAACTGAACCAAAAGTCATTTGAGAAGATGAACTCCCTCTCTCCTGTTAACCTGTCCGAGAACAGTTTGAAAACTTCCAAATCGGACAAAACAGTCATGCACGCTCTGGACGGTATCCTGGACGGCCCCAGAGCGGACCTTGTCGTCCAACCGAGCCGGGGAGACTCGGTCAGTTCAGCTGCGTTGCCTTCATTTCAAGTTAACCGAAGCCGAGACAGCATCGATGTTAGGTTGGATGAGGAGGATGGAGATGAAGACGGGCGAAGCACCGGATCAGGGTGGAGTGTGAAAGAGGGGGTGTGTTGCTGCTATCAGGCCTTCCACAGAGCTTTTCTACGGTGCGTAGAAGAGACCCCAACCATGTTGTCCGGCCTAGTGCTGTCGTTACTCTTCTGCGTGGTCATCATCATTGTCATCCCCACCACTGGAAGGGTGAGTTACAGTTTGTGTGTTTCTTTTAGAGAGGGAGCATGCTTTCAGCGTTAAATTTGCCTGCCTCATGCCTGTAACAGTACTGAGTAATGATTATTCCAGCATATGTATGATTTTCTCCAATAAATGGTGAAACAAAAGGTGTAATTGTCTAAGGAAACATCACCTTTTAGCTAAAATAAAAGCAGCAAATGTGAAGCACCTCATTAGTGTTCTTTCATTTAAAAATAAGAGCAAGGGGAAGATTATTTTTTGTCCTGTGTTGATGTTTTATGGCTAACGGGATTGATAACTTGCTGCTTTATAGTCAGAGGGGGTTCCTTTTAGGTTTTTTGCGTTTTTTGTTTTTAAAATGCATTAGTTCAGAGGTCAAAAACAACACTAAGAAAGTGGAGCATTGAAACCTGCTTTGCAAAACATTGCTTAAGACATTCCTGTGCTGGTGTCGTCTTTGGGATTCCTCTGTCCTGTAAATCAGGACAGTGAATTTAAAAATATCTTTAGGTCATTGGCACCAATTTGTGTTTAGAAAAAAACGTTTTGACCTTTCACAAGTGTGTTGCATATACTCGTTTTTACAGAACAGTCATTTTAACTATGAAAACTAAAAGTTTTTGGTTTTATACCAAACCTGACTCTGAAAGTTTCACTGCAGTTTCATTCACTCCAGCAGTTTTCACACAGCTAAGATGTTTATCTTTTATTCCATGGAGAATTCTCTCACTCTTGGTTCTTTAGTTCACTTCCCAGCACCTTAAAGACCACGTCGGGGCTCTGTCGGTGGTCTGTGTGGTTCTCTGCCTGAACGCCATCCTGCTCATCTTCCTGCCCTGGCTGGCCACGCTGAGACGCTGTGGAGGAGCACTGGCCCTCTTCGTCTGGGGCACACTGTACGTCACCGCCATAGTCTTCATATTCACGGGAGGACCTGTGACAGCATGGGAACAGGTGAGGAGATGGCAGAAAGAGAGGAAAAAAGCTTATTTTGTTTAAAAGATGATTAGTTTGGAACTCTTATGCTCTTTTTTTCACATGTCTTTCTTTTAGGTAGCATTTTTCCTCTTCCTCTCTGTAAGTGTGTACACTGTCCTGCCCCTCTCTCTGGCCTGGGCTCTCATGGTCGGTATAGGGACCAGTGTTACGCACATCATCATTATCAGCGTATATGTTCCTGTCACCAGCCCGGAGACACCAGACCTGGCTGTTCAGGTAAAGAATTCAGCCTTTGAACTCTTTTTAAACTATTTCAAACTGCACAATTGCAATTGAATTCTAATCAGAAGACCAGCGTCATAAATATCAGTTCAAGCGTAGATTGATGGTTCAGAGAGACAGTTCCAAAGCTTCATGACTGAATGAGAGCAGAGGGTTGTGAATAATCTGATCTAGAGATTTATACACCTTTTTGCATGTGCATCAACAACGCAGCCATATTCAAATGTTACGTGAAGTTCCTGTCGGCCTTCACAGTGGCATTTTGTACTGTGTGACCAAAAGCTGGAAAAGATGTAAATGATCAAAAATCCCTCTTACTGTTCATCCAAGAGGTCCAAAAGCAGTCCATACGCAGTTATTTGTTTGTGCAAAATAGTCCTCCTGTCATAACACATTTCAGTGTCCGCTGATGCAAATGAGCCTGTTTTACATGCTATTCCTCTGTAGTAGTTCAGCTGCTTCCCTGTGTCCTCTGTGACCCTTTGAAAACCTCCCGTTCTTGTCTCTTCCCTCCCAGCTTGTGGCCAATGCTGTGCTGCTTTTGTGTGTGAACGGAATCGGGATCTTTCACCTGTGGATGACCGAGCACGATCTCAGGATATCCAATCAGAAGAGGGAACAGTTCAGTGCCATTCGGTCCCAGAAGGAAGTCAAAAAATATCAGCAGGTTAAAATTCTTTCTTTGTAAACAGTTTAGAAAAAGGGTTCCATACTTTTCTCTACATTTTCTGTAGTTATTATGAGGATATCGGAAGACTGCTTTAGAAATTAGCTTCTAGGGATGATGTAATTTAAAAGGCTTCATGTTGTTTGGTTTATTTCATACAGCCACTCTCTTGATTTCTGCTTATGTCATTTACTCTGAATTTAAAATCGTTATGTGTAATCGCTCTCATTAAACGACTCTCTACATGGACAGCCATGGCTTGCTACGCGTATGCTTTTCTTGCGATTAGGTCAATAGATTAATCATTCACTTGTCTGAAGCTCAGCAGCAATAGATTAAGCAAACCCAAATGGATACCATTCATAGCGAGCAAACAGAGATGAAACACGATCCACTGAGTCAACATGACATGGCTTCAAGGAGGCCACCTGTTTCTTTTACAGGCTCTGTGGACAGATGTAGGGTAGAAATCCAATGACCCGCTGCACATGTTCTCACAAGCCTGTCACCCACCTTCTCCTCACACATGCACTCACCCTCATCCCTTGTGTTTCCTCGGCAACAGGAGCGGCTCCTCCTTTCAGTGTTGCCACGCTACATCGCCGTGGAGATTAAAACGCAGGTGATTAAGAGGCTGTCCGAACCCAAGACCGATAAAGGGAAAGAAACCAACCCCAACAACTTTCACAGCCTTTACATCCGCCAGCATAAAGACGTCAGGTGATGATTGACGGCGATGTTGACGAACGAATTACAGTGCTGCGTAGTTCTGATTGGTTAATTAATTACAGTAGTATTCATAGACCTTTTTGTTATAGGCTTACCTTTAAACATCAAAGTTAAAAGTTCTCAGAGATTTTCTGTACTTCCTTCAATGTTCATAACTAGAACACATGTATAACAGTTGTTTGTGGGTCTGTGCAGCATCCTGTACGCAGACATTGTGGGCTTCACGAAGCTGGCAAGTACATGCACACCCGAGGAGCTGGTGGCTGTGCTCAACAAGCTTTTTGGCAAATTTGACGACATTGCAAAGGTAAGTATTCCCCGCTTAACCCAAAAAAAGAAAGAAAGAGGTTTTTGTAGCTCTAAACTCTACACCTTTTCTCCTGTGTTTCATTCAACGTGCAGAAGAATGGGTGCCTTCGCATAAAGATCCTGGGTGACTGCTACTATTGTGTGTCCGGGCTGCCTGACCCCATTCCCACCCACGCTAGGAACTGCGTTCAGATGGGGCTGGACATGTGCACGGCCATCAGGTCCATTTCTCTGAGTTTTACCTGAAGCCTGACTGTTGACTTCACAGTTTCTGTGAACCAATGATTTCTTCAAACTGATGTGAACGGGCTGTAAAATGCAAAAAAAACTCAATCTCCCTCTTGATTTCTGGTATACGGCAAAAAACTTTTCAGTTTGAATCTAGTGTTACTTCACTCCATCCTTAATTTGATTTACCTAGTTTGTTTCTTTCATTGAAATATTCCATGCTTATATCCACATTTGGTTCTCTTGTAATTGTTTTAACTGTAATTATGAGTTTTGATAAATTTAATTCTGATATAATGAATGTTGTCTTTGTTTAAAGATATAAAATCAATCAAATGGAGGACAGAATTGAATTCGTTTCAAGTGTGTCTGTGACAGTTTTGCTTCATTTGAATTTACAGCTAACACTTAAAATGAGCTCTAAAGCACGCTAAAACATGAAGGAAACACACTGCTTTTCTGATTCTGACTTTGTGCCGGCGCTACAGTAAACTGCGTGAGGCCACGGGGGTGGAAATCAGCATGAGGGTCGGCGTTCACACTGGCAACGTGCTTTGCGGCGTGATCGGCCTACAGAAGTGGCAGTACGACGTGTGGTCCCACGATGTCACTTTAGCCAACCACATGGAGTCAGGGGGTCTTCCTGAGTGAGAAAAACGAGATCTTCAAAAAGAAAAAAATTGTTTTATAATAATATATTTGTTTTTACATTATACTTTGTTTTGTTTTTTTGGAATTTCTTCCAATTTTGTTGTAATGATGATTTAAACAGGCGGGTCCACATCACAGAGGAAACACTGCAGCATTTGAATGATGCATACCAAGTGGAGGATGGGGATGGGGGGAGTCGGGATCCTCTTCTTAAAGGAAGAAAAACATACCTAGTGATTGACCCCCACAAGTCAGACAGCGTTTCCCGGAGGTTTAAAACAGTGAGTGTCATTAAGCGAGCTAAATTGTAGTTGTGGGATTATTTTTTATTAGACAGAATAAAAGGGTACATGTAATAATTGGTTAAAATAAGGGGGCAAGTTACTTTTATCTGATTACTCTTATGAAAGAAGACAATTTAAAACAGGAAAGTACTTTTTCTGTGCGCATTGAATGCAAATCTTTGCGCAAAAGTGATCTTAAGCAAGACAGAAATCACTGAATGTCTTAGTTTATGGTGTCCTTGAGGATCTTGGTAAAGAGCAGAACGTGGTGTGTAATGAATGCCAGGTTAAAAACGTGGCTTTCCTGGCTGTTTCAGGCCAACAATTTGGAGACGGGGGAGAACAGGCAGCGGGCGTCGGTGCGGATGTCTCAGTACCTCCAGTCCTGGCAGACTATCCACCCTTTCGCAGACCTCAGCAACCCCGACACCAAGCGCCACAAGAAGTCCATCATCCCCATCAAAGACGTGATGAAACGGTCGCAGCTGCCCGCAGTAAGTGTGCTCTCACACCATTTCTAGGCCATATCTGATCATCAATTCTGTTGCATGTTTGAGCCAAATAATGAAGCTTCTGATTCTTACGTGTCTTTTTAAATCAGAATAGACCACCGTCTAATGACAAACCCAATGGGTAAGTCCGTCATTAATGTGTGAGCTGTGTGAAGATTTTTTTGCAAACAAAATCTGTTGTCCAAGAAAGCCTGTGACTCAAAAGCCATTGCAAATGCTGTGTTTTAGTGTCCCTGTGGACAACCGTGTCAGAGGCTCTCTGGACCCGTTAGACACTGCAGTGTAAGTGTGCCCTCCTGTTAGCTTCTCTTAGCTTCTTCTGATTTAAGCCCCCATTTGTTTTTGTCTTATTTTGACTACTATATAGCGTTTATAATTCTGCTTATAAAGTTTGATCACTACTGTTTTTGTCATTTGTTTAGGAAAAGCGGCAAGAAGCTCAACTGCCTAACCTTGCTTTTCAATGACATCGGCTTAGAGAAAGAGGTAGGTTGGAACACTTTTAGCGTCTGTTGTTGGGGCCATGCTTTTCATATCCAAAACTGTCGCTAAGCTACAACAACCTGCTTTTGTTTTCCAGTTTCGCCTTTCCGAAGTCAAAGGTTTACATCACTCAATGAGCTGCTTAGCTGTGGTCTTTGTGAGTCTGTTCACCGTCCAGATGCTTGTCTCCGAAAAGTAAGCAGGGCTTTGGTTTTACTTAGTTCACACTCACTAAACCCAGAGGTCACTCTCACTACTAGAATAAAGCTTTTCATTTTTTACTAAGACACCTGATTTGCTCATGCTACGCTCAAAACCGGAGATAGTTTCCTTTCTTACTTGCCAGGAGGTGCAGACAGATTAATTCTTTTTGACTAAATAAAGAAGACATTTTCAATCGTTCCAGGAACTTTGTGATGGCGGTGTCCTATGGGGTGACCTTCCCGGTGATGGTGCTTCTTATGACCATCACTTTTATTGGATCCATGGAGGTAAACAAAAACTGTGCATCTGTTTGTGTGTGGTGTTCTGACAGCTGTTGAGCAGGATAGATAAAAAGCATAATATCCAATCTGATGCTCAATGTTTGGAGTTCTTCATCTATGATCACACATCGTTGACTTGTTTGTTTGTTGTTTCTCAGAAATGGCGCTCCAAAATGCCTTTGAATGTCCAGTGGATTTCGGGACTTTCGCGTAATGTTTCCACCGTCGCAGCACTGCGGCTGTTTGTGGTGATTTTCTGTGTGCTCATCACCTTGCTTATGGCCATCCTCAACTTGGTGGGTTCATTTGGAGGTCTATGGAACAAAAACTGTATTTAATTTGGATTGTTTAGAAAATTTAACAAGTGGTCCTCGTCCTCTTCTCGCCAGACCCTTCCCACAGGCAACAACTGCACCTCAGTCGTTAACAAAACAGAACTTGAAGGTCTCAGACTCTACACTGTGCCTGTAAGTGCAGTTTGTTTTTCCTTATTTCATTTTATTTCTTTGAAATTCTGCTCAGCATGTTGGACAAATGACCTCTTCACGTTCAGATATCTAATAGATTGTTCGTCTTTACTTTTCTCTCTGCTCTCAGTCAGAGCTTTGAAACTTGCACCTAACCTGTTTGTTCATTTTTCCCCTCCCATTCCTCTCCTCTCCTCCAAAACATCCAGTACTATCTGTACTGTTGCCTGCTGGCCATGCTGGGAGTGATTGTTTTCACCAGGACGTGTTTCTCTGTGAAAGCGCTGCTGCTTACGCTGGCCGTGGTGGTTTACCTGGCCCTCTTCATCCATGTTTATGCGGACAGATCCAACTGCCTCGTGTCTCTGCTTTACAATGACACAAAGTGAGTAGTTAAACATTGTTTGTTTTTTACCTCATAGTCATTTTAGGGCTAATTTGGGGTTTTGATTCTCAAAGGGGAAAAAAAGAAAATTAACAACAATTCCAGTTAGTACCATCTGGACCTCTAAAGCCAAAAAATACATCACAGTAAATCTTAACTGTCCCAAAATTAGACTGAAAGCAGCTTGTTGTTTGGTTTGAATGCAGCACGTCAGCACTACTATTCTTCAACACATGTCGGTGTGTCCTCCCTCTGCCATTATTCCTTATTGGCACAGATTTCTGCCAGTTAAATTTGTTTTGTAAGTCTTAACCGTTTTAGTGATATTAAGCTTTGGGCATTTTATTTGGTTGAGTTGCGTTCAATAACCCCAAAATGAACATATAAAATCAACGTGATCAGGATCTTGCTCCAACCTTTGAAATCCAATCTGTGCATTCTTCTTTGTTTCTTTTCCAAAACCCAAAGATGTTCAGTACACTGTTCAGAATGATAAAGACAAGCCTGAAATCCAGACCTTAAAGAAACCAGAACCTCCTCTCCTTTTTTTAATCTAGTCTAGTCTAACTTTCTAGTCTAACAACTCAAACTTTTACGAAAGTAAATTGTTGTTCCCTTGCTTTAATAGAAGTAAAAAATCACTTGTACTTCATAGCACCACTGTTTAGATAATGTGATCAAATTAATAACAACATGAAAAAAAAAAATGTACAAAAAAAAAAGAAGCCTTGTGAGGCCTCCACATTTTTCAGGTTTATCCACAGACTTCATGCATTAAATTAGCGCACAGTCACTCCCGTCTGTGCTCTCTTTTACAAGATGGGTGTTATGTTCTCTGCCTTTTGTCTGCCACCAGATTGGGAATCCTTGTCTGTGGTTTCCGATTACCATCATTTATTCAGCAGGTGCCCACCTGGGCCAGCAGACTCCATTTTGATACCAAACACTTTTGTTGTTTGGGGAAATATGTAATGGAAGTCCAAAGAACTTTTTTTTTTATGGGAGATTGTGTGCATATCTGCAGGCCCGGTGTGCTGAAGGACCCTCAAATCATGTCTGGGATTTGGCTGGTGGTCTTTTACATGGTATGCCTCATTCTGGCCCGACAGGTGCGTACAAGCATACGGCTGAATTGTGATGAGACTGAACTGAACCAGAAACGGAGGTTCGTACTGATTTTCCGCCTCCATATCTGTCTTTCTTGTTCAGGATGAGCTGGGGTGCCGGGTAGATTTCTTGCTGGAGCGTTGTTTCAAAGCAGAGAGAGAGGAGATGGAAACCATGGAGAACGTCAACAAGCTGCTACTTCAGAATGTCTTGCCTCATCACGTGGCCTCTTTCTTCATGGGCAAAGATGTTCGCAATCAAGTAAATATAAGAAGCAAAAAATGGACAGTAGCTGCTCATGAGTTACTTCCTTTCTTTTTTACTTTTAGGATTGTAAATGTTTAAAGGAAAGGGTCCCGCTTTAAACTTTGTTTTTTTTTCAAAGTACAAAGGTTGGACAAAGCCAAAAGGCATAAAATGACCTGATTATTGCAGAACAAGAGCATCCATAGAGCAGAATCATGCTCAAGCAGGTTCACTGATACTTGTGGGATCTCCATGTCTAATCTCAGCCAACAGCATTTGGAAGCAGCTTTTCAAATGGATATCCCTGTTTTTGACAAGAAGGATTCTAAAATGTTAGCAAAGGTTTTACTGATTTAAAAAATAACAACAAAAAAACCCTCTTCATTTGACAAATGTGTTTCAGGACCTGTACAGTCAGTCCTACGAATGTGTGTGTGTGATGTTTGCGTCAGTGCCCGAGTTCAAAGAGTTCTACAACGAGAGCAGCGTCAACAGGGACGGTCTGGAGTGCTTGCGCCTCCTCAATGAAATAATAGCTGACTTTGATGAGGTAAAAGGAACACAAAAAAAAGAGAAGAGCTTCAGATTCCAGTCAGCAGGTCTTTGTTGTGTGTATCTCTAAACCAGTCGCTCTTTCTCTGTCTCTCACAGCTTCTCTCAAAGCCAAAGTTTTCCTCTGTGGTGAAGATTAAAACCATAGGCAGCACCTACATGGCCGCCGTAGGCCTGACACACGGTCCTCCAGCAGATGAACAGAAGGTTTGCCCTCTCTTTTTCTTTCTCTTTGGGTTGCTCAAGCGGACTTCTGAAAGAGGCTGATATATGGGCTTGTAATGTTGATCTTTGGATCCACAAAAAGAGAGAAGTGCGCTCTGTCTGACTCATGATCCGACTAATGTGGCCTCTGGCTCCCCCTATAGAAAATCGACATGTCCTACAGCCAAGTGCGCACCATGGTGGAGTTCGCTATTGCTCTGATGGGCAAATTGATGACAATCAACTTGCACTCTTTTAACAACTTCAAACTCAGGATTGGTGAGTCTGTTTGGGAATACCACATGCAGTAATGTACATATCGCCCCTTTGGATGAGCACTGCCTTTGTCCATAATCTCCTTAAACTGGATTCGGAGATTTTTCAAATTCCAACTGTAGTTCCTCACTGTTTTTATTTTCAGTTCAGTGGTTTGAATGAACCCTGAACAAGCACTCGACGAGCCATTCCCCTCAGGCAGGTTACTGCGCTGTATTGCTTTGACCCTGTCAACACGCCCTGACGTTTAAGGAGAGGAAAGGAAAGTCTGATTCACCCTGTCAGTCATACTGGGGCATGCTATGTCAGCTATTTTATTCACACGAAGAAAACACACCAACTTGTTTTTCCACCTTAGTTGCCCGAGCCCCTCCTATAACTCGCAAGAGCCCGACCCTGCTAGTAGTCAGGTTCGATCGCAGGGGGGGGGGGGGGGGGGGCTCCTCCAACCAGTGAGGCTGTGATGTTGCCTCCCTGAAGCAGTGGGTGGTGCTCGTCACCTTTAAAGAGAAATGTTTGAAAAAAAAGGGAGAATATGAAGACATGAAATGTGCAAGGACTGTGTTTAAAGAGACACTTTTGATTTGCGTTATCCATATAAACACTAATTCACATGTTCTGCTGTGCACCTGCAGGAATTAACCACGGCCGGGTGATCGCCGGAGTCATCGGAGCCCATAAACCTCAGTACGACATCTGGGGGAACTCTGTCAACGTGGCCAGCAGGATGGACAGCACAGGGGTGCTGGACAAGATACAGGTGGGTGGTCCACACTGAAAACACGCACAAATGAATTCCCTGAATGCCCCTTTTTTACAGCCTGGGTCATCATCAGATTTCATGATTGACTGAGGTTTCAGAGCTTTTATTTTTGATTCTCATTGAATATAAAAGTGAGGTGGAGAACAAGAGAACCAGCTGCCCTTGAATTTGATACGAGGTGCAGTACTTCTACAGCTGGATAACATCTGTGACGTACACAAAACTGAATACAGGGGAATTAAATGAGGTACCTTTTGGCTATTGACAGCATCTCTTAACTAAATCAAAACAAAGTAACTGTGTGAGAATTCTTCATCAAACCATTAAAAGGGTACTCACTTGATTATCTATTGCTAAAACATCTGCCTTGCAAAAAGATGATATGAGATATTTTTCTTCCTGGTAAAGCAAACACACACACCTCTTTCTTCAGGTGGCGTGTGCCTAAAAGCCCAGAGTACAAAAAACAGCCTGTCTGTATTCTCAGTGTCTGGCAGACCAGCCGGTTACATTTCTAATCCAGTACAGCTGCTCAGAACACGTCCATGTTTAAGAGTTAAAAAAAAAATCTGGATGTAGAAGGACACGGCCTAAAATGTCAGCGTTCTGTTTAAAGGCAACTCTGTAACAAAACTGCCAGCTTGTCTTTTGGCTTTCCAGCTATCGGTTCCCTTTTTTTTTTCTTCTCTTTTTTTTTCCGATGAAATGATCAGGTCTGACATCTGAATATCTAAAAACTGAGTACATTTGATTACATGTAAGCTGTGAGTAGCTGTTCTCATAAACACAGAATCTGTCAGGGCTACGACCACCACCTGCTGGAGGATTTCCTTTGTGGAGCTTTTATCCTAAAAAAAAAAAAGGTCAAGTACTGATGTAAACACTTAGCCTACTTACAGAGTTTGTTTGTTCTCATCATCTGGATCCCCACTTTCTTTTCAAGAAAGAAAACAAGAGGCATCTGTTTGTAGTTTATGTTTGGAGGCACCGAATTGGGCAGAATTTTAGCTTCAGTAAGCTGAATGCTGGTTCTTCTCTGCGATAGCCAAGCACCTCGTCAGTCTTCTGTTTGACCCTTTCAAAATCCTCTATTTCTGATCTCTAAACATAATAACGGCTTTTTAACTCAAAGCTGAATGGCTGTACTTTCAGGTGACGGAGGAAACGGCCCAGATGGTCCAGAGCGTCGGATACGGCGTGACCCTCCGAGGAAAAGTCAACGTGAAGGGCAAAGGGGAGCTCACCACCTACTTTGTTAACACTGACCAAACATCTCCTCAGTTCTGAGCAGACCGCACCACGACCCACGCCACATAAACAGCTACGTCAACCACGGACACACACGTCGATGGATAAGCAGCAACTGACAACACTTCGAATTTATATATATTCAAGATGACTTCTTCTTTAGGATGAGACACTAAAAAACTCCACACAGATAAAAAGAAAACAAGGAAAGTTTTATCAAACTGGTAACTGAAAGCTGTGGAAAGATCTGCTTCTTTTGGTACTTTTATCATGGCTCAGTCTCATGTGAGGCACCAAAGATCACAATAATGAAGGACCATGTTTCTCCTAAGGAACCCAACTTTCCGAGATGAAAAGGCATACCAATAGACACAAACCTGTATAAAACTTCAAGGTATAGCTCAGATTTTCTTTAAAGGGGAAGCACTGGCTTTATAAAATGTTGTAAAGGGATTGTTTTACACTCAACGCGACGTTATTTGGTCTAAACACTCCTGGAAACTAAACTTGAAACTACTTTTTTTTTTTTTTTTTTTGGTTTTTTTCTTTAATAATAAGGATAACCCCTGACCAATTCAAAGAAAGGGAGTACAATATTTTTTCAGGTTTCTTAGTAACTTGTATGGGAAATTTCCAACTTAGCCTGGAAATTGAAAAAATACACTTTTGATGGCAAACTGTCGTTTCTGTTTTTTTTTTTTTTTTAAAGAAGCTTATACTGATGTAAATTACACTGCAACACATCTCACCTGCCAAGAAACCTGAGAAGGAAATATTTAACGATGCACTTTTAAATGTGTTTTTTAAGGATATTGTTGTATTACAACCTTGTTTGTTTGTGCAATGTTTATTCTGTGTATTTCTGTGAGGGATGTTAGGAACTGTGAAGACAAGAGGAACTTTTGTAAGTTCAGCACAGGGAAATATTTTTCTATTTTATTTATAAACTAATAAAAAAAAACGTATCCACTGGTGTGTATCGCGTGCGCCTTATTCTAAGTACCTGAATGATGAAGTATGAGGAACGGTGGAATTTCCCGTGTGGGATACGCCCACGTATGTTTCGATTGGCTCAAAATCCTCCATTATCAGTTGCTTGCATTCTATTGGTCGAGATGGCGTCACTCAACCTGCTTCCTGCTTCACGGTGCTGAGTTTGTTATTGACCTAAGCTCATTTAAATGTGAGGGGAAATGTTGACGGCTGGAACTAATGAAGTTGGTGAGTTTTTTTCGGAAATTCGAACAAGTATTTACAATACTAGACGCGTCGTTTCTTTATCAAAAATTTGTAACGCAAGCAGCATTTTCCGGAGTTCAGTCACAACTCAAAACAAGGAAAGTTTTAAAGTGAACCTCAATTTTCTAACGTTATCGTCTCCTAGGGTGGACTAACACACGGCCCCTCTCGTCGTCCCTCTCAAATGAAAATTTATCGAGATAGAGAAGTCTCGTTTAATTTGAAGCCAGCCACAAGTCTGGACGCTTCCAAGATGTCAGGGGCTCATGAGCTGAACAGGAAGCGCCGTCCCACTAAAGCGTTTTTGATTTCGTCCGACCTGCGGCTCCAGGATCACCTGGAAGGTACCATTTGGCTTCAGCGGGGGTTCGTCTGTAAAGAGCAGGAGCAGGAACAGGACAAAAGGGGGGACTGCCTCTGGGTGAAGGTACAAAGCACATCTGCACCATCACCATAAACCCCATCACATGGAAACTTTGCACCTGATGTTTGCTCGGTGAAATCCTCTTTTCGAGATAAACCGCAGGAATCTGGAAACAATTACCAACCATGAAATGTCAGGTTTTTGTGATTATTAATGAGTGATCGAGTAAAAGTGACCTTTTATGGTCAGCATCCAGCAGAAATTAACTTGATGCCCAATATTTGATCAGGAGACGACTGGTTGATTGTGGTAATAATAGGAAAACAACTAAAAAGCAAGCAAAAGGACTAAAAATCATATAAAGTGCCATCAAATAAGCCTGAACTATTTGAGTGTGTGACAGTTAGAGAGATAAATGCATTTTTTTTAAAGATGGAGGGTCTCGCTCGTAACACTGTGTAGAGCTAGAGATGTTCCCCATGAGCCATTGAGTCACCAGTTTTTTTTTTTCCATAGACAAACAAACCCTAGTCAGAAAAAAGTTGTGACAATATGGAAAATCCTAGGCGGGGGAAATAGCAAAGACGGAAAAAGAACAGTTTATTCTAAAGGTTTTGTTACTTTTTTATCTGCACTTTTAATAAATATATATATATATACACACACACACTAGAAGTACTGATCCAACTGTACTCTTTCACGGGCAGACTCTCTTTTTCAACTCTCTTTTAAGTTTTTACTCTTTGTCACATGGTGCAACTTTTATATGGTATTTTGGAACTTCCCTCACCATAAAATTTTGCCCCAAAAATATTAATAAATGCAACATATTTCAGCTGTGCACTGTCTCCAGTGAAAAGTAAGTAAAAAAAAGTACATTCTTTTCATTCTCTCCCCGGAATTAACTTTATCCTAATTCCTTCTCTCCTCATTCACATATCTGCTTTCCTGCAAACCTCCTGTTTTCTTGCAGGTGTTAGACAATGGAGCCATGGTAAAAATAGAGAGGTCGTTCCTGCAAGAAGTCCCGGCTGAGCTGGTGGGCCTGCTGGAGCCCGTGTTGGATCTGGAACTTCGATTCCACCTTCTTGGTAAGGCGTTGGTGGTAGTGGCACAACACGAGGGACAATGGCAGCTTTGTTTCCCCATGAATGGAAAACAAAACTCTTAACGACATTCGCGTCCTGTAATATATCCTTTCGTTTCACCCTTTCAGTCATAAGCTGTGAAATAACTCAGCACTTCTCCTCGATCAGAGCGAGCGGCTCATTTCCCGCTTCTGTCGGCTTTCTGTGGGTTTGTTTATTTGTTTGTGTCCTTGGATTTTTTAGCCAATCCTGGCAAGCTGCAGCACTTGGCCTCCCTGCCCGCCGATGCCCCTCTGTGGGTCCAGTTAGGCCAGCAGGACGAACTGGCAGAGGCACAACTCAAGTACACCGGGCCCCTGGCCAGAGGGAGCAGCGCTGTGTATTTCGGAGTCCAGCTGAAGGTAAACTGCCTGAAGAGCAGAAAACGGGTTTGGCATGCTGAGGGGTACATGTCGGCCACGGCCTGGCTCCAGCTGTGCCCTTCAGTCTGTCCGAGTCCGAGTGGTCACTTTTACCCCACGCCAATATTTTGTCCCAGGATGGCTATGGCGTTAAAGGAGTCAAGGAAACTGAAATAGAGTGCAAACATTTTAGGTATATGCCTCAACTGCTCTAGATTTCCATTCTTAAGAGTGAGAATGGAAGACCAAAGCTGGATGATAAACATATCAAGTTTCAGGTTATTTTTTTTGAAAAGGACTATTTTGTTATTTCCGTTTATTTACTAAATATGTAAAACTAGAGAATAGTTCTAATAGTTTAATATTTTTAATATAGTTTAGCCTTTTTATACTTAATAATATTTAATAATTGGATATATTTAATTATATTTAATCCAAGTTTAATATTTCCTGCTGCTATTATCACCATATTAATTAATATCCTCGTTCCCTTCCTGTTGTGGCTCCAGGGCTCAGCGGCGGGCCGAGGGACGGGCAACGGCTCCTACAAGGGCCACCGCTTCTTCAGCTGCCCCGACTCCTGCGCCCTGTTCGTCCCGGTCAGCCACATCCGGCTCCGCCACTGGTCTCGCCCCGACGGTTCGGAAGCCCAGGAGAGGGGCCGCGACCCCCACCGCAACGGCGGCAGGCAGCAGGGCGGCAGCGAGCGCCCGAACCACCAGCACCAGCAGCATAGGCGGCACATCAGCTTCCGCCAGCCCCCCCCCGCCAGCCACCCTCAGCCACAGGGCATCCTGTCCCGAACGGCCGACTCCGCCGCCCCCGCCTCTCGCGGCCAGGTCCCTGTGTCGCCCCCGCCGTTCCGCGCCGGCCAGCGCGTGTGTTTCCCGTGGCAGGACGCCGTCCAGGCCGGGGAGGTGCGCTTCTGCGGCGTGCTGCCCGGCAGCTCCTCCTCTGGTCTCCATGTCGGCATCCTCCTGGTCAGTACCGCCCGCAGGAAGTCCAATCAGAATGATGAGTCATGAAACCAATTATTTTTCTAGCCTTGTCTGATGTGAACTTAGCAAAAAAAATCGCTAGTACAGATCCCCGCCAAAGAGGTGTGGCATCATGGCTATAGGCCAATAATAGTTTCGTCACGTCCCCCCTGTGTGCTGCCTCTCACTTTGAGTTTTGTCCCACAGGACGCTCCTGTCGGCAAGTGGGACGGGCATTACAGAGGAGAGAAGCTCTGCCAAATTCCCTCTGCGCTCTACGGAATCCTGCTTCCAGTCAGCAAAGTTTCTGCAGGTAAGCCCGAGGTTCCCCCGTCCAAAGCGGGTCCGTTGTAGGCAGAAATCTTGTCTGGGTGAACGAACCTCACCCAGTGATTTACCCGTTTAGGCCTTTCTGTGTGGAGTTTGTATGCTCTCCCCATGCACGTCTGGGTTCTCTGGGTTCTCCGGCTTCCCCCCACTGTCCTAAAAACATGTATGCTAGGTCAATTGCTTTAAATTGACTAAGAAAGAATGTGAGTGTGTGTGGTTGCCTGCCTTTTGCCAAATGACATCTGGGATAGACTCCAGCTCATACAGAAATGGATGGATTTAACTATTCAAGCTGAGCCCCAAGCATTGAGTACGTGTGTTTCATTTCTGTACACGCAGAACAGAAGTCCCCTCGTCAAAATCCCCCTACGCAGATTCCCAAATCCATCCTAAAGCCGGTGCTGCCGGCCGTCACAAAACAAGCGCCCACCTCGCCGCCTCCCGCAGCCGCCAAGATCCCCCTGATGCCCCCTTCCAAACAAGCCCTCAGACCTCCCCCCCTGCCTCCACCCAAACCCCCTCAGAAACCCCAGCCCACTGCCCCCGCGCCGCCCCCCAAGCCCCGCAGCCCCGCCCCGCCCGCGGGCCCCGAGCCACAGCATGCCAACGGCCTGCACGGCCCGGCCTCGCCGCTGACCAGCCCCGCTCACGCCGAGGGCGCGGGGGAGAACGGGGAGGCGGGGCTTGAAGTGGGATCCATGGTGGAGGTGAACGACCCGCCCCTTTTCGGGGTCATCCGCTGGATCGGACAGATCGCCGGCATTCCCGAGCCCGTGGCTGGAATCGAGCTGGTAAAGAAACGTTCCCCTCAGCTTTCTTTCAACAGCCGTGTCTCCGTTAAAGCAATGTTGATGAACCATAAAGGTTTTTATAGAAGAGCATATATAGTAATTGAGGTAGCTTTTGTAAAAAAAAAAAATAATTAAAACGATTTCTTTTATCCTTTTATATTCTTATTTTTGGATTTAAAATGATATGAAAGTGTTTTTAACCGTCTAACACCTGATCTGATAATATTTATTATATGAATATTTGTCTAACATTTTTGCTTATTTTAATTGAATCAATTCTTCATTTTTTTTATTTAAAAAAAAAAACAAACCCCTTATGTTTCACTTATTTTGAATAACAGGGTCAAAAAAAACTATAGATGAGTAATTATTACAGTAACTCAACTTTAACTACATTTCTGTGTGAAGTAAAGAAATGTTACCATGGTCCTGTGTGTGTGTGTGTGTGTGTGTGTGTGTGTGTGTGTGTGTGTCTGTGTGTGTCTGTGTGTGTCTGTGTGTGTGTCTGTGTGTGTGTGTGTGTGTCAGGACGAGGAGCTGTCTGCTGGAACCGATGGCAGTTACCTGGGTGAGCGTCACTTCCGTTGCCCGCCCAACAAGGGGCTGTTCGTCAAGCTCCGCAACTGCAGACGGGACTCCAGGTTCCCCGCCCCCGAGACGCCGGTCAACCAGGTGGCCAGATGCAACTCCATAGGTAGGACAGGCCGAAGTCTGTGTGTCCACGTTCGGCCAAACCGCTCATATCGCATACCAAAGCTTCCACAAACGCTCCAGTTGGTTTGAAAGCGGGCCGTTTGAGGGCCTCTCACGAACCCATGCCCTCCCCTGTGCGCAGCGTTTGCGGAGTGGGGCAGCGAGCGGGTGGAGGACCACACACCTCCCGTGGACGGGGACGAGGCCAGAGAACTCTACCAGGGCTGGAAGAGAGGCATCCAGGGTCACCTCAACTCCTGCTACCTGGACGCCACGCTGTTCAGGTGACCCGCGCCGGGCCCCACCTTTAGACTTCCGGCCGACCCGCCCCAAATGCCGGTCCCGGACGTCCGGTTTCACCCGCCGTCTGTGTGTGTGCAGCCTGTTCTCCTGCTGCAGCTCCGCCGACTGGCTGCTGTTTTGGCCGTCGGACCCGGGGACGGAGCAGAGCTCCGGCCAGGCTCAGGACCTGCTGCGCTGTGAGATAGTCAACCCACTGCGAAGGTGTGTGTGTGTGGGTGTGTGTTTACTGGACATTTAAGGATTACAGTAGAACCTCTCCTTACGATTGCCTCAACACACAAATTTTCCAACATACGAAGTGAAATTTGATCAAATATTCGACTCGACACCCAGGCATGATGTCGAAGTCATAGAAAAATACATATAAAATATCAAAAATAAATAAAAATAAATAAGCTAAGTTAGTTTAAAGTTTGCATAGTAAAGTTAGAGTAAGTTACAGTAGAGTAAGTTACTCCACACCGACCGTCTCCTCTGTCTCCTGCATCGCTCTGTTCGCCAATAACTGCTGTTAAAAAACGCTTTTTAGTGATTATTTCTTTATAATTTATCTCTTTTTGCATCAGTCTTATATAATGCATTTGTTTTATCGCTATGTGTAATTACCTGCCGTATTTATTAAGGAGTTACTGTAGGTTTTTGGGCTGTGGAACAAATGATAGGAATTACAGTGTATTCTTATGGGAATATTCGAACCAACATAGGAACATACAAAGTAGGTCCCGAGCCGAAAATAAATTTGTATGTAGAGGTTCTATTGTAATTCCGCCCTCAAGGACATGTGTCGCACTCAAAGACATTTCTTAAGTGTGTGTGTGTGTGTGTGTGTGTGTGTGTGTGTGTGTGTGTATGTGTGCTGTTGTGCTTCTAAGGTATGGCTACGTGTGCGCCAGTAAGACCATGGCTCTCAGACGGCTGCTGGAAGCTGCCAACAGCGACACGGGCTTCACCAACCAGGAGAAAGGTTTGCACAGGCCCTGACCATAGTGATGGAACCCCACTCTTCAGGGCAGTTCTTTGAAATTGTTTTGATTTTATTTTTTATTTGAGAGACATAAAGCATATTTTTTTGTTGGTAAAATTCAAACCAGCTGGCATAAAGCTATAAAAAAGATACATATATATATATATATATGTGTGTAAAATGTATGTAATTATTAGAGAAAAGGGAAAAAATCTGGAATGGCTACATTCTGAGGAAAAATGTTTTGAAATGGATCTAGAGGGATCATTTTCGCCTCGGATTGTGTGACAACAAGCCTAGATTTGTGTTTTTGTTTCGTTTGTGTTTTTTCCTCCTCCTTTCACCCCCCATTCGCTCATTAGGAATGCCGTCAAACTGCTCTCTCCCTGTCTGACAGATCCCGAAGAGTTCCTCAACAAGCTTTTCCAGCTCCTGAGAGTTGAGCCGCTCTTGAAAATCAGGTAACCATGCTCTTTCTGTTTAAAAGATCACACAGCCATCTTCACTACCATTTGTTGTTGCTGCGGTTGTTTTGTTAATGAACATTACGTCAGCCCTCCAATTGTCTTTTAAATTCAAACTGCAAAAACATTTGTTAAACAAAATCCACAGTTTTTGCTGCCCTTTCCCCGCAGAGAAAAGTCTGAAATCCATTCTTCTTTCCCTGCTTTTCAGATCGATGACTCAGCAGCCTCAGGAGTGCCACCTCTACCAGCTCTTCCCACCGACTCTTCCCCCCTCCTCCCCCTCCTCACCCGTGTCCCCGCCGGCCTCGCCCATCCCCCTCTCGTCCTCACAGTGCATGAGGGTCTCCAGCGTTCAGGCTCTGCTGGAGACCTCCTTCCATCACGCCCGCCTCAAGTTTGTGGAGGTTAGGGTCACAGAAGGATCCACCTAGGCTTAAGCTGTTTTCCCTGCCATAGTCGCTGTCCTGTAGAAGGTAGCTTAGATGCACATAGCATCAAACAGAAAGGCAATCAGTTCAAAGATTTTTCCGGCAGAAAAGCCGTTTGTGATTTGTCTTATTTACCTCTGTACGATGAATCTACCTTCTGAACACTCTCTGAAAGTGGCAGCCCTTTGAAAAAGCCGAGAAAGAAGCCGTGTCCGTTATTTCCTCGCCAGGCTCCCTCTTGCCTCCTGCTGCTCATGCCCAGATTCGGGAAGGACTTCAAAATGTATGACGCCATCTTGCCCACCCTCAGTCTGGACATCACAGACCTCCTGGATGACAGTAGGAACAACTGTGGCTTTTTTTCTGTTTTACCACACGGTCAATTTCAGACGTGCAGCCGCTTAAACTCTTTTTTTTTTTTCCTTTTCATTTTGTTCTCTCTCCGCTTGCTCGCTCTGCAGCCGTGAGACAGTGCACCATCTGCCAGACCGCAGCAGAGTGGGAGTGCCTGCAGTGCTATGAAGACTTGGACATCACACCCGGACAACTCAAACAGTACTGCCAGACCTGCAACACACAGGTGGACCGTCCTCAGATTGGACGTCGTAGAGAAAATAGTCTGCGTTGGTCGTGCTAATTTTTATTTTTTATTATTTATGCCTTGGATTTCATTTTCTTAATTGAATAAACTTTTATCAACTACTTGTACTTCCCAGCAGAGAGAAATGAGAAACATAATTGAGCATTTGTTAGAGTAAATCACAGACCAGTTATGATCAAATGGCTTTACACTTTAACTAGAGGCCTGTGTTTGTGAGCACCTGCTCCTTTTGGCTAAGACGTTATCTGAGGTGGAGGGCTCATTTCCAGCCTCGCCTGTGTCAGTATCTCTTTCAACCTGTTGACTTTGTCCGCCTTGTCTGTCGATACTCAGGTGCACAGCCACAAGAACCGGCTGTCCCACAGCCCGCTGAAGATATCGGTCCCCGGGGGTCCGTGGTCCGGCCCGCTGCACTGCACCCGCCGGCGAATGTCTCTCTTCGCCGTGACGTGTATAGAGACCAGCCATTACGTGAGCTTCGTCAAGCACGGCCCCCAAGACACAGACTGGCTGTTTTTTGACAGCATGGCTGACCGAGAAGGTAAGGAAAAACCCTTAAGCGCGGATAAAAAAGAAAAAGAAAACATGCTTCATGGAAAGAGCTCCCACGGTCTGTGTGCTCCCAACCAGGCGGCGAGAACGGCTTCAACATCCCACAGGTGAAGGCTTGTCCCGAGGTGGGCCGCTACCTCAGTCTGTCGGAGGAGGACCTGAGCAGGGTCAATGCCTCGTCCTTAAAGGAGGCCACCCGCCGCCTGCTCTGCGACTCCTACATGTGTCTGTACCAAAGCCCAGAGCTCAGCCTGTACAAGTGACACAAAGACGCAACACGCGCAGGTCCCACAGACTGAAAACGAAGAGACATTTTGCCGTCTCCTTCTTATCTGAAGATGTCGGATGAAAATGTTGCACCTAGTTATCTAGTTTAAAAAGTTGCAGTCCTGTTTGGTTTTTAAGAAATGAAATATTCTCAAAGTCCCCTGACAGAGAAAGCGTTTCTTTTTGTGTTTTTGTAATGATAAAATTTGGTTTTTGTGTTGTTTTCTGCAAACTTTTTCTAACATTGTCATTGTTTATGGTTTTACCTCAACCTTCTGCTTTCACATTTGTAGTTTGGATTCAGTTTTAAGTATATCTCCTTCAAGCGACATGAATTTGCACCGAACCTGTTTCTATTGTCAAGAAGGATCCGAATGTGATATTTAGACACTCACAATGTGCCTTATGAACAAATGTGCTCTGGATGAGCATGCACAAAAACTTAATATCTCAAGTGTCCACTAACGTGCACATGTACTATAGCAGAAGTCGTTCTGTAACACATGACTCTTTCATGCCAATTCAATTTGCTGCTTTATTTACTTTTCACTGTTTATAAAATGGCATTGACTTAAACTGACAGTAAAAAAATTGCACTCAGATGTTGAAACTTTTGTATTGGTTATAAGCTGCAGCTATGCCAAATAGCAAACATATTTGTAAAAACCTCAATTTACTTTTGTTGTGTTTTTTTTCTCATTTTGCTTATTCATTGTAATGCATTTTAGTAGCTTGGAGCTTTCAAGGGATGCATATTTCTTTAAATCATTCCACAAAATGATGGAAATGCCTAATATTTTATTTGATATTTGAGTAATATAGTTTGACATGTATAGATTTTCTTTTATTTTTACAAATCAATAGACTGTCTGGGGCAGATGACGCAACATCCGCTTTAGAGCATATTGCGTCATCATTGCAGGCCCTAACCGGAAACAGAGAATGACGGGTGGTCTCGTTTCTGCTTTGATTGCAGGCTAATTTTTTGTTGTTTTTAATATCGGTAGCTTTAACAGAACGACAGCCGCTGGTTTGCAAGTCCCACCGAGGTAGGTTTCTTTGTAGCTGAGGACGTGTTGTCTCAATTATATTAAACGCTGCTTCCAAGCCGCTTTACATCGACGTTAGTAGCAGAAACGTCCGGCTTTACGTCGTGCTGGTTAGGTTTCACGCAGGGTGCTTCCACTCAAACTGACGGCTCTGTTTCTGTTTTTACTCTAATAACCGGTAAAAAACGACATTGAACATTTGTACAGAATAAATCACCCAACCAAAGATGGACATTTTGTTTATTTTTGTCGTTTTGTTGCTTATATTCTTACTCGGTTATAATTTCCCTGAATGGTTTCGAGACATTTTGACGATAGTACCAGTGTAAAATTAAGCTAGCGTTCGATTTTTGCTAATGTAATAGAACTGTAAAAGAACATAAGGAGGACATCCGTGGTTACAGGCTGCCTTGGATAGACGTGAAGATGTCTCTGTTCTATTTAAAGTTGTTTAATGGCATTCGGTCGTATGTTAAAAGTAGGCTCTTCCGATGAGCTCTGTAGCTAGTTTTTATTTTTTTCAAACAGTTCATTAGCCCTTTTAAACATGATATTCTATGGGATACGCAGTCAGATGTTTGTCGCCCTCTGTGTTCAGTCTCTACAGGTGTTTTCTGTCTCTGAGGTCCAGCTGTGAAGTCCGTTACCATGGCGTCTCCGGGGGGACAAGGAGGAGGAGCTTTGTCCACAAGGGGCGGGGCCAGGAGGATGAAGTGGGCCCTGGAGCTGAGTTTGGGCAACACGAGGCAGGCAGAATTCACCTCTCTCTTCTGTCCATTTGCAGACCTTTGCAGGAAGGGGACAGCAAGCCGCATATTGAATATTTTTTTACACCCCAAAGTTGTCAGAGGTTCCCACTCGTCATCCCTGTTCTTTAACTTAACTCATTGACTGCTGGCCATTTTCAGAACAGAGAGTCCCATACTGCCAGAGTTTGTTTTTTTTAGCATTTTGACTGATTTTTCAAGAGCCACAGAATAGTTTGTGCTATGACTATGTAGACACCAAACACACCAAAAGAAAGAGTAGACTCTCTTCTTTAATCAGGAAAAAAAAAATTGTTTCTACCTTATTCCGTTCTTCCTCGACGTGCGTCTCACCGGCGCCATTTCTCGCATAGCGAACCATTGCGTTTTTTTTTATTTGCCGACAGTCTATGCTTATCTCCCATCAAAAGTGGCACAGCCACCTAGAGGGTAAATTTGTTAGTCCATACTCTGTCTAGAAGCCTGATATTTACGGAAAAGCTTTAGCAGATCGTCCCCCAAGCCACTCGCGTTTAAAAACACAAAAGACGTCTATAGATGTCTTTGGCAGCGAATGAGTTAATGTATTGGAGTGGTCACATTTTTTATCAGCGGGATTTCAGGGATTTCATCAGACTCTCGTGCAGAGCTTTCCCCTTTTCCTGTAAAAAATCAGCCCCTGATCTGCTTTGTTTGCCACACATTAACACTGACATGATTTGAAATCGAAAGAGTCAGATGAAAATTTTTAAAACGCTGATGTGTTTTGTGGTATTTTTATTTTTTTGCTTGCAGAACCCGGGGTGACAGGCAGGGCGGCCAGGGAGACGTCGTTTACCCCATCGGCTACTCCGAGAAACCGGTGCCCGACACCAGCATCCAGGAGACGGACAAGAACCTGGTGGAGAAAGTGAGGAAACATTTGTCTGACCACTAGCGGAGACGGACGCGGCTCTAGTTTTTAAATGCTGTGACACTACAGTGTTACGTCAAGGAAAATAGGAAGCAAACTTTCTCTCAATTTATCTTTCACAATCCTCACAAAAAGACAGTTTGAACTGATACAAACCTCTCTCTTTTCCTCCTGCTGTGCAGCGCTGCTGGGACGTGGCCCTCGGGCCCCTGAAACAGATTCCTATGAACCTTTTTATCATGTACATGTCAGGGAACACCATCTCCATCTTCCCCATCATGATGGTCTGCATGATGGCCTGGAGGCCCATACAGGCTCTCATGTCCATGTCTGCCAGTGAGTATAAACGATTTTTAGTTTAAAAACAGAAACTCAGACGGCCTCCAACCCGCTCACGACCTGTTTTCCTTTCCTTCTTTTCCTGTGTCTCAGCCTTCAAGCTGTTGGAGAGCTCCAGTCAGCAGTGGCTCCAGGGTCTGGTCTACCTGGTGGGGAACCTTCTGGGCTCGGCGTTGGCCATCTACAAATGTCAATCCATGGGGCTACTTCCCACACACTCGTCTGACTGGCTGGCTTTCATAGAGCCGCCTCAGGTAACGTCACGCACATGCAGCCGTCACAAACGGCCCCGAACCTTTGAGCTGTTGGAAAAACACCTTTAAAAAAAAAAAAAAAAAAAAGCTCCAGTGCTAGCTCTACGCCAGTAGAGGGCAGAATATGTTCGTTCCAAATCCAACCTCTTTGATAGGAGACATAGTCATTCCAAAAACCTTCAAATCACAACTTTTTATTGCTTGTTAACAGATATGTTAAGGAAGTTGCTCACTTTGGGTGATTTAACTTGGGGGGGGTGACATTAAAAAAAGGTTCTATTGTTCCAGTTTCAGGGAGCACAACCTGCGGTGTGCACTGTAGACACAATATACGCACTCCATATATTAAACTGGGTTCTGCCTCTGTCCCCAACAATTTTTGGGATGGGTTGCTTCCAGTGATTCTACAACAAGCAAAAAAACTCCATGAAATTGTATTGGGATCTCCTCTCAGTGTCTCTATGTTGTATTCTAACTAAAATGTTTGCCACACCGTCCCTGGAAACTTCTTGTTTTAAGTCGGTAAGGGCAGAAAAGGCACTCTCACACATCTATCTGTTCCCTGCAGAGGATGGAGATCATGGGCGGAGGGATGGTGCTGTGAAGAGGAACGGCTCGCACACTGTACCAGAGGGCTGCCCGTCGGGGCCGGGACGAAAACAAAAGTCTGCATTTCGGCCGTTTCCAGATGGCACCGGATCCAGGATGGACCATATTAGTCCAGACATGTTGCATGTTTGCTAGACCAGCAACAAGGTGTGTGGCACAGTTTAAAGCCAAGGTTTAATCCGTCATCCACACAAAACACACGTCGTCTTTATTTTGATTTTTGATTTTCTTTTCTTTTTTTAAAACGCAGAAACATAAATGTTTTCTAATTTTGAAGCTCATCACATTGACCTCATTTGAGCTACTGCAGATGTATTTTTGTTCACAATAACAGATTATTTATGAGGTTATTTTAGAGTATACAGTTACACCAGATGATTATTATGAGAGTTTTGTCTTTGTAAATCCAATAAAAGACTCCAGAAAATGTTTTCCTTTATTTTTCTCCTCAAACATTTAGCTTCTGTTTATTTCCGCTGCAGTAGGATCCCATTCTCGTCTTTTTCTGAGATATTGTTTTTCTGAGTTTGTAGCAGAAGGCTTTAATTTTGTCAGTAGGAGTTTAACGTGCTGAATATACTAACCTGCTCTAATGTGTAGGTCTGCTTAATTTATACTGATTTTCCTTATGAAAATTTCTATGAAAAATAAAGCCCTGTTGATTGAGCTGTAATTGTCAATAAGTGTTTGAATCTCCCTGTGGGAAATGGTTCCTACTTTCGACTTCTTTCATCTGTGGTTAGGTTTTGGAACAAAGAGAAATAGGACGTAAATGCATAGAAATGACATGACTGTAAATTGCAAAACCGGCTAACTACATGATGAGTCGGAAGGAAACAATAACTCTTCTGTGGCCTCAGGACAACACGGCCACGATGAGCGTGTGAGTGTGTGTTGGTGTGTACGAACATGCAAACTATGTGGTGCTCAGCGATGGGTGGCGAGGGCCACCGCCGCCCCCCCAAGGCAGAGAGCAGCCCCAAGACCCCGGAAACCAAAAGCCCCACAAGTCACAGGCATGACGATGCATCCAAGCCTGAAAAGGGGAAACACAACTGAGATTTTTTAGAATATTTCTTGAGGATAACTTATAAAAAGATAAGAGGTTCATGGTGTGTGCCTTGGGATTCCATAAAAGTGCCAGACAATTCAAACCATGCCCTTTTTTGGACATAAATGGAGAAACCATTTGCCCTTCTCCCGTTTTCCATTCTGCCTCTCTGTGTTATAATATGGGGAGAGCTTTTCTTTTCTCAACAGGAGGTTGGCTTCAGCAGCGACACCCTCCGAGAACAATAGCTTTCAGGTAACTCGGGTAGGAAACTTGGCACAAGAGTCAAGTGGTGAAAGATTTACATGAGCACTTTGATCGGAAGATATTTCAGAAGTGGGTGTAGGCTGATTTCATCCATTACAGTAAAATAAATCTCTACCACCGGAACACATTTTGAGGCGAATTAAAGCATAAGAATGTTTTTTTTGTATGGTTGAACAACTGGACAGATGTTAGTGAGCAGTTTCAACTATTGTTGAACAATAGTCTACGTTCCATTTGCTTATCAATCAAAAATAAAATAAAAACACAAATAATATACAAATAATATATATATAAAAGTGTAAAAAAATATATATTTCTAAATGGACTAAGTTCAATAACTGATATACTTAAAACCTGTCATGCATGACTTAGGTTAAAATGTCTTTAAACATGTTTTTTTTTCCAATATATTTTTTCTTTTTAAGTTTTTTTTTTTTTTTAAATTAGATTTAGAAATATATGTAAAGCATAGCAACCGCTTGATGATTTCTCGAAACAAAAGGGATTCCATATCATCTCCCCACAACCTTTCGTCCGGGGAGGTTTGGGTTTCGGGGACCGGTCTGACTCGCTCGGCCGTGCTCGGGTCGCTGTGGGCCGGGCTGTCAGGCCATGAAGGGGCGGGGCAGTCTGTGGAAGTCTCTACAAAGCACACAAACACACACACGGAGAAAGGATGTACGTTCTGGCGTCAGCTTGAGTGTTGTGTCTCGCCATGTGTAGTGAAGGAAACAGGTAACTTAGTTTTTAGCCGTTTGTTTTGTTTTCCTCTCGTTCCCGAACTTCTTTTTTTCTTTGCTAGCGAGTTCATTTTTTTAAAGCAAACTTTTTTTTTTTTTTTATTGGACTGCGCGAGACGTTATTTCTTATGAGGCAACACCTGTTTCGAAGTTTTTAATTCGCCCCCCCTCTCAGACAAAAGAAGAGCAGAAAGTGTCTTTTTTTCATCCACTTTTTAAATAATTTTTTTGTAAGCTCAGTGGTTTTTTTCTTCTTCGTGTGCGTAACTATGGAGACACACGACCATCACTCGGCAACGCGAGAGTATCCACATCCGTTTATCCACGAGGTGAAACTGACCACAGCTCAGAGGATAAGGGTAATGAAGCTTTATATTGTCCCCCTCTCTCTTAAATATCCAAAACATGTATGTTCTGTGGATTTTCGTGGACGTACAAGTGACGTAACTTGTCTTCTCAGTCACCTGAAAACAATTAAGCTGTGATTGGATGGTTGGAGCTAATTGGTATCAAAATCCGTGTTTTTGTTTCTTTTATTAAAGTAATATAATCGTTTTCTTTATTTTTCTTTTTTTTTAACTTTTTGTGTTTATTGGGCCTTGGGTGTAAAAAGAAAAACAAGTTTTCTTCTAGGAACTAAACACTTTCTTATAATTGCCACCTTTAACAAATACTCAGAACAGTATGTTTTTAGAATTGATCAAATTTAGAGATTGATATTTTCCCTCATACTTTTATTAAATGCTTTGTTTCAAGTTGATAAAGTTTATAGTCCGTCCGTCCCCCCCCCCCCAATTTTACAATCTGTACTTGCTGGTCTTGAAAACAGGACTTTTAAAACATTTCTGTATACATCAAAGAGCCACACAAAGTTTTAATGTCAACCTTATCTTAAAGAACACAAAGGTTTACAAAGTTCTGTCAGACTTTAAGCAAAGCAGGTGAGTCATAAATATCCTCGGTAGGCAGGCGGGACTGATAAAGTTCCACAGCATTACATAACATGGGTTCATTACAAAGGCTGGGAGATGGTGACTGTTTGGCGCACGTGAGGGTGCTCCCTCATCACAGTGTGCAACTTCTCCAAGTATGGAGGGTTTTGTTTATGTGAATCCCTCACAAAGCCTGTCCGTTGACCAGAACGTCCAGTTTTAGAGCAGCGTTTTAGGGGCTTATTAGCCCTGTGCGTAGCTCTAACTTTGCAGATCTGTAAACGTGTCCTCTCCTCCGCTGTAGGGGATCATCCTGGGCAGTGTCCTCTTTCCTCTTCGCATCTCCCTGGCGGCGCTGCTCTTCCTCATCACCTGGCCCCTGGCCCGGCTGCGATTGGCCGGCCTCTCTGCGGAGGAGCGCTCCCGGCCCGTGACGGGCTGGAGGCGCTGGTTCTTCCACTCCATCGTCATGTACCTGAGCAGGGCCGTGTTCTTCTCGCTGGGTTTCCTGTGGGTGAGGGTCAAGGGTCGGCGGGCGGACCTGAAGGAGGCGCCGGTGCTGGTGGTGGCGCCCCACAGCGGCTTCCTGGACATGCTGGTCCTCTGTCACACCCAGCTGGCCACCGTGGTGTCCCGTTCAGAAAACACCAGCCTGCCCGTCATCGGAGGTGAGTGTGTGCGGGGCCCTAACCTAACACCCTAAGAGGTCGCACACATTGTTGAAGGGCTGAGGTTTTTTAAAATATTTTCAACACGGCTTTCAAACCTGCTTCAACTTCTTTTTTTAAGTAGCTTTTGTCAGAGGTCAGAGAGCTCAAGTAGGCTCCAAAAGCAGAAAAATGCAATTTTAAAAACTGGGAATGTGTTCTGTTCATCTTGAGTACCCTTTGGCTAGTTTCCTTTAGTTGAACTCCGTTTCCAAATGAATGGCCCAGAAAATCGGCCAGATAATGTTGTTTGTTCTGGCCTCATGTTTAGTGTTCCATTGTACCACAAATAAGAAATCGCTCCTAAAGAGCTCCACCTAGAAGTGGAGTAAATGGGAGTATTATTTGAAATAGATGAGTCTCGGAAAGATGGGGAAAAAAATACATTGACAGGAAGTTCAAAGATCATCAAGTGACTCACTCCACTGGAGTCTTATCTGCTCTGGTACTTCCTGCTTTTTTTTTTCTTTCTTTTTTTGTGGTTATTTTGGTCCCATTCCCTGGTTTGGTGTCCAGTTATTTGTCTTTGTGTTTCAGCTCTCCTGGAGTTTAACCAGTCCGTGCTCGTGAGCAGGAAGGATCCCGAGTCGAGGAAAAGGGCAGTGGCTCAGCTAAATGAGAGGCTCACCTCCAAAGGCTACTGGCCTCAGGTGAGGCCCGCTGTCCCCCACTCTCTCCAACCTCCGTTTTCTAGCACAAATCTCCCAGCGGCTGCCATGACTTCCTTAAATGACGGGTGGGCTATTTTTGGCCCAAATGCGCAGCCGATCAAAGTCGGATTAACCCTCAAACGCCGAACTCGCTCTGACTCTTTGACGTTTGCGGTGCAGATGCTGATGTTTCCCGAGGGAACCACCACCAACGGCCGCGCGCTGCTCAAATTCAAACCCGGTGAGCGTGTGTTCAGCTAAAAATCGTGTGCAAAAGAACCAGCTGAACGTGTGTTGCTCATCAATCTGAGCAGTCTGTCCTGTCTTAGATGACTCGGTCAGGCAGAACATGCTGCTTTGTTGATGCTTGTACAAATCCTTTGGAATGACCGGCATGAGAGAGAAAGAAGGGCGTTACAGCTTTTGTTTATTTTTTGTTGTTGTTTCGCAACCTAATGACAGATTACTCCTTCTTCTCAGGTGTAAGCCGTAGTAAATCAGGTCTCTCTGCTCTCTGTCACCAGGCGCTTTTCTTGCTGGAGTCCCCGTCCAACCAGTTCTGCTGCGTTATCCAAACAGGGTGGTGAGTGTCAGGGGGGGGGCGCGACTCTTCCCGTCATGTTTGATGTGAATGTGGTGGCTGTCAAAAGATTTCCTCAGCTGGTCCAGTGGGTCACACACACACTTGTTTTTTTTTTTTAAAACTAGACGGAATGGGTGGGCCTCCTTTCCAAATTGCCCCTCAGCATCGTGCAAGTGATCAGTGGGTGGTGTGCCATCAGCCGTAGCAGGAGCTGGCATCAGGGACTTATTTCAGCTCTGATTTCATGGTCAACAGAAAGTAAAAATTAAGATTTAGGCTGAGCACAGGGTGCTACAGAGCTAACCGGAGTGGCTGATCTCACAGAAATACCAGCCAAAGAAACTGCTCTCTGTCAGAGTTTTTTTTTTTCTCCCAATCCAGTCCTGCTGCCAGAGAGTAGAAAAAGTCATTCAGGGGCAACTGCCCTCAAAAGCAGAAAGTTTGTCCCACATATTTAGGCTAATCAGCCGCGAGGAAAGGGGGATAACCCAGGGAACTGACAGGTCTGAGCGTAAACTGCTCCCGTTGGGTTCATTTACAGAGCACACTTCAGAAACTGGGTGCTGAATGAATCGCAATGAAATGCAGTCCAGCAATGAATGAAAGACGATGAATTAAAAATGGTGTCATGTTTTGGATAATACTGTCGAGGACTTGGTTCTGCAGAGAGGAGCGTGTAGTGATGCGGCATAATGCAGCCTTGAGTGTTGCATTGCAGTAATGAGACCTTTTAATAGCGTCGTTCTCATTACTGCATTTTTAACAGGCTGTGGGTGTGTGACCGGCCGTTACTGTAATGTTTGTCCAAGGCCAGTGTTTGCACGCCTGACCGGTGAAGAATGTGGGCGTCACAGTGCATGCATGCAGTTGTAAACACTCCCTCACGAAGTGTCCTCTGTTTGATTTATACCTGCATTTTTTTTATGACTCTTCCCTCAGGATACTGTTCGATGGACGTACAAAGGAACCACCTGGTGAGTTCCTCTGCCTTTCACAGCCGATATCTGCCCTTCTTTTGGGGCACTCGGGGCCCCACAGCAGGATCACTCGACTACGACGCGAGGAGGAGGAAACATAAACCTGGAGCTCCCAGAATTTCCACCCTTTTTAAAAAAAACGTATTTATTTATTTTTTATGACAACTTTTTCTTTAGCCGATCTGTAATTTGTGGCGTTTTGTGTCTGCCCGGGTGTTCCGAGGAGTTGATTTCAAGTAAACAGGAAATGCTGATAATCGGGATTAGTCAGCAATTTTTTGGACATGATTCAAAACGTGCCAATTTGTTCTGACATTGGAGCAAATATGTTGTTTTTAGTAAAAAAAAATCTACATCTAAAAGAAACTTTAGTCATTAACACATCTGAGGCAAACATTATTTATCTACTTTTTATAGACATTTTTTGTTTCTGGATAATCAGATCACTTTAAATATAACTTATTTAAGTTTATTTATCTTTTTTTTTTTTGTTTACCAAATATTATATTGTAAAAACATTTACTGAGACTTCTAGGTTTCCCCTTAAGTCCCCTTAAGAGTGGAGATAAAGAGATATATTTATTCATTTTTTAAAATTTCTTTGCAAAATGTAGGCTAGTTTCAGCTCTTACCGGAGGGATTAATAAATTAAATGTGATTTTCTTTTCATCCATCAGGACAGAGGCCCTGTGGCACACCACTTCACAGTTCTACACCAACATGACTGTGGAGGTGAGACCAGAGGATTTCATAAATATTTTTAAATCATTTATCGTATAAGAATATATTTCTATAAGTTTATATTGCTGAGATCGTATTATTCTGTACCAGCAGAGGTGAACCTGACTGGCTTTTGCCACCACTTCCAGTCTGAATTTATCCTTATTTTACTGGCGGTGTTTGATCAGAGAAACAGGACTTCTGTTTGGGTCAAGAACCATCCGACTATGGATGTCTCCGAGGCATTTAAGAGAATAAATATCGTGTCATTTCTTTGAGCTCAGTGGAAACGGGTAGAGCGCAATGAAGGTCTCGGTTGTTGTTGCTGACGAATTAAAAAAAAAAAAAAAGGAATGGTATTTAAAAGAATCCCTGTCCTCTGTTTTGCGCTGCAGTTTCTGCCCGTTTACAACCCGTCCCAGGAGGAGCGGAGTGACCCCAGCCTGTATGCAGACAACGTTCAGAAGCTAATGGCCGAGTAAGAAGCAGATCGTTAACGTAGGATGTTCATGCACATTTCTGGTGCCTGAAGCTCAATTATTGGTTTAGAAATTTACCCTGCTTGACTAACTCATGCAAAAAGTGACCAGTATAGGAAGATGTAAAATAGATGTTTCATCCCCCACAATGGCCTTAATTAAGAATAAAATGTCTCATGGGGTTAGTTAGACCAGATGACTAACTCTGAGCTAGTACAATTTCAGCTTCCTGAATCTGTTCTTGGGTTTTTATCTCAGCTAATGTGAAGTCAAAGTGGACCCCTCACAGAAGTGAAACTACCTGGTGTGGTCATTTTCTCTCTGTTTTGGGCCGCAGGGCGTTAGGAGTCCCGGCCACTGACTATGTGATGGAGGGCCGTGTTCCGGTCAGTAAAGTGGGCGGCCTCTCTCTGCCGCTGGACTCTCCCGCCAGAGAGACGCTGTCCCTGCTGCACAAAAACGGGTAAATCCAGATTTTTATGTATTTATTTTTCCCCTGGATATTAATCTTTTGTTATAATGATTTAAATCTTCTTCTCTTTGCCTCTCAGTCTGGGGGCCCATGAGGTGGAGGTGGTGCTGGACAGAATGACCGACATGTGCCGGTCTGGGACTCGGTGGTCAAAGACCAGTGCGGAGGAGCTCGCCTCCATATTGGAACTGAAGGAAAAACAAACCGCCATCCATATCTGTGGTCTCTACTCCAAGGTTTGATCCCAATTTTTTTTTTTTTTTTGTTCTGTGTTTTTGGTGTTGCAGATTTTGGACTTGATCGTCTTTTTAAGGGATAGAGATGGAAGATTTTGTATTGATTTTAAATGTGATCAGTAATGGAAGCACCGGATGTTTCAGAAACTATTTCAAGGTCCCTGCTTTTGTCCGAAAGCCGTCGCAGAGAAAACTGCTCTCCCTGTTGCATCTGTTCCACACGGCAGCTTCTGGAAGCTGTCCACCACAACCATTAGTAACGGATGAAATCTCTGTGACTTGTTAACGCCGCGTTTTCGTCTTCAGGACGAGACTGTGGATCTCAGGCAGGTCTGTCTGAGCGTCTCCGCCATCGCGGGATTCAGCAGCTTCCCGGCGTTGCTTCACACCGCTTTCACCGTGAGTTCCCATCTCTGTATATGAGGAGGTGCATTTCCCCATAGCAGCTTTTCATAGAGTAGCTCTGTTAGAAAAGCTCAACCCTCCTCTCCCTTCGACCCGTTTTGTCTGATGACTGGCGTCTCTCTGCTGTGCAGCTGTTCGACGGGGAGGGCCGGGGCCGCCTGAGTGCAGAGGAGCTGTCGGGCCTCATGGGGGCGCTGCTGGCCGTCCCACAGCACAACACGGCCGCTCTGTACGCCCAGGCCTCGGGCCAGGGCTCGCTCACCGAAGGTCAGCACCTCTAGCGGAGGGACACAGTGCTTCACATAGACGTCCGGCCTCAAGGCTGGCTCAGCTTTTCCCTTCCACCCTTTAGAAAAAGGGGGATTCTACCGTCCCGGTCCAGGGCTGGCGCGGCTATTATTCTGACCCGATGGATGATTTGCCCACAGAGAAGCTGTTGCGAGTGCTGACGACCCACCCGACCTATCAGAGAGCGGTGAACGAGTACCTGCTGCGCGAGGAGGCGGGCTCTGAGCCGCCGGGCAGCGCGCTGACCAACGGGAAGGCTGTGAACAACAACGGGCCGACGCCCAACAGCAACGGATCGCTCCGGCACAAGAAGCTCGAATGAAACCGTTTCGACGACACCTCTGACTCTTCCCTGATTATGTTTGGATCGGAGTCATTTATACAGTACTGTGGAGTTTCTTTTTGTTCTGTGTTTTTTTTTTTAAATGTTTTTTTAAGTTTTTAACCCTATAGCATATCTTGCACAAAAGCTGACAAGCCTAAATGTGTTTTGAAAATGGACACTACAGTGGTTTTCTGAAGTGTGTGTGTGTGTGTGTGTGTGGAAGGCTACTTCCTCAAATGTTTGTGGGGCTGAAAATGTGGATGTTTACCAGTGTATTTTTTTTCTTATCAGTCATTTGCTATTTTTCCACATAAAATTTATTTTCAAAATTTTTATTTATTAAATATCTTCATGCTGCAAACTTGTGATGGGACAATGGTGAATGTGAAACAGATTTAAGAGTAAAAGTCTTGTGTATTATGAAAATAATTCTTAACTTTTTTTAAAAACTGTTTAAAATAAACTGAATCCTTTTGAATGAAGTTCTGCTTTTTACTTTTTTTTTCTGTTTTTTTTTATTTTTATTTTCCTTTTCCACCGACCTACTCCATTCAGACTTTTTTTTTCTTTGTTTTTCTTTTTTTAACCCTCCTCCTGGCACTTCTTCATCAGACTGCTGCGGACCTTCCTATTCTGGTGCTCTTCCTGGTATTCCCGTCTGTGTAGTTTGTAGTTTTCCCCTCTGGGCTCTTAGAGGCCTGCTGCTTGTCCTGCTCTCCTCCGTGTCCCTCCCTCTCCGTTTCTATCTCCGTCTGCTCCTGACCGGCCTCCTGGACGCTCCTGGCCCTGCTCGTCTTTTTTCGGGCTTGGGTTTTTCTCTTCGGCGCGGCAGCGGGTGCTCGCCCCGTCCTCTGGCGGGACTCTTCCAGGGGAGCGGGCTCGGGTATGAGGCAGGCCACGATGGGACATTTTCCCTTTTGCTTGTTTTTTAGAGCTTTCAGGCCTTTTTTCCTTCCTCTTGGGGAGCTTTTGGCTGCCTCTGCGGGGATCAGAGGAACAGAAACCTGGGCTGGCCCTGCTGTCGAGTCGTTATCTGCGAGCCCGTCGTCTCTCTTTCTTCTTTTCGTGGGACTTGCGCCGGGCAGGGACTGGCTCTCCTTTTTGTTTTCCCCCTGCCGTCTCTTGGGTGACGGTTTTGCCTCCGAACGTCCCTCTCCGGTCAGCAGAGTCTTCTGCGGCCTTCCCTCGCCCGCCCGTCTCCTGGTTCTTTGCCTCGCGGGTCCGGGTGTTGGACGGCCCTCCTCTGGCTTCGCCTGTCCTTCATTTGTGGATGAAACCATCTTGTGGGGGTTCATTTTTGCGCGCAGGTCGAAGGGCTTCCCCGCCCCCTGCCGCGGTGTCGGCGTCTCTCCCGGGAGCTCTCCGGGTTCCTCCTCCTCCTCTGGCGTTTCTGGGCCCTCGTCTCTTTTGAATAACCGTCTTCTTGGGTGTTGCCTGCCGTCGTTTCCCGGCTCTCTCTGAGCGGCCTCCTGTCCGCGTCGCACGGGGGCGCGCCTCCTCTGAGTCACGTGGCCTTTGCCCTTCGCCTCCTCTCCCAAAACCCGCGGCGTTCTAATATTCTCCCCTCTCCCCGCCCCGGTTTGGGTCGACTGGGGGCCGTCAGCGGCGCCGTACGGGGAAACGTGGAGTCGGCCGCCGGAGCAGGAATCTTCCTCCTCCGGGGGACATACGGGACCCGCCGGCGTGGCGGATTCCTCCAGAAGGTCCGACAGCTGGAGCCCAGGTCGGGTTCCCCAGGCGTCGCTCTGGGTGGCGAAACACATCAGAAATCAGATTTGGAAAAAAAAAAAAGCCCCACGTCATTGAAAAAGCTAGGAAACGGAATGCGACTGGATGACCTCGCCTCTGGTTTCTGGCCATTAAGGGACAAAGCCGTTACTAATGCTGATCTGTAGTAGACACGGTGTGGCACAGTGTGGCCCCCATTTGATGGAACGTGAGAAAGCCTTTGCACCATTTGTCCTGATGTGCAAAGGCCCCAAGTCCTGCTCTACCATTCCACATGACGCATCACATCCACAACTATAAAAGGTCTCCTGAGCTCTAAGATTTTTTTTTCTTCCTCAAAAGGTTGAACATGTGAAAGAGAGTCGGGGGGAAAAAAAGGACTTTCGGTAAAACTGTGAGGCAGAATTAAGAGTTAATGAGGTCCGAAATAGGTTATCCAATATCGGATTGAACTTTTCAATACAAGTAGCTTTAAAAATTTTAAAAATGGAGAGGAAAAAAAAGGTGGAATTTGACTTTCCAGTGTCAAAATACGTTAAGACTGACACTGAGTGCTGGTACAAAATGGAAACATTTTAGTCTGGAAGATGACCTCTCACAAACACAAAATGTTCAATGGATGATTGATTTTGGATGCAAAAAGTATGGATTTCCCAAAAAGGTAAGGAGGAAAAAAGTGGAGTTGGTGTTACCAATCACACACAGTTGCCTTACCGTCTTCTGTTAAGGGCTGCCTACTTCAATGCAACAGCACAGAATGGTACAATACTACATTGATGAGCGTATGAACTTGTTACCTCCTCCTGGTGTTTTCCCGGGGCAGAAGCATCGGCGGCGTCCAGCTCTGGACACAGGACAGAGTTCAGCTGGTCAGTGCTCAGCATGGACTCCACCTGAGAGAAGGAGACGTGGATGATCTGAGTCACTTGGGCATTCAAAAGGTAGCTTTTTTTCCAAAGTGTGTCACATTCCAGCGTCCCATACGTGGACAGACGGCGGCGTTGAATGCGACGGAGTGGAAAAAAGGTTAAATTTGAATCCATTCAGTGATCTTATATACAAAAATGCTCAGAATGGAATTAGTCCTCCGTCTGTAGACTGTTGACCTACAATGGCATCTCATCAGCAACTAGATGGAGAGGCACTCGGCTACTTTAACAGTCAGAGTCAATCTGAGTCATTCATGTTTTGTAAATTCAAGGAATTCATCATTTGCTTTGGCTTTCATTTAACCCTTGTTCAGTCACTCCAGGGGAAAGCTATTTCAAAGTCATTTTATTGTGTGTAAGTGGGTTTTTATGTTTCATTCCGCATAGGCCACTGAATTGGACACTGGTGCATCATAGAAAACACAAAAACAATGTCCAAAATAATATCCTATTACAGAGGAGCTGAGATAGACTAAAATAACTCAAGGGGTTGAATGAGTGGGAGTGAAAGAAGGGATGAGATAGTAATACGTGTTAGAAAAGGATGAGAGTTGCCTGCATACTTCTTCTTGTTTATGCATTGTGTTTACAGACAGTATTTCATTAGTAAGAAATCTTAAAACATATCAAGTCCACTTGAGTGGACATGTGGAAAAATCCTTGAATAAACACATTTCTGACCAATTTTTCACCTTTTTCAAGGCCTAAGAGAATCCAAAACACATTGGTTAAAAAAAATCCTGACTGAAATTATTCAAATTCATGCATAAAAGAAAAAAAACTATGACTGGTTGTAGTCAGTGGTAGTTTGATCAGATTATCCAACAAATAAAACAGGATCCATCATTAGATGTATGAAAACGTGTCGGGCACAACAGTGAGATCAGGCTTTTAAACTATCGTGGTTTATAAGTTATGTTATCGGCATGAAAGCGTACGTTTCTGATGAAGTCCTCGTTTCTGCACAGCTCATCCAGGTAGTCCAGAAATGAACTGCTTCCTCCTGAACCTTCATCTTCACTTTCGTCCTCCCCTTCTTCTCCCATCTCTTGGATCTGAGTCATAAGCAAGATTTTAGTAACAGTCGGAAGGAGGACCTCATGGTTCCCTTTGATTAAATCAATAAAAAACAGACAAATAGAATATCAGAAACCAGTCTCATAATTGTAAAGAGTTGGGAACCTGAGGGCAGAAGAAGTTGACGATGGACTCGTATGCAAAGGGCTCATCCTCTGAAGCGGGCAAATGTTCATGAGGAAGGTTGAACTCTGTCACTTGATGTCTGTGTGGGCCCATGATGGCTCTCTGCTGGAATTCTGCGATGAAAGACAAAAAAGACACCAGACGATCCATTTTCTTTCCTCAGAGTTCTCGTAATGACCTAATACTGCTGGTACTTGGTGCTACATTGGAGGATTTGGTTGCTATTTGGAAAAAAAAGTTTGGGTGGGAACTCAATTGTTCTTCAACACAGGCTTAAATCTCTCAGACAAAGCTTTTAGGTCCATTTTTGAAGCCATCTCCTGGAATAGTTCGGAATAGTTCAGGTTTCTTAAAGGACATTTCCAAACTCATCCTTGGATGTTGGCCTTTTTTCCATTCTCTGTCAAGATGAGCAAACCCTGCTTACAATATTCAGGTGCAGTCTCACTGAGGGTAGTGCATTGGCCTTTGTCCCTGTTTCCTTTCCTTACAAATGGCCTCTTGACGACCATTCCCAACAAGGTTTCCCTTAAAAGTAAGCCCAGAGGGGCTCTAAGACGATGCGTAAGGTCTTTCTGGTCTTATGGTGTCTGCTTTCTTGGTTTCTTAACAGGCTACGTTGTGGTTAACATCAACACCTTTGGTACCATGTGGTGGTGTCACCTTAAGAGGGAACGCCAGTGTGTGTTGTAGTTTGTCTTTGAGTGGCGTAGCCAGCCCAAGGAGTCATTTCAAAAGAAAAATCTTCTAAAATGGCAGATAGATGGAGCAACGTTGGGAATCGAGAGCTGGCTCAAGTGTTTTCCTCGGAAATAGAAGGAGGCACTGTCCTTTTTTCGACAACATTTTTCCATTTCTGACCTTCTATCAGAGCCTGCTCCCTGATGTTCTCCGATTCCAGCATCATGTTTTGATTCCACAGCATGCCGTCTCTGGTCCCCGAAATCCTGCGGGAAAGATGACGTGGGTGTCTTAGTAACCGATACAAGTCTTTACAAATAGGTTAAAAAAAAAACTGAAGGGTTATCAAAATTTGCGTTGATTCCTTACAGATCTGGACAGCAGATCTGCTGGACCGGAGCTACCGGCGGGCACATGCACCAGCTGGGACAGACCTCGGGCTGGGGGGACTTCGACGGGCCGCAGCCCCCGACGTGTGACGGGCTGCTGACCGTGGCCAGCTCACAGGGGCTAAAAGAAAACCCCGGACAAGGGTGGGGGGAGAGAGGACTCGGTGCCATCCAGAAGGAGCTGTGGGATGCATACGGGTTAAACGGGAGAGGCGCCAGTCCAGGTTGGACATTGAGACCGAGGGGGGGTGGGATTTGTAAGCTGCACAGAGGGGGGCCGAACGCTGGCACGATGTATAGGTAGTGGGGGCCCAGCTGGGTTTGAATGAGTTGATTCGGCTCCACCAACACAAGCTCGGCCGGACAGTAGTCCCTTTCGACGGAACACAGCCTGTTTCTGGCCATGTCTCCAGCTGTAGGCAGCCTCACTGATGCAGGCTGAACCATCTCTTCCTGGTGAGGCCCTACTAAATGAAAAAACATTTCTTTTTCGAAGGTTTCTTGGCTCATTTGAGGGGCATTTTGGAGGAGTCTGAGACTGCCTGATGCTTCCTCTGGGAAACACCTGCTAACGGACAACAGTGGGGAGAAAAAAGGGGGGGGCAGGGCTCCTGGCTGAGAGTGATTGTAGATAGCATCAGATGGAGAGGCCAACACAGCGTTCATCCCTCAGCTATGTGGTTCTGTGAAAATTCAAATGAACAAAGAAAAACTTTTTGAGTATAAACATCGCAGGTTTTAGGAGCTGTTGCTATGAGTGGCAAAATGACACATTCTAGTTTTATTAATCATTTCCGATTGGCTTACCTTTCTTGGTTTGGATGAATTATCTTTAGCTAGTGTTGTAACATGTCTACTGTCACCAAAGCTCAACATGAAGATAAACATGATTCATGTTTATTTTTGATTTGAAGCTTCACACCTAAACATTCCAAAATTCTCATCAAACTAAATTTACATAAAATGTCAATCATCTTTTTCCTTTTCCTCATTCATAAACCATATGGCCACCATCTTTAACTACAAATTTAATTTAAGGTAATTCTAATTATGCTCCCAAAATGATTCAATATTGACAACAATCATGTTTTTTTCCTAATGAGGTGGCACAAAATTCTATTTGGTTGAATTATATAGGTGCTTTGATAGTATAAGAAATTATAAGGAGGTTGAAAGGATGACATACGACAGGTTTAAGACATTTGTAAGAAAATAAAGGGACAAAACTACATTTCCCAAGAACCTGAGCGGTCGGCGTACCAACTCGGATATCCGCTCTTTATTTTTCTGGCGTGGCGAAGTTGTCGTAGCACGTGTGATTCTTACGTGAAAAAGTGCTTTGGATGTTCACGAAAATATTTTTTTCCCCTAACCTAATACATTTGAATCGCCTTTGTTTTTAATTTTCATCTCTAAAGGTCTAAAGTGCACTTCCGCCGCAATGTTTCTGCAGTACTACCTAAATGAAAGCGGGGACCGAGTCTACACGCTGAAGGTAAACGCTAACTTTCTGTTTACAGTCTACGTTTGAGAGAGTAAATGCGTTTTGGCCCTTGATTTGCACTCCAGCGTCTTAATACTTTGAGTTGACTTCAACATTCGTCAAGTTTTTGTCAGATTTGTGTCTTACAATCTCTGTGTTTAACTTTAATTGGCAAACGAGGACAAGCTAATTGTTAGCTGCTGAAGCTGTCCCGGATACAATGTTTAAAACAGAAAAATGAAATAACGACTCCAGTTCAAACAATGATCCTTTTAAGTATGCATGGAAACGCTGAACAACAATGGTAATATTTTGCTTTTAAACTACTTTTAAAAAAAACAAACAACGTGTGGTTATTTAGTCCTAGGAAGAAAAATGTGACGTCATTATTGAGGATGAAAAAAAGGTCTAGCTTGTTATAATTGTGGGTATTTAGTAGCATTTTGTCACACAGCGACATACAGAGAAAATTTGTTTTAAACGAAAGCCATAAAACTAAAATGCAGATTTTTCTTGCTTAAAAAACACAAATACCTTTTTATAAGAATGTCAAAAAAAAAAACAGAGTTCAGTCCCCATCCTTCCAGAATTTTTATTTGTATTTTTTCATAATTCCATCCGTGTCAGTATTCTTCATCTACACCCAAATAAGTGTTATTTTTTTCTTTGCTGCCAACAGAAGGTGAACCCCGATGGGTCGCCCACCAGCTCGGCCCATCCTGCTCGTTTCTCCCCTGATGATAAGTTCTCCCGCCACCGGGTGCAGCTGAAGAAACGCTTCGGCATCCTGCTCACGCAGCAGCCCACCCCTGTCCTGTGAGAGAACGATGGCACAAGGTGTGGGAGAGGTGAAGGGATGGATGGCAACCAGAGCAACTAATGCCAGGATGGAGGGGAACCTGAGGCTGCAAAGAGAATAGGATGACAAATCCTGATATACATTAAAGACACTGTGGAATATTACTTAGACAATTGGTTGGAAATACTGTTGTTATTTTTTTCTTAATGCTGAATAAATGTTTTGTTGATGGATGTATGTAGTTGTACCTGTGTTTGTTCTTCCAAAAGGAAATATATATAGTGACAAAAGAGAAATTTTTCTAATATATCCTGTGAGATAATATGCTGAGACGTGGTGATCTCTGTGAAATCGTATTTAACCTGCCTCAAGCTTATATAATTAAGTTAAACTCCACGATTTTTTCGTTTAATTTTGATATATTTAAAAGTGTGAAAAAAAAAATCATAAAGAAAGTCACAAGAGGTCTATTCTTGATTCATATCGGAAATGTCCCTTATGGACTACATATACCACATATCTTGTACCGGTAGGGCCACACAACGCATGCGCAAGGAGAACCTGCGACGGCAAGTACATTAGGACCGGACACGAGCTCTCGCATGTTTTCTTTTTTTTTTTTTTTGCTGGGTTGGTAAGACTAAAAAAGTGCCGACAAAATACCCGGGAGAGGAGCTTGGGGTTGCTGGATGTCACTGAAGACAGGCGTGTTTTTAATTGAGACACTTGATACAGGTATGAGCTTCACGTGGTTGATTAAGAATAAATGTTTTCAGGGGGCAGAATTGTCGCCGTGACATGGCTAGCTGGAGGTCCATGGGGTTGACAGTCTATCGGCGGCGTGGCTAGCTCCCAGCTAACGTTAGCATCGGTTGCCTGAGTCCTCCTCACCCGATACAAAAACAGTGTGTCTGCTGCCCCTCGAGCGGTGGCTCTGGGTGTCGCACGTTTCTCCTTCTTACGTGACGATAACAGAAAACCACCACTTTGCACAAAAGGGGCTAATTAAGCGTGCGGTTTATCCTAAATTAGGCGCGCGCGTCTTTAGTATTTTATCCTGTTTGCGTACATTAAACCTAATGTTCATACAGACTCAAGCTTCATACAGATACCGCAGTCCTTTTGTTTTTAAAATGCTATTTAAAGCCACCTTAGAACCAGTGCTTGTAATTCCATCCTAACTGAGTGTGAGAAAAATGCATGTGGTCACCGACCGGTTTAAGCCAGAATTATTATGGCTAGCTTAATTGGCTTAGAATGTCAACAGTGTTGCGGTTTGCATTTAACCATCATTGTCATCATCTGAGCTTGTCTTGAATTTATTTCTGGAAGAGTCTTATTGATATTAAAAAAAATCAATTTGACTTTTTCTTGTCCCAGCAAATAGAATACATTTTCATTACTTTTGAATTAAATTACATTAAAAAGGCGTTCATTTGATAACACAAAAGTAGTAAGATTCTAATAAAAATTTTTGTTTGTTTGTTAGATAAGCGCTATATATACTTGTTATCGTTGCCCTGAAATATTGTTTGAAGTTTTAAGCAACATCAAGCTCTCATGATGAGGCTCTCATGATTTAAGTGGATTTTTAAATTTTTTTTAGATGTCCACCAGTTGATGTGAATTAGGGCAACCTGCTATTGGTCCTCAACATGTAAGGAAGTTATTGTTGTGCAGTTTCTGTCCAGATAAAATGGGGCGCAGGCCAAGTTGTGAAATACCAGAAAAGGAAAACAACAAAACACAATCAGAGCTCAGTGGTCAAAAAAGGAGAACAATATGTCATGTTCCACGAGGTCCCTTTTGTCACGCCACGGATCGGAAGAAAAGTCGGTGCAGCCACTGCTTGTTCTGTGCCACTGTTGGTCGGTCCGTGTGGGAGCTGTCCATGGCTGGATTTGAGTTGCAAATCCAAGGAAGACGCACCAGGAAGTAGAGCAGATTCCTGCCAGTTAGAGAGGTTTTAAGTTTCAGACCTGGCCTCTGCACATCACATGATGGTGATTCTTTTCACCTAATCCTGAACTCCACGTTGCCCCCAATTCCTTTATCAATTAGCACACCCGTGTGTTTTTGGGAAGCGCACTCTGCACGTAGGATGAAAAGGTAATGTCTGTAAATAGGTGACTATGGTTTGCACTTTGAAATCCTCAGATTGACAAGACCGCAAAAGGAACATGTAAATGCAGGCGATAACCGTTCAGCTGTAGAGCAATGCAACAAACAGGGATGGAATAGGAAAACCCTGATTGGTGAGTGTGGATCTTCCAGTGACTTTGCCAGATGGATCTGGGCATGTGTATGAAAGGAAGCCCGCTTTTTCTTCCCAGGATCTCTTCAGTTCCCATAATCCCCCCCTTCATCCACTTCCTGAATGTTAAAGGAATGGACTCTTATGCAGGCAATATTCATAAGAGAAAAAAAAAAGAACAGGACGTTCCTCTGCCTGAGCCAGTATTCACAGGCCCAACCAGTTAGATCCACTCTCCTTTTAATAATTAAATTTGAAGCCAAGTTGACTAGGCTGGGGGGGGTGAACAAACGCTTGGTTATATCCAGCTGTGGTGTCACTTCTCTGCCAGGATCAGAAATGTAAACACATGGGTTCACGCTGGTTATTAACCTTTTCTTTAAACCGCTGTTGTGTTGTTAGGAGCACTCAACAGCAAGACAATTGTTTTTTCTTCTTTTTTTTAAAAATATGCATGCAAAATCAGAAGGAGGTGGAAATAGAGGTGTGGCCTTTTGGAGCACTGGCATCCTATTGTGAGGCCAGACATGCTGACCATAGCAGCACAGGAACAGCATAACTGAGAAATGAAAAAGCTTTCACCCCCAGGCTGGCGCTGAAGTGCTCGACTATGGAGTCGGAAATGACAGAGGAAGTACTGTAGAGATGTTGGACTGAAAATTTTCACTGGTGCACACAGAACTGTCTGATACCGACCCCCCCACCCGCTACGATGTGTTTATAGATGGCGTCACATTCATTTTATGCAGCATTTCCTATACTTATGTACATGTGGCTTTTTTTCCTTTGAATACTGAGTGCAGCTTTTTGTCGAACTGAATTTTACATTTAGAAATAAAATGTCTTCTTCCTGTCTTTCTGCCTCTCTCACCCCTTTTTGTCCCATCCCCTCCCCTCCTCAGAGGTGTTACCTCACCCTGTTGAACTCACTGCTCTGGCCACGATCACCTATTAGTGCTAAACTTGTGAATTTGTTTTGAACTTTGAGGTGCTTGTCAGAGAGAAGCTAGTCATTTTTTTAGATGAGAAACCGCAGGCAGAAAGATGTCGGTAATCTGTTTTAATCCACGGGACGACTCCTATAATGTCCTTTAACAGCCCAGAGCTGTTTTTCTACACGTTTCTGCTCAAGAAGTTGATCATCCTGGATTGGCACCGGTTGTAAGACGGCTGCAGTTTTGTTTTTTTTTGTTTTTTATCTGAACCGGAAAAATTCTCATGCCGAGCGGCAGCCTCTTTGCTTTAATGGAGAATTCCGGCATCAAAAGGAGAAATCTTAGAGGCTGCTGTTATCTCAGCGGGAGCTGGGAGACAGCCTAGTTCAGCTCAGGTCAGCGCAGAAAGTTAGCCCCTGACCCCCCCTCGCCCCATCCCTCTTCCCCCCACCTTCCCCCCTCAGCACCCTTTCTTCCGCCCCTGTGAGCCTCTCCCAGCGAGCCGCCATGGCATCGGTGCGCTTCACCGTGACGCCGACCAAGGCGGAGGACCTCCCGGGGGTGTCGGACACGTCGCCCGACATCAGCTCGCGCTCCGATGCCCGCGTGCGCTTCGGCTCCAGGGAGAGCGTCAATCGGAGCGACCCGCTCAGCGAGGCGTCCGCAGGAGGAGGAGGAGGAGGAGGGGGGGACACGCCGGAGCACTACAGCATGGAACACGGTGAAAAACACACTCAACACGTCTAGAGAATACTCATAAGTAGGATAATCTGCCAATGTATAGTTTTTCTGGAGGGTGGCCAATTTACAATTAGTCAGTAACTGCCAGGTTTGATTAAAATCGTCAAAGATCACCAGGAATAGTTTGAGTTTTTGTGTCTTGGCGACAACTTTGCCGATGACGTTGCACAGCGTCAACAGTAAATGCAGGTGAACCGTGTCGTCAACATCTGGGGTGAGGCGACCTCTCGACGACGTGTGTAGAGCTAGACAACAAGCACTACAATCCATCCTGCGCCTCTGAGCTGTGCCCTGAATGCACCGCTCTCTCTTCACAAACGTTCTCCATTTGTCCTTTTTGTTGGTTTTTTGTTTAAGTCTGAGCCTGAATCCTGTGCGATTCCATCAGAAGCCGTACGGCTGAAACGGCTTCCCAACAAACAGATGCTGAGAACAATGTTGTTCCGAGCGTGGCGCAGGTTCCACTTCCCCCTCAGCTGTTGCCTTCCCACCCACAGAGCGGACGCAGTGATTCACTGCTTTACTTGACGGCAGCAAAAAACCTCTTTTATGTATTTTTTATTTTTGTACTCGGTTTCGACAGGCACAGGTTTAAGATGGGACGGTTCTGGAAGTCATGAAAACGCTTTCTATTTTCTATTTGTTTGTGCTTGTTGTTGTGCACAGCACAGTAATCCACTTTCCAAAAGTATATAAGAATGGCTGTGTGGCTTCCCCGGCTCAGAGGAGCTGTAAGTATGGAGAGCTGTAACTGTATTAGCTGCAATGATCCTCTTAAGCAGATGCACAGTAGTAAGAATACCCCACGTTCTTTCTTTAATAGGTTTCCATAAATAGAAGCAGGGACGGTAAATCCGGCCGAGTTTCATTCAGGCCGTTGCTGTGCAGCGGTTGTCTTCCCAGTTTGTTCCTATTTCTACCCACTCCCTTTAAAGACAACAAAAACGAAACAAAAGAAGGCCCCAACAGCTGGAATAAGTAGCATTCGAAACGAGCCAGCGTTCCTGAAACGCTTAGAGGAGACCAAGCGAAACCGCTCGCCCGATGTGTCATTGTGCTCGTTTTATTCCCTAAAAGGAAACTCCACAGTGGGATGCATCTGGCTGCCGCTCTGCCTCACTGCCTCGCGCTAACACAGCGACTCTCAGGTGTGATGGTGTCGGGCGCAGGACTCCAGCGTGTTCGGCGAGCTGTGAATGTTCGCAGCTGAGGCGCGGAGTGGACAGCAGGAAGGACTCCATGAATGAATGGAGCTGCTGCTAAATTCCACATTGGCGTTCGAACATCTCCTTTGACACTCTGTCTGTGAGGGGCACAACCCTGTGCTCTGAATGATGGATTAGAGTCAGATGTTTCTACCTCGGTGGGGGGGGGAAGTCAAGGAAGTGATGCTTTTCCATTTTTTGGCTTTAATATATCAGTCCTGATGAGCACACAGGATACTCAGATTTCATCCTCTGACTTTAATACCCTCCCCAGATTATCAGTTACAGATAATATCCTTCCAGTTGTGCCATATTTTACTGAAAAACAACAATTTTATAGATGTGCACTCAGTCACAAACCGGCACAGGAGGCACACCACAACAGGTTTGCCTACGCAGAAACCTTAGGGGGGGGGGGGGGGGGGGGGGGGGTTGGTTGCTGTTGTTCAGAATACTCAGATGTGGACATCTTGGCGGGATAGATAAAAAAGAAAATTTCCAGCTGATTCCCAATAAAGGGGCGGAATGTCGGAAAATTTTGGATCGTTGCGTATAAATGAGTTGTACACTCCAAACAGCTATTAAAACACAAGTATTCATAGTTTTAAAAATAAACATTATGACAGTCAGACCCCTTTAAAAAATGGAAAAGAAACTTCATAAAACATGCCGTCATCACTCCAAACGCCCCTTTTCTCACATTTTTCTTTCAGAAGGTGTTTCAAGTTTTTAGTCTCGTCAGAGAGGCGTGCGTTTTTTCTTGAGTCATCAAAAGTCATGTGACCTTCGACCAGTCCTCTGGTAACCAACAAACAAACAGCTAATGTCTTGACAGCTGTGTTATCAGACAAACAGTCTGCTGAGCGCTCCAGAAATCTGCGAATCCTGCCTGTCCCGTCGAGCAGGTTAAGTAATCGGAAGGAAATCTGGCAGCTCAGTTCAGCTCCAAATGTGTTATGAGCTCCACTTAAAAAAACAAAACAAAAAAAAACAATTTAAAAGTTTTTCTTTTTTTAACCCTCGTCATTACGACACGCCTCGGCTGCCGAAGCCAGCAGGGCTCAACTGCTTTGGGGAGAGGCCACCACCTGCCAAATAAATGCTGTTTTCTTTTTTTTTTCTACCCATATTTTATTCTCTATGAATATGAACAGCAGTAGCAAGATAATGGGGGGTTAATGTCACGATGTGAGTCACAAGCCCACACCCACTCCCGGTCCTATAGGTCTTTGTTACCTTGGAGTTGTCTGTCAACATTGAAGCTCATTGATGCTGCAGGGTGTGAACATTTGTAAAAACGTAACTGGGGCAAAAAGGTCACACGGGCTGGGAGGCCTCCTCCTTCCTTTTACCAATAAGGGCTTCTTCTTCTACTTCTTCCTGCTGAGGGAGTATGCTTCTGTCAGTCTCAACCCCTTTTATGCTGCCACATGCTCTTAAGCAAACCACCCTCAAGGTGTGCCGGCTGCAGGTTTTAGGCCTGAAAACTCTTGCGGAACTAATGTAGAACCAAGATCCGAAGCTTTCGATTGATTGTGTGAAAGGTGATTAAGGATTGAAGGAAATGAGCAAACAGCACACCACCCCCCCCCCCCATTCACCCTCGAGGGGTGTTAAGTCGGGTCAGATTGCGCTCATTTGTAACGTGACGCTGCGGATTGTTTGCTGGCGCTAGCGCGGCGAAGCAGGAAGGGTAGCGATGCTGCTGACTCAGGTGCTGCTGATTGGGCGAACCGGAGGTGAGCGCCGGCGACCCGTCGGCGGTCACCTCCGGCCCCGTCCCCGGTCACCATGACGGCGGTGACCACGTCCTCTTTTTTTTGGTTCAGCTGCTCTGTCAAGTCTGCACTCTCACCCCGTCCCCCCTTACTCTTTTTTTTTTTTCTTTTTATATCCTTTTTTTTTTTTTTTTTACTGTGTCTTTTTGTCTTGTCAGGTGATGGAAATTCTAAAATGTCCAGCGTCTACATCAACAACACTCACGGGATGGACGACGACGACTTCTACGACAGAAACCTGGCCCTGTTCGAGGTGCGGAGGGAGCGAAAACGGGCCGCGCCATGTGGCTGCAAGCCTTTCTATTTATGAGTGGAACGGGGGGACCTGCTGGCTGTCTGTGGACTTTTAGCCTTTGGAAAAAAAAAAAAAAGCGGCTACAGTGGCTTCAGTTAGCTTCAGTGTATACGCACAGTTTTTGTGGAAAATTGCCCCAAGTCTTTTTCTCCCCCATTGAGTAGCCTTTTGCCTCTCTGTCTCCTCAGTTTCCTCCTCTTTGTCATTGACGCCCTCTTCACCCTTCCCACATTTCTGTCTTTTTCCGTTCCCCTTTTTCTTGCCCTGTTATCTCCTCTCTGTTCCTCCTCTTTGTTCCCCTGTCACCCCCCGACCGCCTAGCCGCCCCCCTCCTTTCTTATCTCTGCTCTTTCGCCTGCCGCTTGCCTGTCTCTGTTTTTCGAATGAATGCTTCCCCGGTGTGCCTCACCCCTCAACAATTACTCACCTGATGCCCCCCACCCCCCCCACCCTTTCTTATCTCCCCACTTCCTCCTCAAACCAACAGGAGGAGATGGACACTCGTCCAAAGGTGTCTTCTCTTCTCAGCCGCCTGGCCAACTACACCAACCTGACGCAAGGGGCCAAAGAGCACGAGGAGGCTGAGAACATCGGCGAGAAGAAGAAAACCAGCAAGGTGTGTCTACATAAAGTCCACCCCCCCAAAAAGTTCTAATGAGATTGATTTTGGATAAGGGGGGTCTTAACCCATGATCCCGAAGCCTAGGTTAGTTAAAGGGTCCCCAACGGCCACCAAAAATGACTCTCGGCACTCTGCTAACATCCCACCCAACGTGAAAGAAAGCTCAAATCACCTCGTCCCGTTCCTCAGAAAATCTGCCCGTCGCCTCGTTCCTGTCTAGACAGTTTGTATATCTGCAGCTCAAAGTGCGTAAGGATGTGACCCCGGCGCGCGCTGGCCGATAAAGGCGCCTGCCGGCCCAGATAAGGCCGTCTGTCGCGGTGGCTCGGCCTTTTCACCCCGCTCTGACTGCACGCCCACTGCCACGTTCTCCAGCAGACGGCAGGCAAAGCAAAAACCAAAACAGGTTTAATCTTCCCTTCTGGTCCGGCAATGTGTTCAGTATAAGCAGAAACATACGGGGCGGGCGTAACGGAGCGCCTTCCGCTGGTCGCCCGCTCAGAAAGATGATGTCACAGCTCAGCTTTAACAGGGAAAAAAACACCAAAACAAATGGTGTTCAAAATGGGTGAGGGGTACGTCTTTAAAGATTCTAGGCAACCATGGAAGAATCTCTGAGTGTGAATTATAATATCTGTTTTTCGTTCTTACTCCAAGTGTTAGAGTTCCTTGTGCTAGAAATGTCAGAATTCCTGTAAAAAGGTCTGGTTTAGCCGGCTGACCGAAGGCGTGCTCTGTCCCCTCCACAGTCGCCGCAGATGGGGACGTTCATGGGCGTGTACCTGCCGTGCCTGCAGAACATCTTCGGGGTGATCCTGTTCCTGCGCCTGACCTGGGTGGTGGGCAACGCGGGGGTGCTGCAGGCGCTCTGCATCGTCTTCGTGTGCTGCTGCTGCGTGAGTGACCGCCCGCCGGCAGGCGGCCGCAGTGAGATCCAGGCGGTGGAAGGCTCTCTTAAAAAAAAAACGGCCGCTTGTCTGTCTCTTCCTTCCAGACGATGTTAACCGCAATATCGATGAGTGCGATCGCCACCAATGGAGTTGTGCCAGGTATTGCTTCATTTCTACACGCTCTCAATAACTTTCTTCTCCATACATGCAGATTTAGGCTGGTGGATATAGCAACAACCCCCCCCTCCCCAAACAAAAAAAAACCCAAAACAAATGTATGACCTTACATATTATTTACATTATTTATTAAGTTTTACTTTCTATCTTTTGTAAGTACATGCATTCTGCATCTTTTCTTTTTGAAACCACCAATCGGTGGGGCTGCGTGACACGAGAAGAGCCTGAGCCTTTTTGCAAGCATATTCCTGACAAACAGGGACCGGCCAAATAGCTTGGACAGGCTTTGGATCCGCTACGCTTTGTGTCCGTCATGCCTTGCTTCTTTTTCCATCTATTTCAACCAAAGCAACGCGCTGGTAGAAATCAAAACGGCAGAATTCCCCTCAAAGCTGCCGTGAAAAAACTGTGGTTGAAATGATCAGACCGTTGGAGGCTAAGAGTCTCTTTGCTGTGGACGTTTGCTCCGTTTCTTTGCATGCGCAGTGACCTATCCCAGAAAAACGAGGACTGGGGAAGTCCTCTGTGCTTGGGTTTGGGCCGCATGCTCAGTCCAGAAGCGGTGCTAAGGTTCGTTGAAAGACGAACCTCGGCTCAGAGCGAGGAGTCTCTGCAAAATGCAAGTGGGCGTTCGTCAGTCAAAATTCTAAGAATCAACATTTGCAATGGCGTCCCGGAGCTGTGGCTTAAAGGAAATGGATGGTGAATCCCTGTAAACCCACATGGAGATTAAAGCTGCGCTATGGTTTTCTATCATGTGGTCATAGCAGACCTGTGCAACCTAATTTACATGTAGCTAATCGTCATTGAGGTACGGCATTGACACGTCTGACAGCCGCTCAGAGGGGGGAGGAAGTAGCAGATTGTCTCCGCTTGGCCACCTGCTACTCTCTGTCAAGCTTCCGCTTCACTGATGTACAGAACTGGTTCCTTTTGGGATGCCGATCATTCAGGAAAAAGCTAATGTCATTGGCAAGAATCAAACTCCCGAGTGAGTCAGCAGCTCATCAAAGTGTAATCAACCAGATCAGCTCTCTGATCAAGGACTGAAAGCTCCTCCCTGCATGTGGCTGCGTTTTTCTCTATGAAAGATGAGGGCTTACATGTGCGCAAGACGTCAGAGAAAAGCGCACAAAGTGGCACCAAGCTGATACTAACAGCTCTGATCTCCGTCTTTGTCTGTAGGGGTGGGCCACGTTGGCAAAAATAATATTTATTCCGTTTAATTTTTGAATAATTCAAATGGTTATGGCCACACAGACCACGTAAATTCAAAACGTGACTGAATAAGGCTGTAGAAATAAAACCTTTCCTATTGTAAATAGCGACCACAGTGCCATATTCGCACGTTTAGGTGTGGGATTGTTGCGGTTAAAAGAAAATGTCAGGTCAAAGCATAAGTAAAAAGCTGTCATTTGGCTGACTAATAAAAACAAATCGGTTTGAAATGGATGTTCGCCCTAAAAGCAGCGGGGTGGTGACTTAATAAAATCTGTAGAGAAATAGAAGGCGCAGAACTAAATAAAGCCAATCCAAAGTCTCTCCCCTCCACGCACATTCCTCGCAGAGCAGAAGATGTTTTGTTGGTCAGGCGGCTGCTGTGGGAAGTCAACTTTTCTCCCTCTGTTTGAGCACCCGTTTGTCACATTTTTATGGTGACACAGCTGAATCCACCCCCCCCCCCCTCCCCCCCCCCCCCCCCTCTGTCTGCCTCCACCTCTCTGCATGCACATACATCCAAAAACGCAGGGTCGATATGTCCATCCACCTTACCTAGATGGATATCACACATGTGAAAGTAGTACGATTGATTGATTTTTACTCCTCCCCTCCCTCCAGCATGTGACATTTACAGAATTTAATGTAGTCTGAAGCCCCGCTGTAACATAGAATCCGAGCGTCCTAACATGTGCTTGGGCACGGGCCGTTTCATTCCATTCTGTGTTTTTTTTCCCCCACCTTAACAGCTCCCAGCTCTAGTGCTCTCACCATCTCACCTCAGATGGTAGTGGATGGATTTTGTAACATTTGTTCTAATGTGGGTGGGTGGTTGAAAGATCAACGACGACAACAAAAAAGTGTTTGGTTTCTCAAATCACTCAAAACAAATCTGACCTGCGGAGGGCCGAACACTTTGTGACGGTGCCTTCTGGTCTTGCTCTGATGGGTTGCATTTTAGAAGCCAAACACTGGACGCTGAGCTCTCAAACAGTAAAACAAAACAAAACAAACAAACCCCAAACATTCTTAATCTGCAATCCTGCCACGCCCTCTTGTTTTCTGTTTCAGCAAATTACAGAAGCTGTCTTTGAGCCGACTTTGATATTTTCTAATAGATTTTTAACAGTAGGTCCATAAACATGCTGTCATGAGTGACATCCATGATGAATATTATAACAAAGAGGTAGTTGGGATTGTTTTGTTTGTTTGTTTGTTTTGGCTCGTGAGCTCAGCTGCGTGTTATCACATGCAGTCTGCCGAAACAATTTTACCAACAAATGTGCTCTGTTTTCTTATTCCTGTGTGTCCTGTAGAAGATTGCCTTCTACAAGCATAGGATGAGTCCTCTCATCAGCTGTCTTCTTTTCTTTCCCTTTTACCTCCCCATGTCATAATGTCACTAACCATCCATCCCCTTTCTCTCTGTCTTTTTTGTGTCCCGTGGGCTCTCTCTACTTCCCTACCTCCTTACCTTTTTGCAACCTATTTCTCCCTGTTTTTCTGTCAAATTGTTTTCTTTCCTTTCCCCTCTCTGCAACTTCCGACATCTTTTTTTTTTTTTTTTACCCCCTTCCCTTCCTCTTTCGCTTTGTTTCTTTCTTTTTTTCTTTTTTTTTTTTTGTCCCTCGTCCCTTTTCAGCTGGAGGCTCCTACTTCATGATCAGTCGCTCCCTGGGCCCAGAGTTCGGCGGAGCCGTGGGCCTCTGCTTCTACCTTGGGACCACCTTCGCCGGAGCCATGTACATCCTAGGAGCCATCGAGATCCTGTTGGTAGGTTTCCGCTTTGTTTGTTGGGCCGTCCCCGATCAACATTCTGGAACTGTTTTAGTTGGAAAAATCCACACCTTTTGGCGTTTTTTACCCATTTTGTTGTTACACTCGCTGTTTTTGCCAGGTCTTTCGTGTTTTTTCACTCAAACTTGGAGTATCTTTTGGGGGAATAATGTCTACAAACTATTCTGAGATTAAATAAACCTGTATTAAGCCAGTATATAGAACACATTTTGAAGTGGCATAAAACCCAACTGAGACTAAATTGAGAATGTCAGTCTTTCTCAGTCATTCTCCTAGGTGTCATGCTCCCATACAGTTGGATTTACGGCTTCTTTTTTTCCCTCTAGCTGTACATTGTCCCGGCAGCAGCCATTTTCGACGGGGACTCGGCTGCGAGGCTGAACAACATGAGGGTGTACGGCAGCATCTGCCTCCTCCTGATGTCTGTGCTGGTCTTCGTGGGCGTGAAGTACGTGAACAAGCTGGCCTCCATCTTCCTGGCCTGCGTCATCGTCTCCATCGTCTCCATCTACGCCGGGGCGCTGGTATCCGCCTTCCGCCCGCCGCACTTCCCGTAAGCCGAGATCCCACATTCCCAAAAGAGGCCCGCGCGGCTCACGATCCGCCCCTTTCGGGGAAAAAACGGCCGACTCTTTCTGACGCGCTGCTGGGCTTTCGTTGGCAGCGTGTGCATGCTGGGGAACAGGACCATCAACAGCCACTTCATGACCGACAGCGAGTGCGGGAAAACCATGAGGCTGCCCGTCCTCGACCCAGATCAGAGCCCCGACGGCAACTCAACCGTCAGCTATGGTGGGGCCGCCGTCTCCTCGTCAGTGAGTCACAGCAGGCGGCTCCACCGGTTCGGCGTGCCTAACAGAGGTCGTTCTGCCCGTCAGAGAACAGCACGGCAGAAGCAGTCACGGCCCCAACCCCCGTCCCGGATCTGGTGGAGAAGACCACGGTGCTTTGGTGGGAATTCTGCGGGAGCGAGTACCTCAACGCCACCTGCGACCCGTACTTCAGCTCCAACAATTTCTCAGAGATTCAGGGCATCCCCGGTCTGGCCAGCGGGGTCATATCAGGTAAAGTGACAAACAGCCGGTAGTTGTAACACAGAGCTGAATAGGGAAAGACAACAATTGGGTTGTTACTTTACAACCCTGATTGTTTTTGTGACATCACATTATAACCATGCTCCTTTTTTTTCTGGGACTATTTAAGTGTTTACTTTGGAAAAATGTATTTTTTCTTTATTCTTTGAAAATCAACATTTATTTATTTTATTTTATTTATCTTTTATTGATTTACATGCTCATTATTCCATTAACACATTACCTTACTCGCACATATTTTCCACATACACCAACCCTACGCACACTCCATACAGATCAAAAACAGATGGGCTTAAACTTTCCTTAACTATATATAGAAATAAATACAGATATTAAATAGAAAAAAGACATGTTAAGACTCGTTTACACTTCTGCCTTTATTTTCCCTTCCTTCTTTTTTTTGTCTCCTTGTGATGCATAACCTAGAACAGAAACTTGAATGAACAGTCCATTTTGTTGCAAAAACGAAGGGACCCGTGTGAATACATAACATTCACTGAATAAAATCTGGATTTTCTTAAATTTAAGTACATGGATTAATCTGTGCTCCCAATGACCGGCGCTCTCTCCGTCTCCAACCTGGTAGAGAATCTGTGGAGCGCCTATCTCAACAAGCGGGACGTGGTGGAGAAGAGCTCCCTGGCCTCCACCCAAGTGGCGCAGCCGGTGTCGGTGAATCACCCCTACGTGTTTGCCGACATCACCACCTCCTTCACCCTGCTGGTGGGCATCTTCTTCCCCTCCGTCACAGGTAAGGGCTCAGAACGTCCTTTGTTCCGCTCTTCTTTGAAAGAGTGTCTTATTTCAAAGAGTGTCTGTCTGTGACATTTACGTATTCAGCAGAGTTTTTTTAATAAAAGCCGTTGTAAAGCGGCTAGCTTTCCGATCATGTTGTTCCACCTTCTTTTTCTTTTCTTTGTACTTTGAACGTTTGTCTTCTCTCCTCTTCTGCAGGGATAATGGCTGGTTCCAACCGGTCAGGAGATCTAAAGGACGCCCAGCGCTCCATCCCCATAGGAACCATCCTCGCTATCCTCACCACCTCCCTCGTCTGTATCCTCTTTCTGACAAACTATTCTCCCGTTAGTGTTTATTTTCCCTCGTTCTGTTTTTTAAAAAATCTGTTAGAATCCAGACTATTTGTAGGTTTGCCTCTTCATTTCATGACAAAAAAAATAGCTTCTGATTTGTTGTTTTCCTGAGCGTTGTCATCTCAGATATGAGCAGTGTCGTGCTGTTCGGAGCCTGCATCGACGGGGTCGTCCTCAGAGACAAGTCAGTGCATCCTTTGAAAGGCAGCTCGGATCTGACAACGTTTAAAAAAAAAAAAAAAAAAAAAAGACAACAAGTCTGTTTCGTTCTCGCCTGCGCAGGTCCGGGGATTCGGTTTACGGCACCCTGGTGGTGGGGACGCTTGCATGGCCCACTCCCTGGGTCATTGTGATCGGCTCCTTCTTCTCAACGTGCGGCGCCGGTTTGCAGTCGCTGACCGGCGCTCCCCGGCTACTGCAGGCCATCGCCAAGGACAACATCATCCCCTTCTTACGGGTTAGACATGCAATGACTAAAAAACCTTATAACCTTATAGGAATTCCAGCTGTCAAGCCTGACCAATGATTTTCGTTTGACTTACCATCTTATCAGCTTTTTATTTGGTCCTGCTATAGTTGCCCTTTAACCAACTCCTTTGTGCTGCTCATATGAAACAAAGGTGCCGTCTTGAAGGTTTTCTGTCGAAAGCCAATACGCACCCAAAACTCCGGCTTTGCGTTTATGTTAACGTCCGTAAATGGTGAAGCCCAATTTGGTTTTTGGAAGTGAAACGGCAAGAATTGTGCCAATAGTGATGGAATAATGGCTTCCGAGGGTGTTTGGAGGTGGAAGGCACTGCCTCTCTGTGTATTTCCAGTGAAATGAACACTTCTAATTCGAGCCAACGCCCTTCTGTCTCCTCACATTGAGCAGTTTCTCTGCTGGTGGGGAAACTGACTCACTCATGCACACTGCGGAATCTCTTCTCACTCTCCAGGTATTCGGCCACGGGAAGGCCAACGGGGAGCCCACCTGGGCTATGCTGCTAACGGCGCTGATAGCCGAGCTGGGGATTCTCATCGCCTCTCTGGACTTGGTCGCTCCCATTCTGACGATGTAAGACGCCGCTGCGTTACGTGCGTGAAAGACAAAAAAAGTGCCGTCTGCTTCCTCCCTAATGGGCTCCTGGGCTCGCCTTTTTGTCTCCCCAGGTTCTTCCTGATGTGTTACCTGTTTGTAAACCTGGCCTGTGCCCTCCAAACTCTCCTCAGGACCCCCAACTGGAGGCCACGCTTCTCCTACTACCACTGGTACTAGCACACACACACACACACACAAGTTAGTGCCAAAACAAACCCGTGAGCGCCAGCTCTGATGTGAACCTGTGCTGCTCGTCTCTCCAGGACCCTGTCATTTTTGGGGATGACCATCTGCCTGGCGCTCATGTTCATATCTTCTTGGTACTACGCAATCGTTGCCATGGTGATTGCCAGCATGATCTACAAATACATTGAGTACCACGGGTACGTTGCCATGGAAATCCGCCCCAGTCAGCATGGCTGCACATTCACAGCATGCTCTATAGTTGCCCCACAGTCGAGTTGATTTCCGCTATGAGTCAGATTTGAATATACATTTTTATAAATCTATATCGGTCACGCCGGAGCGTTCTGTTTGCACACAGGGCAGAGAAGGAGTGGGGGGATGGGATCCGCGGTTTATCACTCAGTGCTGCTCGGTACGCCCTCCTGAGATTGGAGGAGGGACCCCCACACACCAAAAACTGGAGGTATGGAGATTCTTTTGGCAGCTTTTCCCAGAAACCCGGACTATCCCAGACTGTCCATTTTCTCTAAGAGATACACACACTCCCTCCCCTCTTTTCCTTCCCCAGACCCCAGGTGTTGGTGTTGCTAAAGCTGGACGAGGACGCCCACGTCAAGTCTCCGCGGCTGCTGACTTTCGCCAGCCAGCTGAAGGCCGGAAAGGGCCTGACCATCGTGGGCACCGTCGTCCCCGGCAACTTCCTGCAGAGCTACGGAGAGGCTCTCGCCGCCGAGCAGGTGGGGGGGGTTGGGTCGCTGACCCCTGCAGGCCGCCCTGACAGTTGAATCCCGTTGACGACCGGTGTCTGTTCCCCCTCAGACTCTGAAGCACCTGATGGATAAAGAGCGCGTGAAGGGCTTCTACCAGTGCATAGTGGCCCAGAAGCCACGCGAGGGGATCAGCCACATGATCCAGTCCAGCGGGCTGGGAGGAATGAAGCCCAACACGGTGGTGATGGGCTGGCCTCACGCGTGGAGGCAGAGCGAGGACCCGCAGTCCTGGAAGACCTTCATCAGTGAGTTAGAGGATGGAAGACAATCCTCCCTTTTTTTGTGTCTGTTGTGTTGGGGTTTAGCGGGCTGCCCCCCCCCCCCCCCCCCCCTCTCTGTATCGTTCAGACACGGTGCGGGTCACCACTGCAGCCCACTTGGCCTTACTGGTCCCCAAAAACATCTCGCTGTTCCCCAGCAACAGCGAGCCCTGCTCGGAGGGCTACATCGACGTCTGGTGGATCGTCCACGACGGGGGGATGCTGATGCTGCTGCCTTTCCTCTTACGTCAACACAAGGTTCTAAAATGACATCCCCCCCTTGTCAAAGAAAGACAAAAAAAAAAATCAAAGCAAACCGTACCCAGATTTAGTCCGATTAACAATGGCTTTGACTGCTCCATTCGCCTCAGGTGTGGCGCAAATGTGCCATGCGAATCTTCACAGTGGCCCAGATGGAGGATAATTCCATTCAGATGAAGAAGGACCTGGCAACTTTCCTCTACCATCTGCGCATTGAGGCGGACGTGGAAGTGGTTGAGATGGTAGGCCTGTTGCCCTGAGGTCAATCTGAAACACTCCTGTCTTCCACTAATTATGTGCTGTAATATGAAAAGTGAGCAGGCTCCAGAACTCACCTAACGGCTAGGAAATGCATTCTGACATTTAAAAAGATGTTGAAAAGGACAGGTCAGGAGCAGTTGCCGAAAGCTCAAAATGTTTGTATTTGGGGCTTCTGGTCTCTCAATTTATGAGCAATAAAAAATGGGTTTTCACCGACCAGTTTGAAGTTGCCCAGAAACCCTCAAACACGATAGATCTACGGGTGTAAGGGTGTAGGGGGAAAACGGATCTCACAGCAGCTCAAATGAGCCACTCTGAGGGGTCTGTCAAACACCTCTGATTAAGCTTTACCCGGACTTTTAGCCACATTAGTCATTTTAATGCAAAAATGCAGCATTCTACGTGACCTTTGACTCTCCCGTCCCGCCTCTCAGCACAACAGCGACATCAGCGCGTACACTTACGAAAGGACCCTAATGATGGAGCAGAGGTCCCAGATGCTCAGACAGATGCGACTGTCCAAATCGGATCGGGAAAGAGAGGTGAGTTTAGGTTGGATTCGATGCATTGTTGGATTGTTCATGAATTAAATTCAATGGAAAATATCACATTTTCCCCAAAGGGTAAATCAATGGTAACAGCAGGGAAAGGAAAAGGGAGGGGGAAACAAGAAACAGACATGTGGCCAAGTCCGTGGTATTTGCTCTAGTGGCCTAAGGCTAATTAACGATTGCCAAAAGAAACAAAGTGCCTCAGCGTGTGATCCACCTCCAGTCCCTGTTAAATGTGTTGGTACACAGTCTCTCCTCTAAACAAGTGTCTGCTATTCTTCTGCGGCTCACCCATCCAATCTGCTGCGTTTTTGTTTCCGGACGGCCAGTAGAGAGCGGCGTAGGTGTTGTCGGAGCGCTCAGCCCCTCGCGGCGTCGGCTGCGGGGGGTCCTGATGGTCCCTCTGCGCGCCGGTGCACACAAAGGCCTCACAGAAACGGGCGAATTGGCATCAGCGGTCTGTGTGTACAGGTCGTTCCTGCTTGGATTTCTCCAAACCTCAAATTGACATCATTGCGTGAGGGATGGGACAGAGAAAAACCTCCAAAGGGCATCTTAAGGCCAAGGGGGCAGCCAGAGTTTCCCTGCTTGTTTAGCTTTTTACTACAAATGCAGTTACGAGTGTCACTGCCAGGTTTTTTTACTCTTTAATACTGAACCGTCTGCTTGAAGACACAAAACACTGACAGAAAAAAATGGTTTTCGACTCAAAAATCTTCCAAAAAAAAAAAAGAAAAAAAAGTGAAATGAGGACAGCTTGTTTTTTTCCCCCCCAATTTTTTAGAATTCTTTTAATTAAAACCCATGTCTTCTGCTTTCGCCCCCGGTCCCCTCAGAGGGTACGCTGGAGTTTTGACGACGTAAGTTCCCCCTGTGTGTGGCGGCGTAGTAGTGTGCAGTCCGAAGTAGAGCAGCTGGGGCCTGAGAGAAGACCTCTGACCGGGTCTCCTTAAGAATCAGTAGCAGGGATTGAGAGGGAGCGGGCAGACCCGTCTGAGAAGCCAAGACAAGACTAGAATTAGTCTTCCTTCTCCACCCCCACCACCCCTCCAATAGATATTCAGATGCCCTTTGACTCAGCACTCATTTTTAGCCCAAGCTCCTTCTTAGCCGCTCCCGTACTTCTGCTACAGTAGAGGCAGAGCAGATGCCGTCTTTTCTTAGCGAGTTAGGTGACCTTGTGTTTTCTGTAGGTGTATCTCTCCCCCAGGTTCAGGAGCACTGGAGCCCCCCCGTCAAACAGCGTCAGAGGAGACAGAGACAGAGACAGACAGGTACAGAGAGAGAGAGAGAGAGACAGAGAGGGAGGGACAGGGCAGTGTAAGTCAGCGGTCAGCTGGTCGTTATTTGAGGAGTGGGAGTCCGCGTGAGGTAGAAAAAAAAAAAAAAGAAAGTAAAGGGAGGATAGAGGCGGGTTGAGAGAGAGCCCCCCGCCCCCACCGTCTGTGTGTGTGTGTGCGCCGACCAGGCTCAGCTGGTGAAGGACCGCAACTCCATGCTGCGCCTGACCAGCATCGGGTCGGACGACGACGACGACACGGACGGCGGCGAGCGGGAGCGGGCGGCGAGCGGCGGCGGCGGCGGCGGGGGGGGCAGCGCCGAACACCACCGCCGCGTGCAGATGACCTGGACCAAAGAGAAGGCCTCGCAGTACAGAGCGGCGCACTCGGGCTGCTCCACGCCGGAAGGCTTCCGAGACATGCTGAGCATCAGGCCGTGAGGGGAACCATTCACAAACCCAACCCCCCACCCCCAACCCCCGTCTCTTCTTTTCGGTGGCTAAACGCGCCCCGTTTTCTTTCTTTCAGAGACCACTCCAACGTCAGGCGCATGCACACCGCCGTCAAACTCAACGAGGTCATCGTCAACAAGTCCCACGAGGCCCGGCTGGTTCTGCTCAACATGCCGGGACCCCCCAGGAACACAGACGGAGATGAGAACTGTATCCTAACGGCCTTGGCTTTTACAAAATGTTCGTTTTAAAAAGAAACGACTGGGGCGCATGTAGATGCCAGCGTCTCATGACAGCAGGCGTTTGAACCCGTGGGAGTGGCGTCAAGTGGCGTTCCGGCTAGGGTTGTCAAAAGTATCCACACTCGAAAAAGTATCGATACTAAAATGTTGTATCCGGATACGACACTCATTTTCAAAAGTATCGATACTCGAAAAAGTATCGATACTAAAATGTTGTATCCGGATACAATACTAATTTTCAAAAGTATCGATACCACCGTGCGAGCAACGCTGACCTGCCGTCGCTGCGCCCCTTCTCTCTGATGTATTTATGTATTTATTTACGTTGTTTATGATCATTAACAAGATGTTAGCCTTGAATTGCTAGCTGCAGCTAATGGCTAATAATAACACGCCAACATTAATCAAATACGTCTGGATGCAAACTCCGCCCACATCCAAGTTGGCGTTTTTTTTTTGTTTGTTTTTTTGGGGGGGATTTTTTTGGGATTTTTTTGGCTCTAGCCTTTAATGACAGTAGCTTGACAGGAAAGGGGGCAGAGATAGAGAGGGGGAGACCTGCGGGAAAGGGCCATGGGCTGGAATCGAACCCAGGACACCCGCGCGGAGGCTCCGCATATGGGCCGCCCGCTCTAGCCATTAGGCTGCGCTGCGGCCCAAGTTTGCCGTATTGATTACGTCACCAATATGAAGATTCAGGCCAAGAAAATCGTAATTGCTTCATGGCAAAATAGACATTAATTTAAAAATACTGAAATTAATCTTTCAAACAATTAAACTCTATAAATATCATTATGTTAAAATAGTGGATGTTACATAGGTTTGTACAATAAGTACAAACAAGTTTAACCAGAAAATATTTATTTCTCCCATTTATGAAGGGTGGAGGGTTAGGGTTAGGGTCAGGGTTAGGATTAGGATTAGGATTAGGGTCATTAATGTGGACCACCACTCACATCAGTAACAGGTCAGTTTTAAACCATAGACACTAACCTGTCAAAATTCAGTTAAATTTTGGGGTATCTGTTTTTATCCTTGTGGTATCGAAAATGGTATCGAGTATCGAGTATTTTCCTGAGTATCGGTATCGAGTTGAAAATTTTAGTATCGTGACAACCCTAGTTCCGGCAGCTTTAGAATGGCGTCCCCACCGGCTGTGGCGTGCTGTCGCCACTCGGGGGCAGTAGCCTTTGATCTCGTGCTATGATATCTAACAACTATGATACGATTTCACCGTTAGATGGGAGAAATTCCTACACCGTGTACCTTTTAAGATGAGCATTGCTCTGGTAGATTAGGTTCAAGACATTTAATTTCGAGCCAAACCTAAAACCCAGCCATAGCTCTTGTCATAGGATAGTGTTCCGGTATAAGGCTCCAATAGGTGTGAGATGGTGTATTAGCTTATGGTGTATATACATGGTTCTGTTAGGCGTGTGCCAGCAGTGCTGTTTTAAATCAGTCCGAGCTGTGATGGAGATATCCATTAACCCACCCCCCCCCAGATATGGAGTTCCTTGAGGTCCTAACGGAAGGGCTGGAGCGCGTCCTGTTAGTCCGAGGCGGGGGAAGCGAAGTCATCACCATCTACTCCTGATCGGGGGGCCCCCCTTTTTTAGGGAGCCGGCGTCAAACAAGCAGCCAGTCGTCCAGAGCCAGGAGGAGGGAGACGGCCGGGCCCGGGCGGGGGGGCGTCGGCCCGCCGACAGAGACCGCAGCACGGGGGCGTCGCCTCCGACTACCCTCCCCACACAGCCCCCCTTTTCCCCTCACATTTCCACTCTTATCATCACGACAATGATTTCACATCCACTAAAGTCAAACTGGAATAATGCCAACACAGTAACACCATACGAGCAGCAACTACAGCCAAAAAAAAAAGATCCGCTCTGTGCGCGTGCGTGTGCGTGTCTGTCTTTCTCTGAGTGCCACCCACCTGAAAGATCTGTGAGCTCTTCTGGGGACCAGCATTGCGTGGTGGAGCAGGTGGATTAGTCAATGAGGGGAAGAACATATCCGACCAGACTCAGGGTTGCTGTTTTGTTTTTTGTACAGAATGTATTTGGTGTGAGCTTTCAATGTGAGGCCTGAATGTATACATTGAAAGGAGTTTTCTTTTTTCTATTTTTTTTCTTTTCTGTTTTTGTTTTGTTTTTGTTCCTCGAAGGCCAAGAGGAGCTCTTTTTCAGCACAACATAGAGGCTGTAAAAGTAACACAAAAGCTCCATTTAAAAACTTAGATGGAGTGGATGTTGGTGAGTTTAATGATTTTTTAAAAAGAAGTTTAATGGTGAGGAAGTCGGTTTCACATCCCACTTTTGTCGGGTCAGTATTTCTCTCGCGGGATGTTTACTGGAACCTCGGATCGTGTTTCGCTTGCGTTTAAGTTCAAGTTTAAGCGACTTAAAATTAGTTTTTCTTTGTATTTGGCTGTTATTTGCAGAAGCCCAGTTTCATAATGGAAAGACAAAAACCTTTTTCCATCCAAATTTAGAAAGATATCAAACATTTCATCTGAATTTTATGGGGGTCAGTTTTCTTGTAGTTTTTAAAAGCTCAGAACCAAAATACCGGAGGACATCGTGAAAGATGTTCTTATTTTCTATTGATTGAATTAAGTCAAAATGACAAGAATCAAAACGGACGTGGAGGGAAGAAAAAATAATGCATGGGGAAAAAAATCACACCTATTAATTGTTACTAGACTTGTCAAAAATGATGAGATACTCCGATATTTTTTTCTTATCTTGACATTTTGAATTAGGATTTTATTTTTACTGACCCAATGAAGAGTCTGTGTACCCTGCTCTCTTTCTATTTTTATTTATTTCCAGCGAAAATGAGCTTTTGTACCAACACTTACCAAGAGGCACATATCTTTAATGATTAAAGTCTGCTGGGATATTCTCTGGTGCCAGCTGTGAGCAGGAAATGAGAAAAGCGATGAGGAAGGTGGTTTTTCTCCACATTTTTCTGTCGACGCCAGCCAATTCCTGAAAAACCCAAATAATATTGATGTGTAAAGGGCGATTCCGACTTTTGTCTTTTTGTTTTTACCTTCTGTGTTGTTGCTTTAAGCTGGTTCTATGTTGGATAACCTGTGAATAAAGTAACGTTGGCACGTTAGAGGGTTAGCTCAAAATAGGGCACAACAGCAAACCCGAGGTTGAACCTTCTGGTTGTAGTCGTTAAGGGAAGGGAATAAACCTGGAAGTTATGGTTAGCAGAAAGTTGTTGACAGACTGGGAGCTTTTGGAGTGGAAAACCGCACTGCATGTGTGTGTCAATGTTTGTATGTGGATGTATGAATGTTACTCGTGCATTTTGCATTCCCCCTCAAGAGAGTGTAGTCAGTTGTGTAGTGTGTAGTGTGGGCCTGTGCCCCGAAAATCTGCTTCATTGCACACCTGAAATAAACCTGCTGACATCCTGTGCTTTGTACGTGTGTGTGCGTATGAGTGTTGAGCCGAAGTAAGCATGTCCAGACTTGACGAGTTTGATTCCAATCTTATGCTTTTTTGTTTGTTTGTTTTTTGTTTTTTTTACAGTATTGTGAGGATTGTTTTATGTTTTTACTTTTTACACATTGTTTTTTTTGCTTGTACAGAGGGACAAAAAAAGATCACGTTTTATCTTTTTTTTTTTAATTATATTAATATAAAAGTGAATCATAAAATGTTTTTGCTTGAAAAACAATTAGAATAAAAAAGCAATTTTGATTTAATGTACCTAGATGTGTTACTTTTATAAAAAACAAAACATGTCAGAATATTTTGAATTGATCTGAATTTTCTTTGGACTAGTTGCCTTTTTTACCTAGTAAATATTTTTTTTATATAAATCTTATAATTGAATTTTCCGGGGATACATTATATACATTTAATACAGTGCCAGCAAAAACATTTGCACTCAAAAAGTTTGATATTTTAATAATTTGTAGTCATTTTAATTTTTTATTGTTTGTACTTGTAAAAAAAATTAGCGATTGTTTGCATTTCCATGTGAATGCGCTACTGACAAAATTTGCTACTGCGTACTTTTTAATGCACATATTTCGAACGTATTTAATAATGCTGGCCAAAGCTGCCACGTTAGCTGTCTTATTTTGGTACGCCAGCCGTTTACCGGTGACGTCACTTCCGTGTGTATGTAATCCGGAAGCCGGTGCCATGTTGTGATATTTTAGGATATCAGTTGTGAGCGAATTTCACTCTAGCATAAGTGGGATTAAAAACAAAACGTGAATCAGATTTCGGGGGTGAGCATGGAGGTAAGAGTAGTTGGTATTAGAAACTTTTGACATAATAAAGTAATCACCTTTTGTCAACTACAACACGATATTTGGTTATCACAAAACACAACAATGATGGCCTCGTTGGGAGCGGATGACCTGGTTTTAGTTCATTATCATTTCCCTTTATTTGATAGATCTGTGTACCTTGACCTAATCCACTTTCCCATTTAAAGAGGAACTGTAAACCCTGCACACTGGAGGTCTACGTCAAAACAAATTTTCAAAGTCATTAAACGGTATTATACGGTGATTTCAAATGCGTACAGATGACACCAGGCACTGAAATTGTTTAGAAACGTCCGTTCTCAAATTAGGAGTTAAGGGGTTCATATCGGTTCCCAATTGTTACCCAATTTGCTGAATTACAGCTTGGCTTTAAGGATTACTTTGGACGGAACCAAGGGGAGAACTGGGGGTAAGGCTTTCTCGGTTAAAAGTTTAACTCAGTTGGCCTTTATGGCTTAGTTTTGTATGTTACTTAGTCTGTTTGACGATTTCAAGTTGTGTCTTCTCAAATTATATACCCGGAAATTATAAGTATAGTAGTTAGAAGGTAGCTAAATGAATTCCGACTTCGAACTGTTAGCTGTCGCCCAGCGACAGCCAGCTTCCTGTCGTGGCTTTTACAAATAAAATGAATCTATCGCCAGACGTAGTTTTATTTTGTAGGCGGACCTAGAGTTTTTTTTTTCTTCTTGTGGTAGTATTTATGGGTCTACTTATATAGTTAAACCATAATACATATTCAGAAATAAAGTTAAATTAAGCACTGCTAATTATAAACATTCTCATAGGCGAGCGTGCCTTTCTTTACTAATAGTCATTCAAATTTAAACATGAATGGGTCATTTAAAGTTTAATTCCCATGCTTTAAATACATTACGTGATATGTAAACATGGTATTTCTCCGATATATTACAAAATGTAGTTACCTATTAACTGGTCAGTTCACACACTAAAAAACATTAGACACAACTACACGTGTGTTTTGAATAAGTAGGCGGGTGAAAACCTTCGACTGCTTTATCTGAAGCTTGCAAACTGCCTGAGTTACCAACTGAACAAGGAAACAACTATTTACTAAAGCTCCTGACTCCCCTGGCATGTCTCAATGTTTCAGCTGTAGTTGTTTGCTTCTGTCTCTTGCCATCCCCTCATTTCATCCGGCAGTTATTGCTATATATATAAGATGGAGGTTTAACTGCAAGAGCTTGCCAGGGCTGATGGGGTGGAAGTGTATGCTTTTTACAATAGGGACACCGGGAGACCACACATTAAAAAAAGAGAAAGATAGTAGAAATTTGTACACTTTGTGTTTTTAAGGTATTTCAAAACAGCTTGTTTTGATTTTTTTTAAATCTGTTTGCAATGTTTTCTTACTTTGCCTACATCTGTTGTTGGTTACCAACTGTCGAGATGACAATTGTGATGAGGTAATGAGTGAATTGCTAAAGTTAGTCGGTAGTTAGTCAACTCGCTTCTTGTGTATCCAGTTGTGGTAAACAGCCAATTGGTGAGCTCTACGGACAGCTACTCTGGTCAGTTTTAAAGTTCATGCGGCTGAAAATAGATGGCAAAGAAATCCAACCAATGCAAATGGCCACAAATACCAAAAATACAAGACACAGATGTTCACTGATACCCAATCAACAGCAGTGTGTTGTTTTTCTTACTAATGATATTTTATTCTCTGTGATCAGTATCAAAGAGGAAACCAGGACAGTTGTTGCATATGACAACCGCTTTTGTTCAGATTGGAAACTATGGTATTGGTCTTGATTTAGGATGGGCTCTGAGCATCATCATCATCATCAATCTTTATTCCAGACACAAAAGCGGTCCATATTAAACACAAATAATAAAGAAAAAGAAAAACAGACAAACAGAGAATAATATGACAGTCACTGAGTCACATATAAATGATGACGCCAATGTTTCCACAATCTTGAGAAAAATCTCACTGTACTAAAAACAGGGTTCACTAAAATTACTATTATATTATTGTATGACACAGATAATCTACACATACATTTATACATGAGATTCCTGAGTGCAGCTGCACATGTGGGAACAGCGGTATGTACAAACATGTGGCTAGCACTGCTCCATCTAGGCACTTTAAGTAGGAGCCTCAGGCCATCATTGTATGCCACATAAAGTTTGTGCAGGCTACTTTGTTTATATCTTCGCCATAGATGGGCTGTGTAAAATGAAGTACAAAAAGCTTTAAAAAGAGCTACCTTCACAGAGGATGAACACATACCAAACTTTCTGATCAAGATATTAGCCTGAGCATATATCATGCAATACTGCCTACAAATGTCACGATCATCAAATAGGTCATCAGTTATGTAATGTCCCAGATATTTAATTTCATTGCGTATATTGAGGACAATGCCAGATAAAGAGAAGTCAGGGGTTATCAGATGCTTATCTGCTTTACTTCTAACAATCATGACATTGCTTTTCTTAGCGTTGTATTTGACATCAAAATCACATCCATATTGGGAACAGACCCTTAGTAATTGTTGAAGGCCAGCACTATATGGGCATAAGACTACCAAATCATCCGCATACATTATGTGATTGATTATGCGGTCACCAACTACACAGCCTGTTTTACAACAATTCAGGCGCCTTGATAGTTCATCCATGTAAATGTTAAAAAGGTAAGGGGACAATATACTTCCCTGCCTTACTCCATTACCAACATTAAACGCGTCAGACAATAAGTTACCCCATTTGACATACATTAGTTGATGGCTATACCAATAGACCATTATTCTAATTAGATATTTGGGTACACCTCTGTTTTCTAGCTTGCAAAACAATTTTTGATGATTCACGCGATCAAATGCTTTAGAAGCATCAATAAAACACATAAATACTGTAGTGTTGTGCAAATTATACAGATCTAAAATCTCCTGTAGCGCAAAAATACACATGTCTGTACCATGTTTGGGTTTAAAACCGAATTGATTTTCAGAGGTCAAAAGGAACTCTTCCAGCCTATTTAAAAGGACTCTTTCAAAAACTTTCGATAAACTACTGGCTAAAGCTATAGGTCGATAATTCTCCAAGGAGCTAATCTTACCCGCTTTGTCTTTAATGGTAGGTACCAGAATGACAGATAGCATTGATTTAGGTAACAGACCATGTACTAGACAGCCAGTGAGACACATAGAAAGTAATGCACAGAGTTTTTTACTTGCATTTTTCAAATGCTCAACGGAAATGTTATCCATCCCACAGGCCTTATTGTCTTTCAGTGTCATAATTGTATGATATATTTCTTGTGGGGATACAGTCACATTCTCATTACTGTGAATGCTTCCTATGTCAGACATATCGCTTTTGACACAATTAAATAGCGCACTGTAGTGCTCTTTCCATAACTGAGTGATTTCTTTTACACCAGTAATACCATCAATGGTAGATGGAAGTGACGTTTTACAGTTGTTTACTTTCTTTATTTCTTTCCAAAAGTCCTTAACATTATTATTTCCTAACTTTCTAGCGAGAGAGTCAGACCTCATAGCATTTTCATGTCTCCTTATGATTCTTAAAGAATATTTAAAATTAGCATTTGCTTGTTTTTTGTATTCAAACAAGGGACCATGCCTCTGTTTACCTGCGTCAGCCCATGCTTTAAGAGCCCTTCTGGCCTCTGCATGATGTTCTTTTACATAGTCGTTCCAACCTGGCTTGGTGCTATGCGAGATGGTTTTATGCAGTGGCATTTTGCTTAACTTTCCTTAACCCCCGTGTCCAGGTTGACGTCCATAGGGAAGCCCAGTGATGTATGCCTTGAAACAACTATGCAGCCAATGCTATTCTAAATACGAATTTTGAATTAGGATCCCCCCCCATAAAACTAACATTTCTCGTGTTATTGTGAAAGTACCATCCTCCCACTTCCGGCCCAGTGTATGTCGAGCATGACAACTGTCGCGTGTCCCATCCACGATCCGTTAATCGGGATTCCATTGAGCGTCCTGGCTCGCGGCTAGACGGGGCAGGAACGGCGATTCGTTCCGTTTTCCTTGGGCTGTCAAGAAACCTTGAACGCGACAACGGTCGTCTCCTCGCGCGCCGCGACGGTCACCAGCCGCCCCGCGCGCCCCCCTCAAACGCCCCGCGCGGCCGTCCGAATGTTGCGTTCGCGGACCGGCAGACGAACGGGCGCCAGGCTGGCGGCGTAGCGAGTACCGCAGCTTTGCGTCAGAGCCAGCTAAAAGCTAAGCCCCCCCTCGGAGGGACAAAGTCGGCAAAGAAACGCGGTTAATGGCCATGTTGCCACGCCGGCTAGCCACACGGCGGACGGGATAATTTCGGCACGGCCCGCTGGTCAGCACATGCTCGCTTCGGCCGCCACCCCCCCTCCTCCTCCTCCCCCGAACCGGGCCAGCTCCAACCGGGGCTTGACAGCTTTCGAATAAGAAATACCGCTAACCTTGTTGCGGTGTCCGGGGCTGCTTTCTACCAGCTATGAGAAACGCCTTTAACGTCACCTCAATATTTTCAGGGAGCACATTTCGGCTAATCGCATGACTGTAACTGAGCTTCACAGCGTTCACGTGAGGCCCGGTTAAAAAAAAAAGATGGACCTGAATTTTTATTCGGATTTGACCGACGGTACCGGGCAGCACGACGGGGACCCAGAGTTCCTGGACCCGCAGTCCTTCAATGGATTTGACTCTGACAACAAGGTGACTATCGGCCGATGACGGGGATTATAGCCGGTGGGCTTGAAACCTGTACTAGCATTTCATGCTAATTAAAAAAACACACTATTCGTCTTTTTTGTTTGTTTTTACAATGCATAATTTTCGCCCAACGTGCTGGGAAACCCGTTTTTGAGTCATGGCTCAACTTCTTTAAGTGTCTGGGAGCAGCCCCCCCCCCTCGTCATGACACAGAACGGGTCTGACCCTGTGCTGGCATGCAAATATCTGGAGTAGAACCCTCCTTTTTTAAAGCGAAATATGTTTAGAAATGTATATCTAACACATGAGAATGGGGGGGGAAAAAAAGGCTTCCCAAACTGACCCAAACATTGGAATCATTTTTAGGAATTGCTCCGATGACAGTCGTCTTTTTTGTATTGTGACAAAGAGGATGAATTTGTTTCAGGGAAGCCTGTGCCTAAAAAAACACAAACACCTCAGAGGAAGCCACTCCGTCCCTTCTAACTTGTGCACCTGTATGTTTCAGTTCCCCGGAGGCAGTGACAACTACTTGACCATTTCTGGGTCCAGCCATCCCTTCCTCTCTTCCTCCGAGGTAGGGCTAACCTTGTGTAATGGCTCCGCTCGTCATTCTAAGACCCATCTCACACCGGATGCTCCACCTCAGCCTAGAATTGGACGTCACTTTCCTAAAAGTTGGATGTTAGAAGTCAGCTGTATTTCGTAAGATTACACGAAGGCCAAAATTGTTATCGGGATTCTGGAATTTGGGCGCCTGTTCGTATTACTTGCTAGTTGGTATTATGTTAATGAGCCTTAAAGCCAAGCAACTGAGGGTCCCAACGTATCTTTTAATGTAACCAACAGCCAGTTTAGTGGATAGTTACGCCCGACTTGGTCAATGTAAAACCCCAAAGTTATCAGGATGGGATAAATACTCAAAAGGGCCACACGGGAGGTTTGGGTTGGTGTCTTTGTTTAGAAACCTTGGAGTTGTTAATGATTTAGTTGTGGTGACTTATGCTGGACATCTCACCTGCCTTGGTTGGTCATCGTCTCTATGAAATGCGCCGCGCAACGACCGCTCAGTCCTCGCGATTTAACAGTATTCATCTCATAAAACATCTAGATCTAAAATTTTTTTTCGAAATGTTAGAATCGGCCTCGTCGAAGATCTCCATGTGCTTCATTCTTGGGTTCATCATGGGAGCGTCATCGTGGGGAGGGGAGCCGTTTTGCGAACTCGTTTTTCTTTGTTTTCAGGCGAATGCTCTTAGAGATAGGGTGAGGGGCTCCGTCATCGGGGGGGGTAGAGCTCCTCCGCATCCAAATTGGTCAGCTGAGGGCGGTCAGGAGCCCTCTTGGTCCAGGCTCCGTAGAGGTTTTCCGTGCACCTCCTACTGGGAGGCGACCCCGGGGGTAGACCCATGACTAGATGGAGGGATTACATATCCCGTGTGGCTTAGGAACCCCTTGGAATCCCCCGGAAGCTCGGTGGTGTCTCTGGGGATGTCGGAATTTCCCTCCTGAACCTGTTCGCTTCGTGACCCACCTTTGGATAAGCGGACAAAAGTGGAAGGGGGAATGCACTTAGATTGCCAGGAAGCTTGGTTTGGATTTACTGTGGAGGGTATTTTATGGCCTCTATAAGAAAACATTCGCCATGTATTACTTCCTACCTGCATATCCCAAATTAAAATGATGAATCAAGCTATCCCATCGTGGAGGCGGGTTGCCTTGTTTGAGGAAGTCTTACCACGAACATGTGAGGGGAGATCCTGTTCTTTTCAGTTATTGTGGTGAGGGAGTCACATGATCTGGCCGGGACTCCCCCGTGTGCATCGTGGCAACAACAAACGCCGCAATTTCGTTATTTCTGCGATCGCCAAAGCCGTGAATGCCTAAAGCCGAATGTCGGAAATTAATCTTTTTGCCGCCACTGACCTTTCCGCCCTGGCTGGACCCGATGAAGTACGGGCTCTTTCTGAACGCATTTCACACGCTTCCCACTCGAAAGTTGGACACCTGCTATTGAGTGAGTCATCAATCCATCCATGTTTACCAAGCGGCGAGTCTGAGTCATCAAAACTGTTAGACTGGTCACAGGAGCAGGGGGGGGGGGGCCCGGGTGGGGTTTCAGGGAGTGATGTTTTTTGGGCTCTTTTGGCTGTGACAGCATTATGTTTTCACCGTGTTATAAAAGCTGAGTGTGTAAAATGAAAGGGGATCTGTGGCGAGTAGTAGTTGACATATCGGCTGTCTCGCAGCGACTTTAAGGCCTTCCCCGTATTTATGAAGTGCGTAAACGTGGCGTTTTGTTGTGATTTGGCGCTACGTAGATGGAATTGAAATGACCTCTTTCCCATTTCTCTGTCCTCGTGTCGTTTTGGCTCCGCCTCCTCTGCAGACGTTCCACACTCCCAGCCTGGGCGATGAGGAATTCGAGATCCCCCCCATCTCCCTGGACCCGGACTCGGCCCTGTCCGTGTCCGACGTGGTGTCCCACTTCGGCGAGCTGTCGGACGGCGGCCCCGCCGACAGCGTGGTGGTGCCGGGGAACGCGGTGGTGGAGGGGGACGACCCGTCCTTCGCCTCCACCTACGTCAGCGCCCCCTCGCAGGGGCTGGAGCACCTGAGCCTGGGCGTCATGAACCAGTCGGGGGGGAGCGCCCTGCTGGGGTCCTCGCTGGGAATGGTGGGGAGCCCGCCCGCGTCTCGAGGGTCTCGGGTGATCTCCAGGTTACCGGAACGTCATTTCACTCCTTCCTGTCCCCCCCCCATCCCCCCACCACAGGACCTGGGTCACCCCATGGGCTCTCAGTTCAGCAGCTCGTCCCCCGTTACCATCGACGTCCCCCTGGGGGACATGGGCCCGGGATTGCTGGGGTCCAGCCAGCTGACCACCATCGACCAGTCGGAGCTCAGCTCCCAGCTGGGGCTGGGCCTGGGGGACGGGAACATCCTGCAGCGGCCCCAGTCGCCCGACAACCCCCTGTCGGCCACCGCGTCGCCCACCAGCTCGCTCCAGGACGACGACATGGACGACTTCCGAAGGGTGAGCCTTTTTTCCGTCCCAAACGCCCCCTCAGCAGGAGGGGGGCCGGTTTCGGCTCCCAGCGCTCGTTGACCGAACCCGCGAATTCTCCTCCCGATCAGAAGGTCCTCATGGAGTCTCCCATCTCTCTGGCCGTCTCCCCCGGAGTCATCTCTCTGGACCCGTCGCTGTCCGAGCCCACGTTCTCCGCCCCGAGCTCCAGCGCGCCCTCGGCCCCCGGACGGAAAGGAGGGGCGGCGGGAGGGAAGAAGGGGAGGAAGAAGAAGGACCCCAACGAGCCTCAGAAGCCCGTGTCGGCCTACGCCCTGTTCTTCAGGGACACGCAGGCGGCCATCAAGGGACAAAACCCCAACGCCACGTTTGGAGAAGTGTCTAAGATAGTGGCCTCCATGTGGGACAGCCTGGGGGAGGAGCAGAAACAAGTAAGAAGGGCTCACGGGAAAATGAGATCTGCACACACACTTTCATGGCAGCGACTAATATCCCTCCTGTTTGTTTTCCCAGGTTTACAAAAGGAAAAACGAAGCGGCAAAGAAGGAATACTTGAAAGCGCTGGAAGAGTACAGGGAAAGCCAGAGTTCTCAGGTGAGTAATGCGCGATCATCTGAATTTTCTCCTCACGTTTGCTTTCAGGAGGTGGGAATACTCTTTTGGGATTCATCAAACTGGAATTAGACGATATTGCCATTTTTAAAAAATTCTTGCTTTATGTGTTGACTTTAGGCAGAATTAGAGGTCCTGCTCTCACCGGGGTTGTTGGCAAGCATCTCAAAAGCTTACTGTTCAATGACAAAGCTGTTGTGAATTCCTGACGTCTTATTCCTCAATCGCTGACATCGTTAATAAGAATTACGATCGGAAAAAGAAATGAAGGTGTGGGCATTATGCCTCCTGGTCCAGAAGACGTGGTCGAGTCTGTAATTCCTATGATTCGTCCCACAGCCCAAAATCCTATGAAAACGCCTTCATTAATACTGCAGATAGTTACACAGAGCAATTAAACAAATGCATTGAATAAGAGAGATGTAAAAATAAATACATTTTAAAGAAATAATTAATAAAAAGCGTTTTTTTTTGGCACTTATTGGCGAACGGAGGTGTAAGCTAGGAGATACAGTACTAACGTAACTTACTCTAACTTTCACTACGTCAACTTTAAACTAACTTAGCTTATTTGTTTTTATTTCATTTTTATATAATATATATTATATATCATTATATATAATTTTTTTCTATGACTTGGAAATTTACTTCGGGTGTCGAGTTGAATATTTCATCAAATTCCGCTCGGGATGTTGGAAAATGTGTATTTTAGGCAATCGTAAGTAGAGGTTCTACTGTACATCCATTTGAGTGTTTTGTTATCAGGATGTAATCCTTTTTTTCTTGAATTATTGGGGAGGGGCGCGCTGCACACCAACGCTGTGGTGGCTCTAACTGAGAAAAGGAATAGTCTTTTCACACCCGTTCTCCTTCTTTTGCCCCCCCCCCCCTCAGGCCCCCATTGAAGTCATGGACACGGAACCGTCGCCCCCGCCTCCCCCCCCGGCCCCGGCGCCCGCCCCGGCTCCCGTGGCCGCGGCCCCCCCCGCCGCGGCGCCCACGGCGCGCGTCACCCGCTCGCAGCACTACAACCCCGAGGAGAACACCATCACCAACATCTGCGCGTCCAACATCATCCTGGACCTGCCCCAGGTCACCACCCGCTCCCGCACCGGCGCCATCAAGCCCCAGCCGCCGCCCGCCAGTGCCCCCCCGAACCCGCCCACCGTCACCAAGATCATCATCAAGCAGACGCCGCTGCCCTCCGGCGGCGTGTCGGTCACCGCCACCACCGCCGCCGCCTCCTCGCCGCGGCAACCGCCGCCGCTGCAGCAGATGCAGAGCACGCCGCCGCCGCCCCGGCTCCAGCAGATGGTCCACGCCCAGGCGCCGCCGCCGCTGCAGGCCAAGCCGCGGGGCGGGGGCGGGGCCGCCGCCACGGCGCCGCCCCCGCTGCAGATCAAGATCGTCCCGCTGCCGCGGCAACTGGACCCCAGCGCCGCCGCCGCCGTGGTGGTGACGGCGGCGGGCGGGACGCCCCCCTCGGCCAGCCTGACCGTGCAGGTGGGGCGGGCGGGGGGGGTGCTGACGGCCGGGGAGGAGGCGGCCGAGGCAGAGGAGGGGGTGAGTGCAAGTTCTTTTGGGGTTGTTTGCGGTTGTCAGAGGTATCGATACTCCGAAAAGAAAAGTTTTGAAACTAAAACATTGTATCCGGATACGAAACTTATTTTCAAAAGTATCGATACCCCCCCAGAACCCCCCCCGTGCGCGACGCTGCGCCGCTTCTCTCTGATTTATTTATTTACGTTGTTTATGATAATTGACTTGACGTTAGCCTTGAATTGCTAGCTGCGACTTATGGCTAATAATAACACGCCAACATTAAAGCGATAACATTACGATAACATCAGTAATAGCTAAGTTTGAAATGAAAGAAACTAACCTGTGGAAATTCTGTTACATTTCGGGGTCTTTGTTTTCATCCTTGAGGTATCGAAAGTGGTATAGAGCATCAATTATATTCCTGAGCATCGGTACGGAGTCGAAAACGTTAGTATCGCGACAACCCTAGGTTGGTTGTCGTCGGTTTTCTTTCTCAGTCTGTCCAAATATCTCCCGCAAATTTGGAACCCGTCCTTTTGCCTCCTCCTCCTCCGTCAGATGAAGGTGGAGCTGAACGTGGCGCCCGGTCCCAGCGTGACGACGCCCACGGCCAGCCCGAACATCTGCGTGCGCGCGGGCTGCACGAACCCGGCCGTGGAGAGCAAAGACTGGGACAAGGAGTACTGTAGCAACGAGTGCGTGGCCACACACTGCAGGTGCGTGCGCAGAGCAGCAGAACAGCTCAATCAGAATCAGAATCGATACTTAGTCGATACTTAGTCGAATGAGTCTCCGTTAACCTCCCCTTTCCTTTCACCTTTCCCCACCCGCAGAGACGTTTTTATGGCCTGGTGCGCCATCCGGGGACAGAACTCCACCACGGTCACATAGGGAGAGAAGACGCGCCCGACGGAGGAGCGCCGCAAAGGAGACGAAAACATAAAAGGACAAAAGGCGACACGGGAAATGCAAACAAATAGGAACGACTCAAGTAATAAGACTCAGGTTTTGGGCTGATCACGGTTCATTTTTTTATCGCGCTGGCGTCATCTCGGGGACGGGAACGAAGGCCGCGGGTTCACCGGAACGTATTTGAGCGTGGCGGCGGCGGCGGCGGGCAATTGCAGATCCCGCCGCCAAAAGAAGGCTCCACACACGGAGAGGCCGAAGGCTCTGCTGCTCCAAATGTTTCCTATCGATCATGTTGCGAATTTAAAACCATGGACTTGATATATAAAAAAAAAGAAGACAAAAACAAAAAAAGGAACCTTTTTTTAATGTGTTTTTTTTTTGTGTTTTTAATTCATTGGAGAGGGAAAGAAAAAAAGGCGGGAAGATTCTCGTCCAATAATTTAATTCTAATCACTTCAGATATGCTACTCGGTACATGTGTGTGCTTCCCGTTATTGAAGCCTGAAGTCAAAATGAATCAAGTATTAAGTTTGTCTTCATTTGATCTTCGGTTCTGGTGTTGCTGTGCTGGTGCCGATTGGCCGGCCGGCCGCAGTGGAACAACACGGAGACCAATGACTGCGCAGAGCACAAACACTCTTAAAGTTTCACTTAAGGCGTCAGAGAGGGTCAAATAACAAGTGGTAATAAAGCTACCACCAAATGAAATCAGTTTATCAGCCTAAAAAAAGTCCCAATGTGTGTGGGGGTGGTGGTAAATTCCTTCATTCAAAGGTTATTACTCTGAACATCTAAAACAGGTGCTAATATCCTCTGTCCTTGTTTTTTTTTTTTTTTTCCTGTTTCCATTAAACCTTTTTTTTAAGTATGTGGTGGATATTTTGCTTCATGGGGGAGGAAGTTGTGATTTAAACACCGACGACGACGCCACTGAACCGCAAAGGGAAACGGGATCCGGTGAAAGGCAAACATTCTTTTAACATCTTTTCAGCCAACCGGCACGTGTTAAGAGCCCACTTGTCATGGAAGGGGGCGTCTTAATGTTCCCGGTCAGATAAACTGATGTGGTTTTTGATCCCGTTCATTGTGGCTATCCTGGTTATCTTTTAAAAGTGTGGGATAAAAATATTTTATGTTATAATACCCATTATGGAAATTGTATCACAGCTGGAGAGATGCTATTTTGATAGGTTTTCTCTCTCTTAAAGAATAGAAATGTTTTCCAGCTTGAGGATTTGACATATTGTTGCATTATTTAAGATGAACTCATCTGTTGCTTGTGGTAAATGCAGCTGATTACAGTTCACTGAGAGAGGTTATTGGTTTGGAATCCATCACTCTAGAAGGATTATAAACAAGTGGAAACTTGAAGTTCAGCCTAAGGTCAATGGGTACTGGGCAAAGTTTTTCAGGAACCTGAAGTCATCCATGAAGGTTGTGTTGCTGTGGGCCCTTAAAAGAGCAGCGAATCCACACAGAACCCACCAATCTTTGTGATCTGAATCAACACTTTAAAGCTCAGCAGACCAGAATTCCATCAGTGCAACATCACAGACCAATAATGTTGTTCCACATTGTACTAAATCATTAATGATTTTTTTTTTTTTTTTTACAAAAAGCTTCTACTTTACTTATTAGCTATTAGCATGCCATGGGGTACTTTTAATCCCAGATAACAGATTTGATTACATTATCCAATTAATCAAAATATTAATGCAAAAGACTAATACTCTGTATGCATTTGAGAATTATTATGACTGGAGGGGTTTGTTAATAAAATTAGTGTAAACAAAATCAAAAAGCTCAATTAACATTAATTGCAGGTGATTGAACCCTTACATTTTTTAAGATTAACGGTTTGTATATCTAAATGTGTTTATTTGGGATATAACATTTTAGCAAACCGTTCACAAACGTTTCCGCCATCGTTCCGAATGATTTCACGTGTTTTTGTGTTTTTTTAAATAAAGACGTGTTACTAAATTGTATCGCGAGAATGACGCCGTTCGAAGCGTTTAATTGACGCTGGCGGGAAAAGCGAACGTGGCGGGAAAATGCAGCGTGGTCAACACAAGACAGGGGGCGTTGTTGTACAGAAGCTACAAATCACCTCCAAATGCGCCACAAAACACGTTACAAAAATGCCACAAAAAATAGATTTTTCTCGGTTTTAAGAGTTGTAGTCTCTTTCTTGTGACGCCATTGATAAAAGTATTTCGCAAGAGGCCGGCGTCGGAAGGCTTTAGAGTTAAAGGAATTTTTATTCCCGAATATGATATGTAAAGACACGAAGGGGGGAGGGAGGGGGAAACAAGCACAGGAGGAGCTGGGGAGGGGGGACTTAATTACAACAGATTGGTGCATGTGTGGCGACGGCACGGCCGAACGTTATTTCACGTTTTAACCATTTTTGAGCCCCGTTAATGTTCCGTGTGGGTTGTCGCGCGATTTGGTTTTACATGACTTCTCAGGCGAATTAATCATCGGCGGCGAAAATAACGAGGCAGTCGGGCGGCAGCATCTCGCGGCGGTGTTTGGATCCCGGCAGGCGTGGAAGGAAAGTGCGTTGTTGTTAGTTGACACTCATCACCATCATTATCCGGCCTGCTGAGAGGCGAAGCCGGGAGCTGGAGTTTGCGACGGAGCTCTCACCATGGCGGTAAACCTGGACAAGGACGCGTACTACCGCCGCATTAAGAGGTTTTACAGCAACTGGAAGGTATTTCCCTCCTCGTCGCGAGACGTGTGTCCGGGGTCCGCGTGTCCGTTTTGGAGTTATTTTATGGAAGAGAAAGTGCGCCGCCGGAGCCGCTAAGTTAGCCGCGTTTTCCCCCCTCTGAGAGAGTTGTGTTGCCGCTGTGAGCGGTGATGTCCACCAGCATGCCACGGTCTACCCCTTTCGATTTAATGTGCACATTAACTCATTTCACACCTGGATTGGAAGATCCCCTCCCCTCCTTTTTAAGTATCTTCACCAGGTAGGCTAGCTACCTCATGTTAGCTCAGCAGTCATCCCATTCACCACGTTAGCTAGCCGCCTAGCTTTTTAACTTTACCCCCGAGCTAACCCCCTAGCCAAACGTCCAAAGCTTTAATTACCGCTCCCCGTTTAATTCAACTAAAGAATGCTTCTGAAACTATCTCTGGGATGCCGTCGTCCCGGTGGGTTAGCGTGGCCGTAAGCTAAATGGTCGCACTTAAAACCATTTTGCCTCTCAAATGCTCGCTACATGATAGCGGTTAGCTGCTTCGCTAGCGTCAGAATAACACCAGCATCCCTGTGCGGCAGTTTTTACAACTACACTTTACGAATGATGTGTTTAATTTTTTAAGTCAAGCGGGCGTTTATGTAACCGGCTTTCGCCTTATTTAGGTTGTGGGGCTGTTTTCTGAAGTTTCAGAGCGTGTTGCTAGCTTAAGTTTTCATCTCGCTTCATCGTTTACAACGTGAAATTTCCTCTGTCTTAGCTTTTAAGCTAGCTGTACGCGTGTGTCTCCATGCATTGTGCTTTAGAGCCCTCTATGGCACCTGGCATGCCAGGGTATAGTGCCAGGCGATGGAGCATCAGGTGCAGGTTATCTGGGAGCTTCTGTGCTGATAAAAATAGCTCTTCTTGGAGTACTACGAAACGGGAGGCAGGGGTAGCCTCGTTCTTTTGAACCCCGAGCTCCGCCGCCTCTGTGTCACTTTTTCTTTTCTTTTTTTTTTTTAACCATGCAACGTGTATGTCTCTGTGCGATTCCCAGAAAGGAGAGGATGAGTTCGGGAAAGTCGATGCCATCGTGGTGTCGGTGGGAGTGGATGAAGAAATTGTGTACGCCAAATCCACAGCCATTCAGGTGAGTCCCAGGCTCCAGCATCACTGGATTTACTCTCAATGACGTCATCTTTGAGTTATAGTTACATTGAACACCCCAGGCAGAGTTTACTAGGACTTCTTTGTCTTGAAGTTTAAGTTTTGGATCTCTCCCCCTTTTTTTTTTATAGACCTGGCTCTTCGGCTACGAGCTGACGGACACCATCATGGTGTTCTGCGAAACCAAGATCATCTTCCTCGCCAGCAAAAAGAAGGTGGACTTTCTTAAGCAGGTGGCGGTGACCAAGGGCAACGAGAACGCCAACGGCGTGCCGCCCATCACCCTGCTCACCAGAGAAAAGGTAACCCGGGCTTATAAGGGCGTGCTTTTTTTATGGTCGTGAGCGGGTTTGTCCAAATGGGGAATTTCAGTTTGAAGAAATGGCGCTTAAAAGATTTGTTACTGTTTTTTGGAGGCACGGGGCTGCGACGTATCAGTCGAGCAGGCACGCTTCCTCCTCATAGACGGGATGATTGGAATAGAAATGTATGTCTAGATATAAATCGTGCACATATAACAACATGGTTGGGAAGATTTCCTCAGGAAGTATGGTTGAGGTTTAGGTATTTATGAAAGCCGTCTCCGTCAAGGATGGGAAAGGCAGAAAGTTTACTGCGATCCGTGGTCTGTAATTTATTTTGTTCTATAGTTTTGGTCATCGCGAACAGATTTTACCCACTTATATCGGCTGTTTGGCTGTTTTGATTACAGTGGTTTTTATTGCGTCTTTTGACACAGTGGCAGAATTTATGTTGGCTTTTTCTCTAAACTACCCTCTCGCGAAACAAAGTGTCTACTGAGCTTGTTGCAAACCATGTTTGAACAGGTCAGACGCAAATCTGTTAAGCTAGCGCATGACGCCTTGACATCTTCAGATAGGGCCAATCTTCAAGAGGCACACTGTCACTTGCTGGATAATGAAACGGCACCGAGACAAACGGGGCAGAACACGACCACGGAGAACACGAACAGATGCGGGACGTGCACTGGGGCGTGGATGTAGCCCTCGGTCATCCAGGGCTGCAGAGTCTGCTGCCCCTCCATCCCCGTTTGGTTTATTAACAATGTTGATCGCTGCACAGCAGAGCTGGTATTTCTTATCTCTAACAACCAAATATTTGGAATGACATTTTTCAATTGTCATTTGTCTGGAATTGCATCTGTAAAACGCGATAGAATTGAGCCAGTCGGAACTTGAGTATGATTTTTTTTTTTTTTTTAATTGTATTTTTTAAAATTGTACTATTTTTGCACAAAAAGTAATCGATTCCCAAAAAGGTGCGATTCTAGTGTGGAAGGAAAAGGGGGTTCTTGTGTTGGTTTCCTTTTGCTCAGACACTTTCCACTTTCATAAACAGCAGCTTCATTAAAGCTGAGCTCTAACAACCGTCTCTTAAAGGACAGTTATTGGGTTCATGCAAAGCCCGTTTATCTTTTTTCTTCTTTTTTTTTTTAATCTTTGTCCCATTTAAAACCAAACAACAACTTTGTTTCAGAATGAAAGCAACAAGGCCAACTTCGACAAGATGATCGAGGCCATCAAGGCCAGCAAAGAGGGCAAGACGGTGGGCGTGTTCAGCAAGGACAAATTCCCCGGGGAGTACATGAAGAGCTGGAACGACACCATCTCCGCCGAGAGCCTGGCCAAGGTAAGGCGCCGTCCGCCCTCAGCCGCGCTCTCAGTCCCCCCCCCGAGCCCAACCGAACGCCATTTCCCCCCCCCTTTCTCCCACGCAGGTGGACATCAGCGCCGTGGTGGCCTACACCATGGCGGTGAAGGAGGACGGCGAGCTCAGCCTGATGAAGAAGGCGGCCACCATCACCAGCGAGGTGTACTCCAAGTTTTTCAAAGAGCGGGTGATGGAGATCGTGGACGCGGACGAGGTGAGGCCGGCGGGCCGGGGCCCCCCGCGGTCATCCACGCCATCCCGGTCGCACCCCGTTAACCTGCGTCAAATCCCCCCCCCCCCCCAACAGAAAGTGCGGCACAGCAAGCTGGCCGAGTCGGTGGAGAAAGCCATCGAGGAGAAGAAGTACCTGGGCGGCGCCGACCCGTCCACGGTGGAGATGTGCTACCCCCCCATCATCCAGAGCGGAGGGAACTACAGCCTGAAGTTCAGCGTGGTCAGGTAGCTCATATCAACCCCCCTCTTTCTTTTTTGACGGATAAGACTGGCATCAGAGCCGGCCTTTTTAAAAAAAACTTTTTCTCAACCGAAACACTTAACTCATTGACTGCCAGCCATTTTCAGAACAGAGAGTCGCTCACTGCCAGAGTTTTTTGAGTGATTTTTCAAGAGCCACAGAATAGTTTGTGCTATGACTATGTAGACACCGAACACACCAAAAGAAAGGGTAGACTCTCTTCTTTCATCAGGAAAATTTTTTTCATTTCTACCTTATTCCGTTCTTCTTCGACGTGCGTCTCACCGGCGCCATTTCTCTCATAGCGAACCATTGCGTTTGTTTTTATTTGCTTACAATCTACGCTCATCTCCCATCAAAAGTGGCACTGCCCCCTAGAGGGTAAATTTGTTACTACACACTCTGTCTAGAAGCCTGATATTTACGGAAAAACTTTAGCCGATCGTTTCCCAAGCCACTCGCATTGAAAAACATAAAAGACGTCCATAGACGTCTTTGGCAGCGAATGAGTTAATTTAGTTGACCCCGAGGAGGAGGGTTGGGGGGATTTGTGGGGCTGCAGTGAGCAGTCGGTGCCACTAGGTGTCACTACACACAGAGAGGGGGCTGGTTTACTGCCGCTCACAGCGTGGCTCCTGATGCAGAGTCGTCGACCCTGCTTTTTGTCAAACCAGTCCCGTCAGACCCACAATTGAGCTAGCCCCCCCCCCCCCGCTCTGTTGCAGCGATAAGAACCACATGCACTTCGGCGCCATCACGTGCGCCATGGGCATCCGCTACAAGTCGTACTGCTCCAACCTGGTGCGCACCCTCATGGTGGACCCCTCGCAGGAGATGCAGGACAACTACAACTTCCTGCTGCAGGTGGAGGAGGAGCTGCTCAAGGAGCTCAAGCACGGTGGGTTCAGTCTAGTTTGTTTTTCCCCTTTTTAAATGGGGTGTTAAACCCTTTAGAGTTTCAGTACCCCTTTCCAGACATAACCGGGGCTCGTCCTCAGGCCCCCCCTTTCTGTTCCCCACACCGTTTGAAAGCTGAAGTTCAGAGTTTGAAACCGTGTGTGACATTTGGTGGTGCGATCGTTACTATAGAGACAGTCAACACTTGTGTCGAAGCAGTCACGCAGACAAAAAGAGCATACAGACACAAATATACTCCAGAAAAACGGCTAATTTAAAAGTATCACATCCGTAAAGACACAAATTCTCTGCTTCAGGAAAAAAAGAAAGCTTCAGAAAAGTCCACATAAGTTGACATGAGGTCAGTTATTGTGCTTATAGTGTGCTTTTTAAAGGTTTTTTTTTTAAGTTTTGTGTGATGAATTTTATCTGGACACCATGCATGGTTGTAAATTCAAGGGAGAAGGTTTAGGAAAAAACAAGCAAAACTAGGTCCCACGAAGGGTCAAAGAATAAAGTCTTAAAAACTCTCTCTCTCTCATTTGGACTTGGACGACATGACCCGACACAAAAGGCTAACGTTCCCTCTCCTCGACAGGTGTAAAGATCAGCGACGCCTACAACACGGTTCTGGATTACGTGAAGAAAGAGAAGCCTGAGCTGGTGGCCAGGCTGACGAAAAACCTGGGGTAAGCGGTCAGAGCGGCGCCGCCGGACCCCGCCGCGCCCCCGGGACGCGCTCTGACCCTCTGACCCCCGTCTCGTTTGCAGCTTCGCCATGGGGATCGAGTTCAGAGAGGGATCCCTGGTTCTGAATGCCAAAAACCAGTACAAACTGAAAAAAGGTGAGCTCACGCCACATTGTTTTTAAAGAGTTTATTAAAATGAAAGCACACATGAAACTCTTAAAAACAGCCTGATCAATCTGGTTATTTACCCGGTAACAACTGTTTGTTTTTGCCTCCATCAGGTATGGTTCTAAGTATCAGTTTGGGGTTTTCGGACCTCATAAATAAGGATGGCAAGAAGGATGAGCAGAAGTACGCCTTGTTTATCGGTGACTCGATTCAGATCAATGAGGTAAGCGGCCTGTTGGTAGATAGATGGTGGACTCGAAAGCATTTACATCATAAAAGAGTTACCGTTTAATGTTCTATGTTTTTTTTTTTTAATTGACTTTTAGCTTCTTGGGGCAAATGAAGCAGATGCCCAGTTAGGTTTATAAAATGGTCCGATGCTTTATTCGGGACCGCTGTCTCGCCGTTGTGTTGACCGCTAAACGAGCCGCCTTTCCCCCGACCAGGAGGAGCCCGCCACGATACTGACGCAAGCCAAGAAAAAGATCAAAAACGTGGGGATCTTCTTGAAGGTAGGCGCCCGCCGGAGCGAGGCCGGGCGGAAACGCGGCCGGGCGGAAACGCGGCGCGCCTCTCCCCCCCCCCGCCTCACCTCTCTAACGTTGGTTTTGCCAGAACGACGACGAGGACGACGAGGAGGAGGACGGCGACGACGCCGAGGAGCTGCTGGGGAAGGGAGCGCGGAGCGCCGCCCTGCTGGCCGACAGAACCAGGGTGAGCCCGCGTCCCGGCACCATGCCGCTTTTTTGATCAGTGTGTTCCTTTCCTTCTGTTAACTAAGAGTGTGAATGTCTCTGTGCTCTATCAGCTACTTGGAAGGGTAAGTATTAGCTGTTTGCTTGTTTTTGTTTGTTTCGTTTTTTCACCCTTAATTCTCACCGGCCGAACCTCTTCGGTTGCAAACCCACTGATGAGGAAAACGTTCTCATTTTAATTTGTGATGATTCTGGGCAGATTCCGTTTTGTTTTTTGTTTTTTTCCCCCATCTAAAACCTGTTTCTGCATGAATGTATTTTTTGTTTTTAAACCAATATTTAAACCAAATGAATATTTATATATATAATTATTTTTTTATGATTATATTTTTATTCCGTTGGCTAAATTGCTCCAAAATCCAATTGTAGAATGAGATGACGGCAGAGGAGAAGAGACGAGCCCATCAGAAGGAGCTGGCCAACAGTCTAAACGAGGAAGCCAAGCGCCGTCTGACTGAGCAGAAAGGAGAGCAGCAGATCCAGAAGTGAGTAAAAAGGGGTTTAGAAGCACAGCTGATGTTTCACCACCCCCCTACTCCTTTTATTTATTTATTTTAAGTGACCCAGCGAACTGTGGCCCATGTGTAAGTGTCTAACTGCTCCTTCCCTCCCACCCCCAGGGCCAGAAAATCTAACGTGTCCTATAAGAACGTGTCCCAGATGCCGAGAGAAAAAGACATCAGGGACATGAAGATCTTCATCGACAAGAAGTACGAAACTGTGGTGATGCCGGTTTTTGGCATCGCCACGCCGTTCCACATCGCCACCATCAAGGTACGACTCATCGACCTCTTTTAAAGTTTAGAGGCTAGATAACGTGTGTGTAAATATATATATGTATGTGTTATTGAGATAAGCATGGAGATAACGCCACCTCGCAGGTAGAAAATACAAACGCAACACGCGTCGTGTTGAATTGTTTAGATAAATAAATACATGTAGTGTATTTTTTCCTTTTCAAAATGTTCTGAAAAGGAACAAAAAGACTTTACAGCCTGGACTATAAAATCATATTTATTTAAAAAATTTATTTTAGAATATTGATTTCACCAAATCCAAGAGCAGACTTTTCAATCTTGGAAAGGCAAGGTATTTATCAATACAACAAAACACAGAACAAAGGGCTAAACGGGTGTCCCATATGTTGACATACTTGTTAACAGTTATTCAGTTGCGCAACAGCATAAAGAACATTCCTAGGAGGCTAAATTAAGATGAGGCTGGTAAACAGCAACTTCACCAAGCTTGATCTTGTTCCACATAACTGGTTTCAGTTTATATTGTCACTGGTGCAGGAGCAGCATACAATTTGTCACAAGCCCAGAGGGTTAATTTTAGCCGGTGTTCTGTCAGGTCAGCATACCCCATCTGACCAGCATACCCATAGTAAATATGCATGCGCTACCTTTAGCAGAAATCTAAGAGATTAACATTGACGAAGTTTACTAGGCTACTTTATGCGTGATATGATAAACAAAAGGTTGTAGTTTAAGGTAAACACACAAACTTCCCAGAAAACAACACCGAAAGTCAAGTACTTTTGTTTACAAATTAACTTAGAAATGCTATTTCTAACAATTTCGTATTTAAAGCACGTGCATTCCCTGGAAAATTAGAAGATATAAGCAAATAAAAAACGTGGCAAAATTGTACATCAATTTGATCATCGATTGAACTGTTCCTTTAATCCCAACATTGTACAAGATTATCATTACTTTTTTATGTGCTAACTACAACCTTGCTGGTAGTAAGCATCATGCTCACGTTTGATTCACTTCAATTAATCTGTATCCAAGATGGCGTAATGTCCAAATCAAAATCAACGATTGGCTGGGCGGGAGGTGTGTTTTGTATGGGGATGCGTTTTGTAGATGGCTGCAGGTGCAGCTAGACCCTTCTGTAAATACACTTTAAACTACCTCAACGCGCGTTATGTACGAAAGGTATGGCGATCTGTCGGCTTCTCCAAGTGTTCGCTACTTTTCGCAGTTCGCGCATGCGAAAGACTATGGGCACGCTGGTCTGTCGGGGTATGCTGACCTGACAGAACACCGGTATGAATGAACATTTAAAAACGTAGGAATCTGATCTATGTCACAGGACCAGACAAACAATTTTTTAAAAGTGATACCTGTAGTCCAGGAAATACGGTACTGTACTTAATCCCCCCCTACTTACTGATACTTTTCTTTTTCTTTGGTCTGTGCCAATGTTCTCTGCTCTCTAGAACATCAGTATGTCAGTAGAGGGCGACTACACCTACCTTAGGATCAACTTCTACGTCCCCGGCAGCTCTCTTGGACGGCAGGAAGGAAATATCTTTCCCAACCCCGACGCTACATTTGTCAAAGAAATGTAGGTGTCTCTACTGCCGTGCCACCACCAAACTCATGATAACCGGAGATGTTCTGATTTATTTATTTTTTCTCTTTTTTTTTTTTTCCTCATTTTCAAATTCCTCGTTGGTGGTTTTCACCTCCTCCCCGCGTCAGCACGTACCGGGCGTCCAACCTCAAGGCCCCCGGCGACCCGTCCGTGCCCTCCACCAACCTGCAGAACGCCTTCCGCATCATCAAGGAGGTCCAGAAGCGCTACAAAACGCGAGAGGCCGAAGAGAAGGAGAAGGAGGGCATCGTCAAGCAGGACTCCCTGGTCATCAACCTCAACCGAAGCAACCCCAAACTCAAAGACCTCTACATCCGGCCCAACATCGCGCAGAAGAGGATGCAGGGCTCCCTGGAGGCGCACACCAACGGTGAGGAGGAGGAGGAGGAAGCAGCCTCACACCGCGGTGACCGCAAACCCGACACGGGCCTTACCCCTCTCGTCTCTGCCTAGGCTTCCGCTTCACGTCAGTCCGCGGAGACAAAGTGGACATTCTGTACAACAACATCAAACACGCCATTTTCCAGCCGTGCGACGGCGAGATGATCATCGTGCTTCACTTCCATCTGAAGGTAGGGGTGTTCACTTACCTGCCATACTGTGGGAAAACCCACATGCGTCCCCTCATCTCCTCTTGTTGTACGTCCATGGATCCAGATGTTCTTCCAATCACCTTGTAATGGTAACTTGTTCTTTGGTAAATTGGCTTTTTAAATACTTTTTTTCCCCCCTTTTGACCACAACTTAACTGAGGACCAATTCGAAATGAAAGGTCTTTGGTAGGTCTTTTGTAATGGGATGCTATTAACATCCCATTTAAAAAAAAAATAATAATAATATGCCAGAAGTAGAAGAGTGGGAATCCCCTGTATGGAGTAGGGTTGTCACGATACTAAAATTTTCAACTCGATACCGATACTCAGGAAAATACTCGATACTCGATACCATTTTCGCTACCACAAGGATAAAAACAAAGACCCCAAAATTTAACTGAATTTTGACAGGTTAGTGTCTTTCATTTCAAACTGACCAGTTACTCATGTTATCGTGACTGGTGGCCCGTATTAATGACCCTGACCCTAATCCTTACCCTAACCCTGACACTGCCCCTATCCCTCCACCCTTCATAATTGTGAGAAATAAAGATTGTTTGGTTAAACTTGTTTGGACTTATTGTACAAACCTATTTAACATACACTATTTTAACATCATATTATGGATAGAGTTTAATTAAGTGTTTGAAAGATTAATTTCACAATTTTTAAATTAATGTCTATATTGCCATGAAGCCATTAGGATTTTCTTGCCTGGGCTCTTCCTATTGGTGACGTAATCAAAATGGCCGACTTCATGTGGGCGGACTTGGATATGTACTTGATTAAGTTTAGCATGTTATTATTAGCTATTGGCCGCAGCTAGCAGTTCAAGACTAACGTCTTGTTAATGATCATAAACAACGTAAATAAATACATAAATGAGTATCGTATCCGGATACAACATTTTAGTATCGATACTTTTTTAAGTATCGATACTTTTGACAGCCCTAGTATGGAGCTGATAATAAAGGAGCAGTTTGTCCAAAACCTGGCACATCATGCCACGATGTGGAGTTTATTATTAATTAGGGACTTCAAGGGAACTGGACAATTGTCTGGATTCAAAAGGCTGCTTTTAGCTGGTAAGAGCTGCTCAGTTGGGTATCTGTCTGTCCCCCAAGTCGGCGTCCGTTACAAAGACACGTCTAAAGGCGGCTCTCGCCTCTCGTCTGCTTTTCTAAACGGCGTCGTATCTCCCCCCCTCCCCAGAACGCCATAATGTTCGGCAAGAGGCGCCACACGGACGTGCAGTTCTACACGGAGGTCGGGGAGATCACCACAGACCTGGGCAAGCACCAGCACATGCACGACCGCGACGACCTGTACGCCGAGCAGATGGAGCGCGAGATGAGGCACAAGCTCAAGTCCGCCTTCAAGAACTTCATCGAGAAGGTGGAGACGCTGACCAAAGAGGAGCTGGAGTTCGAGGTTCCCTTCAGGGACCTGGGGTGAGTGGGCCAGGGCGTGGGTGCCTGTGTGTGTCTGTGTGTATGTACGTCTGTTTGTTTATGCATTTAGTCACTTGAGATTCTAGATTAGGAAATACTGGTGAAAGAAGATGGCAAGCCGAGTCCGTAGACGGGGCTAACTCCTTTGGCTTGTCTTTCTTCCAGGTTCCAGGGCGCCCCCTACAGGAGCACGTGCCTCCTACAGCCGACGTCCAGTTCCCTCGTTAATGTTACTGAATGGGTGAGTACGCGAATTCCCAACGAGTAATGACTGAAGTCGGGATATGGAGAAATCGGTTCGGACCAAAAGCGGAGCAAGAGGAAGTTTTCAGTAATGGCTTCCGTCTCCAGCCGCCGTTCGTGGTCACCCTGGACGAGGTGGAGTTGGTCCACTTCGAGCGCGTGCAGTTCCACCTGAAGAACTTCGACGTGGTCATCGTCTACAAGGACTACAACAAGAAGGTCACCATGATCAACGCCGTGCCCGTCAACTCCCTGGACCCCATCAAGGAGTGGCTCAAGTAAGACCCCGCCGGCCGGAGGCACGGGAAGGAAGGACAGGAGTTAAAGGTGGAGTTCTCCGTTTTCTGTGTCTCTCTCAGCTCGTGCGATATCAAGTACACGGAAGGAGTTCAGTCTCTGAACTGGACCAAGATCATGAAGACCATCGTGGACGATCCGGAGGGCTTCTTCGAGCAGGGAGGCTGGTCTTTCTTGGACCCGGACAGCGAGGTGTGTATTTTTGTTTTTCTCTCATTTTACGTGCGATTGCATCTTTTGTGATGCCTTTTTTTTTTTTTTTTTTTTCTCTTTCAGGGAAGCGGTGCGGAGGAAGACTCCGAGTCGGAAATGGAGGATGAAACATTTAACCCCTCGGCTGACGAAGAGGAGGAGGAAGAGGAGGACAGCGACGAGGATTACAGCTCGGAAACGGAAGACTCTGGTACGCCTTTTTGGGCTTTTCAGCCCTGTGTGATAACGCGCCTTCAACCACTCAGAACACCGGAGGGTTTAGGGGGTGTTATTTCTTTTTTTTTTTTAAGTGGGGTTCCAAAACGCCTTCCTTGTTTTTTTTTTTTTTTTTTTTTTCCTGACGCCCGCAGGCCGAAAAGTATCAGTAGTTAACTCTACATTTCTCCCTGCATAGATTACAGCGCCTCATTGGGCAGCGAGGAGGAGAGCGGCAAAGACTGGGACGAGTTGGAGGAGGAAGCCAGGAAAGGTATGCATCCGTCCAAAAAGTTTTTATTCATTTATTCTTTTCCTCCTCGCTTTCTTGCCCGACTTAAATTCTCCTTCTCCTCCTCCAGCCGACAAAGAGAGCCACTACGAGGACGAGGACACCTCAAACAGGAAGCGGAAGGTCCGATCATCGGCCCCGCCCAGCAAGAAGAAGCGGCGGTCCTAAACTGCTCTCACACACACACACACACACTCATACTGCCAAACCCGGTTTAGACTCGACCTGTCCTCCTGCCCCAACTGGCTCTTTTTGACGCTCACATTCAGACACACACGTTGAGACAAATGTGTACATAGACGTAGAACCCCCCCGTCCCTTTGTTTTTGTGTTGGTCAGTGAAGCGTCTTGTTGTGAAGGTGGAAGAACCAGCAGGACAGTCGCACTTCATGAGCTTTTCTTCTTCATTCCTTAGTAACTTTTTTTTTTTTTCATCTTCTTCTTCCCCCCTCTGCCCGTCAGGGTCTCTCGTTTGTCTGTGTGAGTGTGTGTGTGTGTGCATGCGTGTCTAAATGGGTTTTTATTGCAAGCATTGTTTATTTTCTGTTTAAAAAGATTGGTTTCTTAATTAATGGATAATAAAAGATGACTTGACATATCCTCTGCCAAGTGTTTTATATAAAAACTGATAGATTTATTATTCCTTCATCCCCACCCATCTTGTCTCATGTTTTCCTCTGATTGTTAAATTGTGTTAACAAGGTGGACGTTTGCCTTTTTTATTTCTTTTTTTCCTTTTTTTTTTTTTTAAAAAGTGGGGTTTGTAAACTTCAGCATACACACGCCCACACTCACACACACCGCCTCCCTCACACTCATCCTCAGTTTCCTCTTTTGTTCTACCAGAGTAGATATGATGTACTGTTAATTCTGAAAATGTTTTTTGTTTTTGTAATAAAACTAAAAGGAACTGTAGCTTTTGTTTTCAGTGCCTTTTCTTGGTCTTTCGCCTCAGCGGAGTCGGAGCACAGAGGCGGTGCTTTTGAGAATAAAAGGAACAAAATAAAACGGCACTAGTAATCTAGGTTTACTGTAAATGATAATTAACAGCAGCCGCCTACTGACTTCATGGCCTTAGCTCGAATCCTATCTTTCTCCACTCGTTTTATCTGAATCCGAATGCCTTTTATTGTTTTATTGTTTAATGCAGCATAAAGTGGGAAGTTGCTCTGAGGGGTCAACACTGGTCGTAGAGTCCACTTCCTCGAGATGGGTCCACTTGTAGTGGAGGAAATCCAGTCTTGACTGGAGCTGGTCCTCAAAAAGTTGACTTTGAATTTAATAGTAAAAGAATAATGCAAAGTTTGTTCCCCCATTTGTTTTTTTTTCTGGCACACATGCAAAGAGCTTCATAGGAACAGAATGAACCGGTGAGGGGAAGAAAAAAAAAGGAACGTTTTGCTCACTTGGGCAACTTCTTTATTTATTTCACCAACACTTGAGTTAAGTTGACCCCACTGCATGTCATTGGAAATTAATCCGATTCAGTATTTGCATTTGCTTTTTGTTTTGTTTTTTTCTTCCCTTTTCTTTCCTTAACCCGTGACCCAAGACTTTGTGACGTGACCGTAGACATTCAAAATGGCGATAAAATCTTTTTAGAATGGTTGTTGTTGTGCTTTGGAAGAGGTCCTGCATTATACATGTGATTATATCCCATCTATATTTGTCATTAAAGTGTTCTTGATGTGGCTGGATGTGAGAGAAGCAGGCAGATTTCACACCACCAGTGCTGAGAAGTTCACGTGAAATCAGAAAGAACAGTGCTGTGCAATCCCTTATATCTTAAAACTGTGTTATTCATCAAAAAGCAGATCTTAATATAATAGCTACAAGAGGCTTTGAGTTCTGTGGTGTTCAGAGCAGAGTAAAGCAACATAACAGTACATGTGCTCAGCAGTTTACCATGAAATTCTCCACAAGCTGTTTAGGAATGAAGAAGGACGTGGGGCAGAATGTCTTCAAGGACCAAGAGAAGAGGTTTGCTTCCTTTAAAACAAAAGATTGTGTCAATACTATTAAACCCAGAAGTTGGATCTTGGATAGAATAAGTGTGCAAAGGGTGATGACGATGGAACATTAGAAAAAAACTTTAATCAGTCATGTGCGCACCTCTTAGTTGCTTGGATATGGAATTATTTAAGATTCAAACATGGTTCGTGTGTGGTCCTTTCCACTAGTACCTACTCAGCTGTTGTGTTATGTTTGTGTTGCATACAAGAGAACTCCCAGGTTTTTTTTTTTAGAAGTCTTGTTGTTTGGGCCCTGGCTTGGTATGGAAAGCAACCCAAACCAAACTGAGGAGAGCCGAGTAGAGGCAGGTAGAGATGAATAGGTAATAATGGGAAAAGGCCATGAGTTAGTATTGTAGTAACTTGAATACATCACACATGTGGATTTATGCAGGGAAAGTTATTGGAAGCAGTCCCTCAAAAAGTCCCTTTTGGTCTTGGGTCTCTTACTGTTTTTTTTACTTTTTACAACAGGAAATGTATAACATTTTTCATACTTTTGTATATTTATAGATTGAAATGGATATTAGTGTTACAGTAGCGACAAGAGAGGAATTCATGATGTCAACTGTGAAAGGGTGAACAAATGTCAAGGCAAATAACATGCCCAACTCATCTCCTCACAACAGCCTTTTTGTTATGTTTGTCTCTCATGGTCACACCGACACTAAGCAAATGTACTTTCCCTACATCTTGCATGCAGTGAAGTAGGCCAATGCAGAATAAAAAGGACACAAAATGAAGGCACATTGAGGCAGGCCTATGTTAACACCAAATAAATGCTTTTTATATCCGTTTCTGGGAGGTCTGCGGTAAAAATTGATGTGATGTATTACTCCATAATATTTAACTCATAGTCCAACTTTAGTAGTTGTCTGACCAAAAACCACTCCATAAACCTGAATCTAATGCTAAAAAGGGGGAAAAAAGTATCAAAAAGTATTTTTAAAATCCCTTAAATCGAATACGTTTCAACGATAACCATCTCAGATTTGTACTCTGTTCAGAAAGTAAATCTTGTTGCAAACATCCCCTTTACTCAATATGTAAAACTCAGATGGTTCTGACCAAGATGGAGGCGGACAACAAAAACAAAGCGCTGGTTTGTGCTCATGCACCATTTGGAATCTAAACTTTGAGACGGAGGGGAAGGTGCTGAAGAATAACTTCCTCCCAGAGCGGGGAAACGAATAAAAGAGGTAGGGCGAGACTTAAATGATCGTGGAGCTCTTTTTTTGCGTCATTTTCTTGTTGAATGTATATTCCTGGTATGTTTTGTTATAATCTCAGTCTGTACATGTGTTATGTTTTGCACTGCAGATCATGGAGAGAACTTTGAGACTGCTCTTCTTTGGTTTGTACTCAGCTTTAATAGGAAAAAAAGCTCAAAAATCTGAGCGATTTATCGAGAACAGCAATACTTGTGTGTGTGCTTATTTTGATGGATTTCCTTCTTCTTGACAGGAGCATTTCTGATCAATGTTGAAAGCTCACAGACAGGTAATAAGATTTGTACTCATTTCTCTTCTTTTATTTTTTCAGCATTCTATGGCCTTTATTATTCACATTTGTAAATTCATATTTGCTTTTCACCAACTGAGAGCACTCGCCTCCATAAAGAAATGGCTAAGAATATAATGTGTGAGAAAACGGGACGACATCCCTCTACCAGAGCTCCAGAAACTTCTCTCAGTTTTCCAGATTACACTAAACACGGACCTGTCCCAACCCCCGGAGCCAACACGAGAGCTTCCTGTTGGGGACTAAACTAACTACACTTGTTATCCCCAACCTAGATACGGCAAGCTACGTCCGCAAATACACATTTGTCACGAGCGAAACGAAGACTTGGCGCGAGGCCCAGAGGCTCTGCAGAGACCAGTACGACGACCTGGCCACCGTAGCCAACCAGGAAGACCTAAACAAGATCACCGGCATGCCGGAAAGCCGTACCGGGGCCTTTTGGATCGGTCTGAACTACGACCCCTCCAGCTGGAGATGGTCAGATCCACAGGTAGAGGGAGAATTGGGTCCATTCCGTCCTTGGTATCTCAATCAGCCGGACAACCGTGGAGGGGTTGAATACTGTGCCTCCGCCTTGGCGATTGGCAACTGGACAGACAGGGATTGCTACGAGATACTGCCGTTCATCTGTTTCAACGGTGAGCACCACCAATGTCAGATTGCTGCAGAGACTTGGTAGCATTCGTAACCACCGGGTTGTTGTTTTTACGCGCAGAGCGAGGCGAGTACGTGCTGGTGGCCGAGGGGAAGACGTGGCCGGGAGCTCAGAGCTACTGCAGGACCCACCACGAAGACCTGGTCTCCGTCCGGAGCCCGGGCGATAAAGACAAAGTGATTCAGGCACTGCCGAGTGACGGTTCGGTCCCGGAGGTCTGGATCGGTCTATCCAGAAATCCCTGGGTTTGGTCCGATGGCAGCAGGGTCTCATTTACATCGTGGATGACCAGTCAGCCCAATAGCTACGGCTCGCAGCCGTGTGTCTACATGCAAAATGGACATTGGAATGACTACGGCTGTGACGCCAAATACTACATTCTCTGCCAAGGTAAGCTCAAATACAGCCTGTTCTTTTATAACGCCAGTCCAGTGCAGTTAAATTCTTGTTTAAATTTCTCAAAACTGATGAGCGCACCCCTTCAACTAAGTCGGTCATCATATGTACCACCAGATATAAGAATCAGAATCAGGTTTATTGCCAAGTAGGTTTTTAGACTTACAAGGAATTTGCCTTGGTGTTTAGTGCACAACATAACACTTCTATGAGAAGCAAGAAATAAGATGTAGAAATAGAAATATAGGACAGAAATGATAAAACTGAAAAATACAATCTTTAAAAATATAGATCTGAATGTACAAATGAACAATCTTTAAAAATATAGATCCGAATGTGCAAATGAACAATTGAAATTTGCAAAGATCAACGTAACAAATGATTTCACTGGCTCCTCTAAATGAGTTATTTCTATCTAACTTTAGACCAGAAGATTTGTTTGCATAAAAACAAGAAAACGGTGACTTTACAGACAAAATCCAACCTGCCTTTGAAATGGGGTCCAATTTGTTAACGATCACTACAAATGCACTCTAATTACATGCAATTAAACAAACTCTGCAAATGACAGCTTCTTTCTTTTTTCTTTTTTTAGAACTGTTACCAAAAAAGGAGATGTTTGTGGTGAAAGTGAATATCAGCTCTGACGCCAATCTGAATCTTCCAGCAGAGAAAGACTCGCTCCTGCACAGGGTGGGGACAAAAAAACACACACACAAAAAAAAGACGCAAAGACAAAGGCACACAGCCCGCCTCTACAGGTCCACGTCTGCTTTTTCAGTTTCAGGCCCGGCTGGAGAAGCAGGGCGCCGCCGGCTTTAACATCAGCTGGCGTGCAGAAAGAAACGGCCTGGTATTCCAACGCCAGAAAGAAGAGGATGCCGGACGCCCATAAAAAAAACGCGGGTACGTTTGAAATCATCGGGAGTGATGCAACACACCGGATCAGGCCTAACACCTGGATCTCTTTTGCCCGCTGGTGATCAGAGAACCAAAAAAGCCTTTTTCCCTTGTCTTCAGTGTTTTTTTGTTTTTTTTTAATTAAATTTTCCACAAGGATATACAAAAATTAACATAAAAGATCAAAACCCCACCCATCCCTTACCCGTACAGAATGGCACATCATATAACGCTTACACAGTCAAGACAACATGCTGAAAACATCACAAATTGATCCGAACCATTTCCCAAGCACGAGAAAAAAAAAAAAAAGAAAAGAAAAAAAGAACAATTATACAGGGTATTAAACAGTAACGGGTATGTCATACGCACTTTTTCATTGAAGGAATTTTAGTACAGGATCCCATATTTTCTTAAACACATTGACCTTATCTTCGTTATAGTATCTCAGTCTTTCCAGGTGCAGAGTATTTGCTAGTTCTCCCAACCATAAATCAAATGTGGGCACATAGTCCTTTTTCCCTTGTCTTCAGTGTTTTACAAAAATGACTGACCGGTGAATTTTCTCTTCCTAAAACAGGCTGTTCAAACAGGGAGGCCATTCACCGATTCCTGCTTGGAGAGGTTGCGGATAACCAGATGTTCGTGCTGTATATGTAACAGCTGTGGTGTATTTAGTGCCTGATTTAAAGTTTAAAGATTATTCTTCAATTGTGAGACGGGGGGAAAAAAAGAGGTAACACTTTCTAGATTTTGATGACTTTGAGCCTCACTGCTTCTTTGACAGCAGGTGGAGTTTGTGTAATTATCCTAAAAATGGCTCCTTTAGGGACTTTTATCTTTGTAGCATCACCCAAAAAAAACGTACAAAGGGTAGAACAAAACCAAAAAGCTAAGAGAATATAAAAGGGCAAGGGTCATTTTAAAGGATACGGCTTGCACAATGAATAATGCCTTTCGTGGCAGTTTATGATTGGAAAAACAGTAATTATTATAAAATATATACATTTCATGACTTACTTTGATGCTGGAATATGTTAACTGAATTCTGAGGTGTAGTTTTATATGCATGTATATTAATTTGAGATCAGTGTGTGTCCCCACACAAGCTCCACAGTTGTATGGGTTGTGTACTGATGATGACGTTTAAGCTCTTTTATCTTGGATTTTGAGATTTGGTAGGCTTGTTGTGTAAGGTCTCAGTCCTTTAAAAAATAGAAACATAAAGTGGTTTAAGACAGATTTAATTCTCGGCCTTAAACGAGATAACATCTGCGTTACACTTCAGCCTGACAACACTAGTCAGTCTACAGGCTCTGTTAGATATTTCCACGTGGACTATTTTTACTTCAAACACCTGAATAAATCAGATATGCTGCAACACAAAATCTGAATCTCTCTTATTAGTTTTACATTTTCCAGGATGAATAAGATGCTGCGGGACAGTGGTGGAGAAAGTACTCATACAATGTACTTAAGTAAAAGTACAAATACACAGACAAAAATTTACTCAAGTAAAAGTCAAAGTGCCACATTATTATTTTACTTAAGTAAACGTAAGAAAGTACAAGCTTTTAAAACTACTTAAGTATTAAAAGTAAAAGTACTTGCCAACCGTAATACCCAACGGCTTATATAATGTCATTAAGTGTACCTATCGTATTTAGTTTTAAGTGCCTAATGGTTATTTCCCGCTTTGGATTGGTTCAGCGGACTGATTCTGCTCTCGTCATTGGATACTTTCAAACTAACGAACAAATCAAAAAACCGAAATGCGTCTTGGATGTAACGAGTAACGAAACGCTGTATAGAAATGTAGTGAAGTAGAAAGTACAGATACTTACTGTTAAATGTAGTGGAGTAAAAGTAGAAAGTATCCATTATTAAATCTACTTAAGTAAAGTACAGATACACGGAAATTGTACTTAAGTACAGTAACGAAGTACTTGTACTTCGTTACTTCCCACCACTGCGGGACAGGCAGAGCATCGCTGTGCACATTTAAGACTGTTGCTCCAAGCAAGAGATTTGCAAGGATTGATGGAATAATCCAAGGGAATAACATGAAGACTTTGTTGTTTTGCATTGATTCGTTAGCTGAAGGCTGTGGAGCAAGAGGGAACTGTGACCAGAATCAACACATGGCGGGATTTTTTTAAGTAATTCTAGTAGGGAGAAAATCCAATATGAAGCTATGAAGCAGAGCGTTTCTTAATTTATTATATAATCTATATTTGGTTTTTCCCAGCTGACCCTCTTTCCATCCAGGTACAGTGTTGTCCTTCATTTGCATGTGGATCAATTCAAATGCTTATCAGACCAATGGGAGCACGGGATTCCAGCACATAAAGACGCTTTTTTAGGGTTGGAGTCTGAGCAGCTCTGGGTTTCAGGTCATTTTAGATGGAGACGTTTTGAATGAGCAGCCATTAGATTGATTTCTAAAGCACTCAAAATCAAATCATGGAATGGGGATTGAGGCGGATCTTCATTTGGGGTGAGTTTTATTCACATAATGCCTTCCAAACGATCGTTTTTGCATTGGCCGTAACGTGTATATATCTTTGAAGTAAGAAAGTAGTAAGAAATTAGCCAGGTATGCTGGAGAAATGGAAACATCTTTTTTTCAGAATTCCAACATAGCTAAAGGAGGATCAAATCAATGTTGAACTTCTTTTTTTACAGGATCTGTCATTTTCATTTTGAAGCCTACCCACCAGACAGGTGAGAAAACATTTTGCATAAGTGAAACAGTTCAGGAAGTTAAAATCGAATAACCCCCCCCTCCATTTAGCCATCAAAGTTAATTAATCAAATTGAAAGAAATCTTTGGAAATTGTCTGGATTATGCCTTATTGCAAATTACATGTCAATATCTCCCTAAGAGGTGAAGAAATATAGTAAAACAATAGAACTCTACATACTAATTAAATTCGTACCGGGACCTACTTCGTATATTAAAATATTTGTGTTTTGGTTAAAATATTCCCATAAGTATACACTGTAATTCGCATAATTCGTTCCACAGCCCAAAAACCTATGATAACTCTTTACTAAATACTGCAGATAATTACACATAGCAATAAAACAAATGCATAATATAAGAGAGTCGTACCTGGATGAGTGAGCTGGGTTTCTCCAGTCCTTTACTAAAGTGAACTGTGTTGTGAAAGTAGTCCGTTTAAAGTGACCAAAGCACGTAAAGTCTCTGAAGGTTACCCTAAAAACAGCACTGGTCCACTCTGTTTAATTTAAAATGAAGCAAAGACTTTGCAAAAGAGGTGGCGTGAACTAAAAAAAAAATGAATGTACCTTTCCAATAAAACTCCAACTGGCAGCTCAAATGAGGAACTAATATAAGCTCCAGAAAACAAAAGACTAATTTTTCTTTTCAATGTGCCACTTTAAATGTGAAATAAACAGTGAAAAAACAAACAAAAAACAACACGGTCAAATTCTTGATTTCTGGGTTCATAGGCCAGTTGGTTTTTAAAGTAGGGTTGAACGAAGGAAAACAAAACAGCAGCCGAAACTACTTTGGGTTCTGTCGGGTTTTTTAATAAATTCTTAAATTTGTAGTTGTTTTTGTATATCCTCCTAAGACCCTGTGTCCTCATAAGAGGACGTTGCATTTTCGTCTCTCTTTACCATGATACTTCTTTATTTCTTTCAGCTTTGACCTCTTGGCCTCATAGCAGATGCTATCAGACACTGTTTGAAATCTAAAGTAAAATGGTTTTATACATTTTCATCCAATCATGTTCTTATTGTGAAATAAAAAAAAATGTAAATAAGTCATTGGGACTGTCAGAACAAAATTGTAAAAACATTTAATTAAATATGTAAACAAACATTTTAAATGTAAAGATAAACCCACGGGGCGTAAATGAAGAACAACTACCTGTACCATGACAAAGTCTAGTTATTAAACTTATTAGGTCCTACTAACCTCATATATCTTTTAAAAAAAAGCTAAATGCCAAATAAAAGCTCGGGACTCAGGAGGTTAAATAAGAAAAAAAAAAAAAAAAAGCCTCAATAAGACGGTCAACAGGTAACGTGGCACCGAGGGGAGTAGCCACCCAGTCGGCCGGGCTGACCTCAGCGGCGGATGGCGCCGACATGGCCGTGGACGACACCCGCTCGGCGAGGCCGGACGAGACCTGCGCCTCGGTCCCCCAACAGGACCACCCCTGGTGGCAGCTGGACCTGAGGAGCGTCTACCGCATCACCGCCGTGTCCGTCACGGCGGCCACGTGCTGCCCGGAGCAGCTGGACGGCGCCGAGATCCGCGTCGGCCTCGGCAACGCCACCCACAACCAAAGGTGTGGGGTCCACGGGAGCCAAAGGGTGGATGTGTCACGAGGGGCGGAATCTTAGGGAGGACTCAGTCGCGGAGAGATTCAGGACTAGAACACACTCAAAAAGGAGTGGATGGCAGACACGGTTAAAAAAAAAAAAAACAAGGCTGTGACAAAAACTATGATCAAAGTAGCAAAGCAAGATTTAACATGGCTGTGGCAAAAGTATCAAAACAAGACTATGGCAAAAGTATCAAAATAAAGTGAACAAGACTATAGCTGCTCCCAACTTTTTCTCACTGGTTTATGAAAGTGCAGACATCCAACTGATGGTTTGAAACGTTTATTAACGGATTTGCCGTAATGCACGCCCAAGACCACCGTGAACACTGTAAAATACACGGTGGAAAATATATATCAATAAAACCTACATGAATGATCAAATTAAACTTATTAAACAAAATAGACATTTTCGAAATTGTCCGTACCGTATGCCCCTCCAACCAGAAGGTTAGGAGTTGCTAGAAGTCCTTTCTTTCCGTCCTTTTCCCTTTCTCTGGCTGGCTCACGGACTAATTGTAAACAAGTCACAGCTTCCTATCAAAGGCATCACGTGATTTTGTGAAAAGCCAATCGGCGATATCTCCATATAACATTGTTAGAACATTTTCAAAAGTATTTACATATTGATCGAAAATACTCAAAGATATTAAATAGATATTAAAAGTAAAACATATTCATATTCACAAAAATAAAATAAATTCACACAAAACAAATGCCCATGTAACTGCGTTCGTTACAAAGACTATGGCAAAACAAGGTTAACAAGACTGTGGCAAAACAAGGCTATGACAAAAACAGTGGCTATGGTACAAAGTAAATAAGACTATGGCATGGCTGTGACAAAAATCAAAACCTTACGTGGCGAGGGGAGACGAAAGCAGAAAGACAAAAACACACTGGCACGGGACATGGGAAACGAGGAACTATTTAAACACATGAGGGAGGGGAACCCCAGGTGTACACAATAGGTAATCAAGACATGACGAGACACCAGACGTGACAGGACGGTTCTTTTAATTTTTTATTAAAACATCTGTCCTTACCATCCTCCCTGCTTCCTGCCAGATGTGCCACCATCACCACGGGCGGACAGAGCGCGTACAGCTACCAGTGTGAGGTCCAGCGCGCCCGTTTTGTCCACGTCCTGCTTCCGGGGCGGCAGAGGAATTTGACTGTCTGCGAAGTGCGGGTTTATGGCACCGTGCTGGGTAAAAGCTGCTCCCCCCGCAGAGTTTCGCCACGGGGCTGCTGGGTTTTTTTATTCTGAGCTTGTTACAATCGTCTACAATTCTGTGGAGCTGATTCATCTGAGTGTAAACTTGGACGAAAAGCTAATATATCTGTTTTCAAAAGAAACAAAAGATCCTAACAGAATAACTTTCTTTTTCTAATAGAATAACTTTCTTCACATGTTAGACTGGTTTGTGATGTTTGAGGTGAGCTGGTGGTGAACTTTACTAGGAAATAAAAAGATAGGATTCTCTTTTTTTATCTCTTTTTTTTTTTTTAAAGGTCAGGGTTTAGGCTGATATACTGTTTAAAAGTTGCCGTTTCGTTAGCTCTTCAATATGAACATGAGCAAAGCAAACAGCATTTAAACATGTGTTTCATTTCAGTTTTTTATTCTTTTGAAATCCACTGAGCAGAAGGGATTTGCGCACATTATGGGGGAGCCTTTCACGTTCTGCATCTCTGCTTTTTGTTGAAAGAAAACGTGGCTCTGCGAGGGGTCGCACATCAGTCCTCCTCAAGATGGAGAACGGCGGGAAGAGCGGGCAGCGTTATAGATGGCGCTCAGTTTACCACCTGCAGCCTAACCAAAGACCAACCCGGCCAGTGGGTGATGGTGGATCTACTGGTTCCCCACGCCGTCACCGTGGTCCAGCTGGCCTTTGCTGAGGAGTGCCCCAGTGAAGTAGAGGTCTTCGTTGATGATGAAAGGTTCCCTAGTCCAAAAATGTCTCACTTTCAGCACCCTGTGAAAGCTTTCTCTGTTAAGGTCTGAGATAAAAGAGGAGGGAACCCTGGGTTTTAGGGTCATTTCACCAGACCTTTACTGTAGTTTTTATTACAGTTTACTGACAAATCTTATCTTACTGACTCTTATAAATAGCAGTTGAAGACATTTTCATACAAAAAAGCCTTGAATGGATTTACTTGGTACTTTATGGAGTATTTGATCAACGCCAGTATGCCTTTTCAAGTTGTCCTCTTTTGTATACAACTTTCAGAAGAGTCCTGTAAATCTGTTCGTCCTTTGCAGATGTTCAGGAAACACCAGCTGTTCGCAGGCTCTGATGACTTTGGATTGTGGAGGAGTGGTTGGTTGGAATGTGACCGTTTTCCACCCAGACGTTCCTCCGTCTCTGTGTGAAGTGGAAGTTTTTAGCATCTGGGAGCATCCTGACAACCCATTCCCGCAGCGGCCCCTGTCTCGTGGTAGATGTACTAAAACTAATTATTAGACCAGTACTAATGATAGTGATGATTATCTTAACTCATTCGCTGCCAAAGACGTCTATAGACGTCAATTCAAATACAACTGTTGGCTGCCAAAGACGTCTATAGACGTCTTTTATGTTTTTCAACGCGAGTGGCTTGGGGGACGATCTGCTAAAGCTTTTCCGTAAATATCGGCCTCTAGACAGAGTATGTAGTAACAAATTTACCCTCTAGGTGGCTGTGCCACTTTTGATGGGAGATAAGCATAGATTGTAGGCAAATAAAAAAAAAAACGCAATGGTTCGCTATGCGAAAAATGGCACCGGTGAGACGCACGTCGAGGAACAACGGAATAAGGTAGAAACAATTATTTTTTTCCTGATTAAAGAAGAGAGTCTACTCTTTCTTTTGGTGTGTTCGGTGTTTACATAGTCATAGCACAAACTATTCTGTGGCTCTTGAAAAATCAGTCAAAATGCTCAAAAAACTCTGGCAGTATGGGACTCTGTTCTGAAAATGGCTGGCAGTCAATGAGTTAATACCTGTTAAACTTTGTGTCGCTCAGAAAAAGGTAATGATCTATACTTTTCTAATAGAAGAGAAGATTGAAATGGACCGCTCAAAGGGAGCTTATCCACCAAAGCCGAATCGCTCCCTGACTCATTTATTACTAATTGTCCATTGTATGCCCACAGACCACTGCTCCCTCGAGCTCTGCAGCCGCAACTACGCTTTCATAGACGAAGGGCCCACGACGTGGGCCGGGGCCCAGACCTTCTGCCGCCAGAGGTCCATGGACCTGGCCGCCATCCACAGCGCTCAGGACATGAACGCGGTGGTGGACGCCATGCAGGAGAAAACCCCTCAGGACTTCTGGATCGGGCTGTACCACGACCAGCCGAGGTGGCGGTGGTCGATGTCGGACGACGATGACCACGGGGACGCCACAGACCCGTTCAGGAACTGGGCTCCCGGAGAACCCGGCGAACAGCCCGGCCAGCACTGCGCGGGCATGCAGGACACGGGGGAATGGAGAGACCTGGATTGCGGCTCGCTTAACTTCTACGTCTGCGTTGACGGTAATGTTCCGTTTTGACTGATTGACATAATCTGTGCGCTTTTTGGGCCCTTTCAGTTCGTTCTTGCACCAGTTGGCACAGTGGAATGGACCCCTCTCGGCCTTAGGTTCATCTGGTATATTAAGGGGCTTGATATCTGACCTGAATTTGATTGTTTGGTGGCTTCCGTCCAAATATGGTTGCAGCACAAGTATGGCCTTCTTTTCTTTCCTAAAATGGATGAATATCTTTAAGGTCAGATGTGTAATCGTCTGGTTTTTCCCTTGTAATCTTTGGGCCTTTTTTAAAGGGAATATTAATTCATCTCTGACCTGTCAATTCAGGAGTTGATATTAGATGCCTTCATATCTGTTCAAAGAACAACTTTAGATTCATATCTAGCTTTGACTCGTTCTCCAGTCCTTGTGGAGCATCCCTGAAAATGAAAAATATCCTTTGTTTTGTGTGTTTTTTTGCAGGGATTGTGTAAAAATTGATCCAATTCTTTGATATCTTCCATTGTGCACGGCGGAATTCTTCTGTTGCTTTCAACATTTTCCAATACTCTGTGTGTCTGTATTCATTTTTCCGCGTCCACAGGCAGAGAAGGGGCATCTCAAACTAAGACTCTCGTGAAAAGGCCGACGACGTGGGCCGATGCTCAGCAGAACTGCAGGAAGAGCTACTCGGACCTCGTCAGGGTGAGGGATCCGGCCGAGAACGAGGAGATTCGGAAAACGGTGCCAGCAGGGAAGCTGGTCTGGATCGGCCTTTACGGAGACTCCTGGAAGTGGTCTGATGGAGGGGACGCTATGTTCAGATACTGGCGGCCGGGGCCAGCTGACGGCTCTGGGGAAGGAGCAAAATGTGCTCAAGTCAGTGGAGGCGCATGGAGAGTGGAATCCTGTGATGCCAAATCCATGGTTCTGTGCTACTGTAAGCACATTTTATCATCCATCATACATGCATAATCTATGTTTTTTTGTGTTTTTTAAATTAAACCGGGAATAGACTTGACCAGCCAGGGTGTACCCCGCCTCTCGCCGATTGACCACGGGGATAGGCTCCAGTCCCCCCGCGACCGTATTAGGGAATGAGCAGTTACGAAAATGGATGGATGGAATAGAATTTACTAAATAAATCTCAGTGGACTAAATAATGTCCACTGTGTAAATCACACATTTACACAGTGTGATTTAGCGGTTGGGAAAATTTTGAACAAACAAGCCATTTCAACTCTTTTTCAGATTACAAGAAGAGGACTTTGGTGAAAATCAGTGCCAGCATTGACATGTGCGACCCGGCTATCCAGCAGCAGATCCAAAAACAGGTGGGAGAGGAGAGGATTTACACCACAGCTTTCAAATGAACTCTGTCTGAATCAGAAAATCTGCCTCCATCTAGTGGTTCACAGTTAAGTTCATCAGTTTGAAAGAAAAGCCAAATTAACTGTGAGCCTCGCAGTAAAATAGAACCCCAACAAAAACAGAATTGTTGTTTGTTTCCCAGCTGGAGGGAAAGCTCCTAAAAATGGGAAACAATAACTTTAAGGTCCATTGGAGGAGGACTATGAGACAACTTCCAGACAAGAATGAAGAAGCACGGTAAGAGTTCTGTCATCCTCTGCTTTTTTTAAAATAAAAAATCTGTAAAATATTTTTTCTACCTACCTACCTTCATACCTACCTACCTACCCACCTACCTACCTATCTGTGTTTTAAACAGGTTCACTTTTTGTCTCTCTTCTCCTCGTTTTAAAGTGTGTTTTCTTTAACAGGTGTGTGCCAGCCAAAGAGGGCTGATTCTTTGTGGACCCCGCAAGCCTTCTTCATGGTACTTCAGACTATTAGAGACCCTCAGCCAATGATACTTGGCAAAAACAGTTCCATATTGTAGTCTATAATGGTGTAGTTTTTTGGTGAACTGTAAAAACAGCCAGGAATTCTGTTATTATAAAAATGCATTTGGAAGAATTCATCTCCTCACTATTGTCCATCCATTATGTCGCTGAATGTACCTTCCCAGATGCCGTAGTATCCAGAGAGATTCCTGGAACTGTTTTGATCAGAGCCTGCTTTTAAGATGGCAAATCTGAACCTTTTTGTCCTTTTCTTTTTAGAATTTAAAGTTTTCTTCTTTTGAAGGTATACAGTTTTTTTAAAGCCCTGTAGTTCATTCTCTGAACGATGGAGTACTTTGCCTGAGCCAATTAACTGTTTGTGACAAATAGTCAAGAGGAGTCTGAATTCGAGATTCTTAGCTCACTTCCACTTTTTTTATTACTTCTTGAAACTTTGCCTAAAAGTTGTTTGATGCCATAAATCAGACCGAATCTGGGATTTTGACATCACTAAGCCTTAAAAGAAAATGTGTGTAGAGATCATGTATGCATTCTTTTCAATAATTTTGTCATTAGTAAATAGTCATTAAAATGAGTGTTAATGGAAATTGTTAAATTGAAATAAAGATGAAAGCTACAACATTTCTGTTACTTTTTTGTTTAACTTTTTTCACTTCTGCTTAGAAGATTCCAAGAAGAGGTACAGGCCAGTAGGCATCTCTCAATTTAACTATTTTCACATAAACTTAAATGTTTGATTTTAGATCCCTCTTCCTATATCTGTTAATGGCTTCCCGCATCGCCATTAGTTGCTTATTTTGTGTCCTTTTGTCAATGTCTTCCGAGCAATTTGACCTTTTCAACTAGCGAAACGGCCGAAAATGAATCGGCAAACACCTAAACCACAAAGAAGTTTAAGGTGAGATTAAAAGCCTCTGCTCTGCTACTAATCTGATTCTGTGAAGGGATTCGCTCCTGGAGCAGGTGAGAGCGAAAAATACAAAGAAAAAACAGACCTACCTAATAAAGCAGAATCAGTCTTGACACGTCATCATCTGCTTACCGTTTCAGAGCCAGTCGGACAAGCAGAGCGTGACTGATGTTAAGATCAGCTGGCGAGATGACAAAAACGTAACCAATGCCAAAAACAGAACAGGTGGGTGTGTTGTTTTATGGGGGGAAATGATGCAATAAACCAGTTCCACCTGCAAATACTTGGATTATTTTTGGATGGCTTCTGAAAGAAGCCAGTCACTCTTTAACGTCCTGAGACCCGAGCTTTTATTTGGCATGCATTTTAGCTTTTTTTTTAAAGATATATGAGATACATATTTAATTAAATGTTTTTACAATTTTGTTCTGACAGTCCCATTGACTTATTTACATTTTTTCTATTACACAATAAGAACACGATTGGATGGAAATGTATAAAACCATTTTACTTTAGATTTCAAACAGTGTCTGGTAGCATCTGCTATGAGGTCAAGAGGTCAAAGCTGAAAGAAAAAAAGAAGTATCATGGTAAAGAGAGACAAAAATGCAACGTCCACTTATGAGGACACAGGGTCTCAGGAGGTTAAGAATAAAGGAACGCTTATGTTTTTCTCTCAGCGTGACTGAGGAGTGGATTGATTTATCCACTGATTGTTTCAGAAACTACATGCGAAACTAAGGTAGATGATTCACTGTGTTACATTTTTGCAATGGAAAGCGAAACATACGAGCGTGCCCTCACTTCAACAGATATAGCAAAGAGTCATGTTATCCAGGATAACAAAACAAAGGATTTATGACTTTTGCACAGTTAGTTTCTTGTTATTTAGGTGAAATTGTATTTGGTTACTTTAAAATTAGCAAATAAAAACAGACATATATATATATAGGTGAGGTAAAGATCCACAGAGGAAGAAAGAAATCTCAATACTCTCTTAAACCTTTGTTTATTCAAATGTTTTGATGAGGATGTTTTTTATTATTGACTGTGGGTGCAGTTTATTGTTTTTCTCATGGAAAATGTTCCCTGAAAAAGTATTTTCCTTTAGAATGTTTTTCTAAATTATTTTCTGGAATCGTAGGGCCAGCTTTCACAACGTGACAGAAATGAATTTTGTCACGTGGTGTCAGAGTTATTCAAAGTTTTTTAGTTTGTGTTCCAATTACATCCTAATAAATTTAGAACAACATGTAGGTACGGTATGTACTATGTGCTGTATTATTTGAAAACAAAACGTGAAACCGAACTTGAAGCCTTCTTTGAAAGTGATGACGTACAGGAAACTTTGCAGGACTTGAACATCGTTTCTGGAGAAACAAAAGTTATGTGGTTAGATGGAATGTCCCCTTTCATCAAAAACACGTGATGGACGATGAGTATGCACCGCATAACCTGTAGTATGATTAAGCAAAAGAATTCATGGTATAGTGGGGGGTGTGGCTCAAGCTCTGAATAAATAAACCTGCATCGGCTCTCCAGTCACCCACACACCTGCCGGAGCTGACACAGGTAACACTATTTGATTTACTATTTGATGTCAGTGCGTGCTGGATGGATGCTGCAGAGAGAAACACAAATTGAACATTTGAAATTTGCTGCGATGTCTGTATCTTTCTTTAGATTTTTTAAATCACTGAATTAATTGGGACATAAAAAATGTAGTTAAAGATGAAAAATTCTGATATATTCTTTTGGGATTTTTTGCCTGTGTACTTTTTTTTCCCATTTTGCATTAATTCAGATCAATCATCTACAACCGGGAATTCCTCTTTGATGGTAATGTTTTGTGTTGCCTTCAGGAATCTGCAACCAACCAAACAGGTTTGATCAACAGACTTATCATACCATCTCTTCAGGTATGTGCTCTGCATTAGTCTATTTCTGTGAACTGTTCATCATACACATCTTGCGCATTGTATTAAGAACAAAAAACAACAACATTTTATCCATTTATTTGACAGTTGTCTCTCGTCATCTTCAGGTATCGGAACATCAGAGCTTTGTCTCATTTCCGCCCAATTTTCTTAAGCCACCCCATTTGAAAGTCACTCAGTAAAACATGATAAACGGCACAGAGCAGCACCAGGCTGAATGTGAGGAGAAGGAGCAAGCTAATGATTTATTCCATCAGTCGAAGCGGGAAATTTCACAGTATGTTGAAAACTACCCCAAATCCAATAACACTGAGTTGTTCTCCATACTGTCACTGCTGAACGCATACCTTCCTGAGTCCTACCTGCTCATGGAACAGTGTCAAAAAATCCTCGGCCCACCTGATCCCATCCATGGAGGGCCGCCCTTCGAAGAGCGAATGAAGCCTTTCAGCACCCTGATCCGTGTAGAGTCTGAACGGGTGTATTTGATTCACCAAGTGACTGCAGAGAAATCTGTGGAGCTTCTGGACAGCTTGGCAATATCCAGAAGTGCCACACTGAAGGCTTACATGCGCTTACTTTGTGGACAGATGGACCCACCAGAAATGATCCAATTGACAAAAGATTTACTGACAAAGAGACAAATTGACAAAGGAAGAAAAAAATGCTTCTCTAATTTGATCACAGACATAATGGAGCAGGAGGAATTTGATGAAGCTGTCTCTGTCTTAAAGATTGCATCTGGTAAATTCAAGCAAGTATACAATTTCCCCCAAACTGTTGCTCGTCTGTTTTTACAAAACAAAATATACAACAAAGCAGTAAAATGGGCAAAGACTGCGATTGAAAGAGCTGAAAACAACTCCTATGTTGCTGACACTCTTGGACAGGTGTATAAGAATGAATTAAAAGGGGTCAAAAACAGCAGTAGTGTCGAAAAAAAGGCCAAACTGGCCTTTGAAGCCTTCAAAAAAGTGGAGGAGAAAGCTGAGAGAGAAGAAGGACCAGAGATGACAGACATGGCTGGCTCGATAAACGTGTCAGATTCCTTCAACAACAGGGGCCTTTTTGGTTTCTGTCAAGTGGCAAAGATGGTCCATGAAAAACTTGGACATAAGAAAGCTATATCTCTTTTGGCAGATAAAAAAATGGAAGTTGAATACAAATTTGAATTTTTCGAGTGGTATCTGAGCTACTCCAAGCCCGACATTGAAACTGATGAGCCAGATTACTTCTGGAAAGATGTTGTGCTTTGTTATGAAAGATACACAGGAAAAAAAGCAGCCGACTCCAGCAGCTTTCCAGGCCTCATCGATTGTCTGAATCACGGCCGTTTCACCTCAAAGGGAAAGCGTGCTAGGTTTAGAGAGACTGAGATAACAACAGAGTCTTTACAGGGAGTCCGAGATCGTTTTTATCTCCATCACAAAACTTCCTCAGATGATGTGAAAGTGGCAGAGAGGTACATCCTTTCAAGCATCCTTGTGAGCAACAGGTTACCTCATCGTCCTCAGGACACAGTGGTGGAGGGACTCCAGGGAATCGTCCGTAGATTCCTGCAAACTGAGGAGAGGTACAGAAGCCCTGAGTTTTACCTCTTAGCTCTGCTGCTGTTTTGGCCAGAGGAAAATCCTCAGCCGCTGCCGAAAACGGATGAGAACGGGTCCAAACATGAGACAACAGAGGACAGCGGACCTCAAGACCAGTGCTTGGAAGAAGGGGACACTGATGAGGAAGAAGACAAGGGAAGAGAGCCCAAAGTGTCCCCTGACCAGCTGTTTGAACCTTATCTGCAAGGTCTAGTTACTTTGATGAGCGAGGCATACAAGAGAGCCAAGTATGCCAAATACCTCCGAGGCCGCTACCTGCTGCCACTATTTTATCTGGGAAGGGGCTCTGGCCTGAACAGATGGGTTCACAGATCTAGACTGGATGCGATTGTGGAGGCGAAAGTGGACCCTAAGACCTCAAATAAACCTATTAGGAACGGAGAAAAGAGGAAGCAGATCAACTATTTGTGGTCCAGTGGAAAGGTGTGGCAGATAGGAGAAATCCAAGAAATCCTTCAACCCGTCAAGTTAGAGTCAGTGACCACAGAGAAGAATGTGGTGTTTGTTTATGCTGGAGGGAAGAAAATACGAGTCAGAGCAGATTATGAACAAAAGCAAGGACCAGTCCTTTTTTATCTTTGCTTTAACATCCAGGGTCCACTTGTCTTCTCTAACTGTTCTCGGACACGGACAGGTCAACGAGCTCATTAAGATGCTAAAGATATAGTTTAGTCCACCGAACAGCAGTACGCTGCTGTTTTATATGTTATTTACATGACAGGAAGTAAACTGCTTTCTTGTTAAAAGGAAGAACGATCATCCCTTATGTCAAAACTAACCAGATAAAGCATTAGATACGTTTTTGACATGGAAAATGTTGTAAACTCTTGCACGAACCTTTGCTGAGATGTTGAAGAAAAGGTTATGTTTTGTTTTGTTTCAGGGTTTTTTAAAGTTATAGTTAAGGAGTCATGCATAGACAGAAAATCTGAATTATATTATTATTAATTTCTCTGTACATTTTTTCTTAAAGAACACTAAATGGAATTGGAAATCTAACCTTGTATGTGATCTATCTGACAATAAAACGTAATGTATAATGGATTGTTTGTTTTACTCATTTATTCTTTTAATTTAAGTCTCAACTTTAGCCCAAGTGTTGAAACCACTTGACACTGTTAGGGTTGGCTGCATTCAGGTGTGCTTGGTATTTGTGGTGTTCTCGAAGTTCCATGAGTTCGCGTGTATTTTTTCGAGATTCTTGTTCTCTTCTCATATGACAGATTGGTTCGTTACAGCTTCGACATTAATTTTATATATCACTGTAGTGTAGTTTAACAGAGATACACAATTTACGACTTCTTAACACTCCTCACATTCTCAAATCAATAAAATATTTGTAGTTACCCAATAGAACTGCTACTAAATTACCACAGACCAGCCCCCAAATGGTGAAATACTCTAGAATGCTAATCTTAATTTTTTTGCACTTTTAATTTTTAAAAATTCTCCTGCAGCTAGAAAGATATTTACAACAACGGCTATACAGCATTTTTAGCCACTGGACTCAGCAATAACAAAAACGCGGGATGAAAACTTTCCGACGGTCAGTGAAGGCAGCGTTTTCCCCGCATCATCCTGCTCTGCCTCAGTTTCACTTCTGTCCGTCCGTGCGTCCGTCCGTCCCACAGGTGTGCGTCCACTCGCCCTTTTTGTGTGACATGTCGAAAGCTCTCGATGGCGAAACGGAGCGCGCCGGGGCCGGATGCTTTACGTGGACCGGGTGGGCTTGTTTGCGGAGTTCATGGGGATCAAAAAGAGGGGAGCTAGCGGCGGTTACGCTGACACGCTAGCCCCGGCACGACAGGTGCACCGCGGCGTCGAGATTTGAGACGTTAGCCTCGGCGAAACGGACCCGGAAATCGGCTTTTTCAGCTTTTTACGACGGCAAAATATAAACTACATAAACCGCCAAGGTAAGAACCCGGAAGTGGTTGTTTATTTTTTTTTGCGGAGGGTTTGTACTTTTTTGTATTTGTTGTGCTTTAGCTTATCTCTGTGCCACCAAACTCAGCCAGAGGGAGATTAGTGTAGCAGCCGTTGGTCGGTTAGCTAGTCGTTGGTTCCCCCCTTAAAAACAGTTTAGTTTCCTAGAATGTCACTAGAACAACTGCTGGGTTAATCCCCGGGGTACCTTTTTAAATGGCCTGCGTGGCAGGTGGACGGCTGGAAGCCAAAGTAAACCACACAGAGCCGGTTTTTAAGGGTTATCTTCGGGTCAGAACCTTTGAGCCCAGCGGAGACTGTTTTCAACCAAACAACGGGAACAACATCATAGAGCCCCATAAGTCAGAGCCAGAATGTGTATAATGGCTCTCATATTGTTTCTTCCATTTGTATTTATACTTTTTTAGGCTAAAAAGGGAGAAGGGAGTGTCACACTTTCGTTATGTCATACAGATAAGGGCAAATATCACACCATAGATTGTGTAATTTTAAACTAATTTGAAATTGAACTGATCTTACGAGAGAAACTTGCTTAGTTCTCCTTCTATGAAGCACAATTCAGATTCAGTAAGTTATTATTCTTTTACATTTTTTAATATAAATGGATGAATAATAAAAGTTTCTACTTCTGTCTTTAATTTCACTGGTTGATCTTTTTGAGGGGTTTTGTGCTGGGAAAGTCTGACACCGTGAATGGATTAAGCGAAATGCAGTTGTGTTTGTGTTTTATGTGTGTTTGTGTGAATCTTATAAACTCATTTTAAAATTTGGAACGTGCGCATAAAGAGAAAAATGTGTGCTGACATTTCTGTTCTTTCTATGAAACAATAAAACTGTGTCCATTGCTAAGTTACTTATTAAGACCCAATTTAGCTTCTCTTCCATATCTGCTGAGAAGTTGACTGTTTTATTTATTTATTTTTCTTGACTGAAAGGAAGATTTTGACTGGTTTGAGCATTTTTAGTGAGCTTTTAGTGAAAAATGTTAATCAAAATGCCTAATTGCAATTGTTTAAAACTCACAAATGCAGCTTAGTTTGAAGTCTGACAGATAGAGGTTAGGACAGAGTTAAATAAGCAGGCATTGATAAGGTAACCGTGTCATTTTTCTTCAGTTTCTGGACGCCTCTGCCTCACCTCCCAGGGCTCAGAGCCTAAAACGGCGACATGGCCTCGGCCCAGTCGGAACAGTCCAGCGTCCTCCAGGAGGAGCTCACCTGTCCCGTGTGCCTGGACTTGTACCGAGACCCCCACCTGCTGCCCTGCGGGCACAACTTCTGCAAGACCTGCCTGGACCGCCTGAAGCGGCAGGCGGAGCGAGGCCGCTTCCGCTGCCCAGAGTGCCGCGAGAGCCACCGCTGCGGCGCCAGCTTCCAGAAGAACTTCAAGCTGGCCAACATAGCCGACGACTACCGGCACCGGCGCAGGGCCACCTCCGCCGCCGGCGCCGCCGCCGCTTTGAAGTCCCGGGAGCTGCTCTCCGCCTCGCTGGCGGCGCCCCCGGCCAAGAGCGCCCTGGCCGTGCCGTGCGACTACTGCCCGCCGGCGGGCGCCGAGGCCCCGGCCTGCGGCACCTCCGGGGACGGACCCCCCGTTTCTCAGGAGGGCGACGACAGGCAGGAGGCCGCCGCCTGCGCGCCCATGCTCGCAGTCAAGACCTGCCTGAAGTGCGAGGTGTCCATGTGCCAGGAGCACGTGAAGCCGCACCTGGAGCTGCCGGCGTTCCGCGAGCACCCTCTGACCGAGCCCATGAACGACTTCTGGAAGAGGAAGTGCCCCGACCACGATGAGATCTACAGGTTGGGGGCTTTTTGTTTTCCCCTATCATGGTGCCACTGACTCTTTGCTTTTGTTCCACTGATGTTTAAACCAAGATCCCCCGCTAATCCCCACAAAAGGGACCGCTTCCTTTTCTGATCGTTTAAAAATCTCTGCTGTTTGGGATTTCAGAGGTTTTCTGGGCTGAATATTTGGTCATTTTGGTGATTAAACTTGGACAGCTTGGCTGTTCCGGACGGAGGCGCTTTTGTTTCAATAGCCAAGTTCTAGGAAGAGTTCAATTGTTGTCTAAATCTGAAGCTATAGTTTGTATATGAAGATTTCTCTGGTGATTTCAAACATTTAGAAAAAAAAACCTAATAGTTTCCTGTAACCGATGGTGTGTGAGACTTGCTTTCGTGTGTTCCTCAGATACTACTGCATGGATGACAAGATGTGTGTGTGCAATGCCTGCACCATAGAGGGAGGACACTCGGGACACACAATCAAGACCCTGAAGAACACAATGAAAGATCTGAAGGTAGCGTTCCCGTCAGCTTTTAGGCGCTCCTCCTGGTTTAGGTCGTCTTGGTTTCGGATTTTTACAGCTTGTCGCGATTCAATGGTGTATCAGAAAAAGTTCTGAGATGCATCTGGAATCCTAAAGAATGAACTCTCAGGACTGTTTGTGTGTGTTTGTCTTTGTGTGAATGAATGAAGAGAGTCACGTGACTTTTCCGAGCCTCTGTGTGTGTGTGTGTGCGTGTATGTGTGTGTGTGTTGAATCCACTTCCTGTTCTTTTGTTCTCCTGAACAGAGTGCAGCATTGAGATGCTTCTGGCTCACTGCTGCAGGCTCCACGTCCGGCTGAATGTTTCATTCAAAAGTGACCCAAAACCAGCTTATGGGGCTGAATTTAGAAAGGCGTACTCTTCCAGATAAGGTGTTAGCAGCACCTCCATTAACGCTGGGATTTGGCGGGATTTCACACTGATGACAGATTGACATCCCTGGAAGAGTCCTTAATATATTTATGTAATAGATTAATACACAGATTGTGTCACGCTGTTATTTAAAAACAGATAAAAGCAGGGGGCATCCCACCCTTGCGCAATCTCAGCGTTTGTTTTCAGAACTAGAGAATCAGCCAAAGACCCGGGGCTGTGCGGTCGTGCTCCACAGGCTCTAACCCTTTCACCTCACAGCTGGTGCCGAGACACTCTGAGCCTCCACCTAAGCCATTTCTCATGATCCGCCTGTCGGTGCTCTCCAGGGCACGCTGGACAAGCAGCTGTACAGGGTGGAGAGGAAGTACAGCCTGGCTGAGAAGAAGCTCCAGGAGCAGAAGGAGAAGGAGAGGCAGAACAAGGTAAAGATGGCACACCCAGCGAGTCGGATCCCACCAGTGGGAGCAGCTTTTCGCTGGTCTCTCGTGATGCTGTCAGTTTGAAAACCTCTGCTGGTGTTCTGTTGATCGACTTTTCGCTCCCAAACGCGACTCTGATGACACACGCGGTCATAAAAGGCTAAAGAGTGAGTTATATAAAAAACCTGAGTTTCAGCCTGAATAGTCCTAAAGCCTCAAAGGGCTGATTGGAGCGTGTGACATGTCTCCATTCATTCTGTTTTCCTCGTTTTCCTCCTGCTCAAATACAAACCGGTCTGCTCTGTGACTTCGGGATTTTCAGCACCATGGACAGCAGCCTGAAGATGGCGTTGGCATTTTTTCTTCCAAGAGGCTCATCATATATTTATTTAATCCTTTTTTTTGTCACCATAAATTATACAAAATAACCTGCAAATGAATTACTAATGAATAAAACACATTATGTCAAATGATTGTTGTGTATGTGGCTGTAGGAGTAGCGTTTTGCACAATTTTGAAGTACAGAGTCATATACCCATCTCTGATTTGATGTGTAATGCTGCTAAAGCTCCAACTATGGACAGTAACTGTCAGACTCACAGAGCAGAAGAACAGTAACGCTTCGAGCTCATCTGTAGCTAAACTTTGTAGAGCCTCGGCCTTGGTGCTATAGATGCTGCGGTAACGCGTCCAAACCGGCACCAAGCATACATTTCTGACCTCTAAAACCAGTTTGTCTCACCCCATCAGAAGTTCATGGACGACTCCGAGCAGTGCCTGACCCGGCTGGGCGAGGAGATGAAGGCCAAGGTGCTCCGCTTCATCGGCCGGCTGCGCGAGTGCACGCGCACGCAGTGCGACACCAACGGGCCGGCCATCCAGAAGAACATCTCCAGGATCAGCCAGGACCAGGCCCGTCTCCAGGAGGTGCGCTGTGGCCTTGAAAGCCTCATGCAGGAGAACGACCCCTTCCGATTCATCCAGGTGAGTGAGCCCTGTTCAACACGAGGACGTAACGGAAGAGAAACGGCGTTCGCTGTGGACCCGTTGTCCTTTGATTCTTTTTTACGTGTGTTTTAAATGCTGTTTGTCCTCTTTTTCAGGCTTACAAGACAGCAGGAAAACAGTAAGTGCCGTTTTCATCATCATACCTCCTTATTGATTCATTCATTTAGATGTTTCCGGTTTAAGAGCAGAGGTTGGATTATTTTTTTTTCTTTTACTATTTAAAAAGTAAAAAAAAAAAAGATGAATTTTTTAAAACAATAAAATTAGGGTTTTTTCAAATTAGGCCCGAAAGATTTTGTCCTGACACGTCACTATGTTTTTGTCATTAGTCCCACATACAGCCAACGGATTATATAATTTTAATTTTATACATTAAAACCTGCCTCTGATTCACACTTGTCAAACCCCGCAGGAACTATTGGAATCTTAACAGAACTGTATGTTTTGGGTTACATGTTATAATCCTCACATTTCAGAAAGCCGTCGTACAAACAAAAGCTGCTAAAATCAGCACATTGGAAGCCCAGATCTTTGTGCCGTGCCTCTCCTTCCAGGTGCCGCAGGCAGCTGAGGAAAAACATGTTTTACCCCGAATACGTCGACATGGAGACGGAGGTCCTCGGAGTGATGATGGAGGAGGAGATGAGAAAATTCCTCGATGAAGAGCTGCCGTGCCACATAGTGGCGGCCATCAACTCTCTGTGTATGAGCCCCTCCTCAGACCGCCGGCTCCAGCTGGTTTCCCCAGAGAGGACGAGGCCGCCAACACAAACCTGACCGCCTTGAATTTCTCTCCGGCCTTTCAGGTCACCTGTCGGATCCCGAGGAAGAGGAGGAGGAGCAGGAGGATAACGAGGAAGAGGCCGTGGAGGAGGAGGAGGACGACGACGACGAAGACGACCTGGACGACAGCAGCGAGGAGGAAGTGAGGAGTGAGGGGGAGGAGGAAGAGGAGGAGGACGACGAAGAGGACGACATACACGACCGGAGCGAGGCGGGCGACGACCTTTACAGCCCGGGCGAGGAAGACGACGAAGAAGAGGAGGATGAGGACGGGGACGGGGAGGATGAAGACGAGGAGGAGAGAGGCGTTTAACCGAGGAACGCATTCAGGAGGCATTCGGATGCCGTGCGCGGATGTGCAGATGCTTTCACACTCGCCGGCGTCTCGCCATCTGAATGTTCCGAACTCCAGCAGCAGCCAGGTGTTTTGCCCCGACCCAGCCGGAGCCGGAGAATCTCATGCTAAACCCGTGATGCTAAACATAAATCAGGTGCTCCATGTTAAATATCTGCTGTAGACAAGTGCGCGCACACCGGAATTTGAATGTACCTCGGCAGAATCCGGCCGGAGACGCCAGCAGGGGAAAAACTGTTGCACGTCTGCGGTGCCAGGTTTTCTACCACTTTGATAAAAAAAAAGCTATTTTACAAGATGCCTAAACAGTGTCAGTTGTTTTGGAGGACTCACACACATTTGCACAAACTCTCAGTCTAACTGGTGCAGATAGAAGTCCATCACACGCGCTGCTTTAGAAAGGACTCCTTATGAATTAGCCGCTTGTGACTCAAAGTTTTCCATTTCCACAGTGAGCCTTTTATTTACTGCTTTTGTCACGATATTTGTCAGCATGTGTGACCTGAAACAAGCTTAAGCGACAAATGGATACGGATCGACTTGAAGAAGTCCCGTCCTTTAGTTGAACACGGCAAGCCAAAGATGAAGTGTTTGTGTGGATGGATCGTCTGCTTTGCATGCTGTTTAGATAGATGGAAAGAGAGAAGTTTACTGAATGATTTTGCTCTTCATAGTTTTGCTTTAAAAGCAGTAAATGCGTTGCTAAAAAAAAGAGTTTAATTTCAATGCACATTCATTCATTTATATTTATGGATATCGGTTTCGGATGGAAATTCAATTTTGCACACAAATGTTATGTTTGGCCTAGAATTTTGAATGTCAGAAACTGATTTTCATTTTGATATGTTTAACTTTATGAGGGGCCAAAATGACTAATGAATGGTTAAGTATTATTAATAAAGCCTGTTGAATGCAAATCAGTTAAATAAAACTTGTGGCTTTTGACTTTGTTCGATTTTTGTAGAATTTGAGGTTGTTAACCTAAAAATAACAAGACTTTAATAAAGCTTTTACTGTTTACGTTTTTAGTTGAATTAATTTACTGAAGCGTTATAATTTACGCTGTTAAATCTCCTTTTTCTTTTTCTTTTTTCTTACAAAGAACTGAAAAAGGTAGAGAGCATCCGGAACGTTTGCTCGTGTACACGATGCCGACGGGCATAATTGTCAACGTTCCCGTTTCCTGCTTTCACTTCCGGTCGCAACAAGCTCACGCTCTGCGTGTGAAATTGACTGTTTCTCACTTCGGACATTTAAATAGTAAAACATTTTAGTTTAAGGTCAGGTTGTGTGCAGTTCTGGGTAAGTTCTGGTTCAGCGCAGCCGAGTCATGAACCCCGTCTTCCGGAAGGTAAGCCCCGCTAGCTGGACGTTACCTCACAGAGGTCACAGTAGCAGAAGATTCAGAAACATGTACGAAAAAGATGAAAGCTAGTCCTACTTTTTTCTTCCCGTCCAGCTGCAGGTTTCTGTCTCCCAACATGCTCTCATGCTGAATAGAAGCCTTCCAATATGCAGGTAATTAAAAAAAATGATTTATTTGACTCCAAATTGTGGTTTGAAGCGTGTATTGACAGCAATAATACGTTAATTACCATCACGTATACCTGCTGAGATCTGGGGAAATTATTTAGGAAGCCCACCGATCTATCCGGTGAGAGGAGAGGGAGGTACTACAGACGTGTGTGTGTGTGTTCCTCTTCACTAGAATGCAAAGAGCACATCTACTTCTGGTGGGAGTTTGGGTTCCTCAGTAAAAATGGAAACAAGCAGGAGAATGTGTGGACTGTCTCAGCCACTGTCTGACGGTGCCCCAATGTCTGAAAATACGAGGAAGTATGCATACTTCCTTTCCTAAAAGGGTGCGACGCCAACCGCCTGCGCCATGATTTTGATTGATTTAACCGAAGGAGGTTTGTTCATGCAGAGGCTTCCTCAGCTTTGCCTCAAAACACAGAAAGTTCCAGGACGACGAACATAACCCCGTTGTTGAGGATAAAAAACTCCACACCTCCACCTGACCTGAGACTTGACTATAGATCTGTCAGATCTCAGAAAACCTCACGATTCAGAAAGGATGCAGGTAACAGTCAAAAAAGATGCAATTAAAGCTCCATATTCTCTTCTGATCTCTCCCCCTTGCAGGTCCACGCCGTCCATCCGGCACCCCGTGTGGTGTAAGTAGCCAAGTCCTGCTATGGGGGGAAGCGTTTCTCCTTTGGGGCGACTGTGTAAGACTGAGTCGGATGTTGTTTTTCTTCCAGGCGCGGCGTCCGCTAACGACCGACTATACAGAAGCATGCCGACCCACGGGATTGGCCGGTGGAGGAATTTCTTACCCAAGCAGGCGGTGAGTCTGTGAACCACGACTCAAACTCCGATGTAAAATACCCACACATTGTGACAAATCACATCTAATTAAGACCCTTCGTGGGCATCAGCGACTTTTTGTTCCTTACAGCACGAGGCATGCGCCCAGTCAGGTCCCAAAGCTGCCCTCCTATTTACAAACAACCCAAGAGCAGAGTAGGTTCAAAATGGGCGTCTTTTGTGTATTATAGAATATTAAATACAGTCTGCATAACATAACAAATTGTGCTTTAACTTAAACAAAAAAGATTTACCCTGTAATATAATGATATACCTACTTTTGTAGTAAATCTCCAGGCAATTTGTTTATGCAGCGCCTTTATTTTTGTAAAAGTAGAAAGAAATGAGGGGAATAAGCCTTTGTTATTTTTTGTTCTTTTCCACTTACTGAACCAGTGATAAGAGTTCTGTTGTCAAGAGCATAAAAAGGCTTTTAAAAAGATATATATGTATATTTTTTTTAGAAAAGGCCTCATGTCCCACTTCCTGATGCTAGCCTCGTCCCAAAGCCGCTTTTAACCGATGAGACTTGCTCCCCTCCAGATGCTTCTTGGATTTAGTTTCCGTCCCTTTTTTTTTTTTTCCTGTTTCAGCCAAAGAAAAAGAAGGACAAGCAGCAGATGAAGCAGATCGTGGCGGCGACCGGCACGGCGCACGGCACCCTGAACGTGGCGGTGTCTGGCTACGACATGACGGTGGTGGAGCACTACTCGCAGTTCATCCACAACCTCTGCAACCGGCTGGGCGTCAAAGTGGCAGAAAGGCGAGTTCCCCCATGTCCCGTTCCGAGGCGTCCGTCAGCGCCCCCTCCCCCCCCCGCTCGCCCCCATGACGGCCGCCGTGTTTTGTCCCCCGCCTGCCTCACGCCTGTCGGCCTTTTCTTTCTCCACGCACAGCTACGCGCTGCCCACTGAAGCCACGGAGGTGCTGCTGGTCCAGGAGCAGGGCGCCAAGACCTACGTGGACGCCGTCCTGAAGACCCACCGGCGGGTGGTCCAGGTGAAGCCCCGCCCCCCGCCGCCGCTAGAGCGCGAAGCCTCCGGGCCCGTGCCGAGCGCCGGCCGCTCAGTGCTGCCCTCTCTGTGTGTCCAGGTCAGCAGCCTGGATTCCACCCTGTGTCCCGTCTTCATGGACGTGGTTCTGAAGAATCAGCCGGAGGGCGTCCAGCTCTCTGTAAAGGAGGTGAGTCTCGTCCAGGGGCGGGAAACCACAGAGGTCGTTGGGGTTTTTTTTTCTATCAAGGGGGATGTCTTTTAGATGGATTTTAAAAAAAAGGTTCTGACCATGAGAGAGCAAAATGTAGCAAATTCTGCCTAAAATGTAATCTAAAGTATCATCTGATAAGTCTTGTCAGTATTTTTTGCAACAATGGGGTTTAAATGGGGGGAAGAAAAGACAAAAACTGTTGGATTCTGTCTTTAATTGGCATCAGCATTAGATTTGGGTTCGTTTAAACTACAAGTTATCACTAGATGTTGCAGATATTTAACACAGATGCAATTTGAATAGTTTGATATAGGAGTTGAATTAAATGTTGGCTACAGCTCCCCTAAAGAGACGTCGCTCTCCAGTAAGGACCTTTTATTATAAGCTCTACACGTTTCCCTTTTGGATTTCTGTTGGTTTAATTGGTATATTCTCTCTCTCTTTTTACTAAGAGGAATCTCCCCACGTTTTAGTCTGAAACACTGTTAACTGGGCACACAGACGGTCTTAATTTACTTAGTTATTTAATTATTTGTGCTAGGAAAAGTCTGATACTTTACAGTGAAGAAAAAGAGAAGTATTCAATCTCTCCGTTTGGTGTTTAATTCATAGCTGAAGTCTTCCACCCACTCATATCCTTTTTTTTGGGTACTTGGCAATGAGTCTCAGTGGTAGAAAAGTTGAATCCGATCTGTAAACCCTCCAGCCGCCCAATAAGCTGCGTCTGATGGTTCTAAAACCGTCTCTTTTTTCCTCTTCTCAGCACACGGAGGCAGATTACCAAGCCCGCTTCAAGGCACGCCCCGAACTGGAAGGCCTCATCGCCCAGATGAACCAATAGGACGCTCGCAGATTTTGGCTTTCTGGACCTCCACCACTGGATTTGTAACACATCTTCAGCAAACGGCGGCCACCTGAATTTATGGATTTCTCATCACTGTCCTGCAAAACGCTGAGAAACTAATGAGATTTTTCTGAGGTTTGAGGTCATGCTCATTTACCGGTTCTGAAATGTATTCAGTCTGTCCAACAAAAAAAGGCCTAAATGATATGATTATGTTCTGTTATCTGACATATAAACTCAGCTGGTTCAAGCCTATTTATTATCAAAAGTTGGATCAGCCACTTATTTGTTGAGGTGTTAAATATTCATAATATGAATGTATAATAATGTCATATAGGCCAAAGTAATTAAGAGTCGACTCCAAACTCTGTACTGCCGCTAGGCGCATAGGCACAAACAACAGTCAGGACCCGTCCGTGCAGCCCACAGTTCTGCAAACTATTTAACCCAGGTTAAATAGTTTAAAAAAAGAAGTCAGACTTTTTTTTTGAGTCCCATTACTAATCTGACCTTCTCATCCCCACGAACTTATCGTCTCCCCTTGGGTTTTGACACCAGGTAAAGATGGGAGATTATTACCTATTTGTTTGCGCACGTTGCTTACTCTCAGTTTAAAGCGCCACAGTCTGTACTGCTTGACCAAATTCGACAGGACAGACGACCAGCGGCGCCACGTTCCTCCCACTGTCCGGGAGACATGGGTTGAAGTATGGGAACAGCGGCTCGGTAAATCTACAACCGCCGTAAGTGTAAATGTGAGTCTTGGCCTCTGCGTCGTAGAAGGACACGGATCCCTCCTCGTAGTCGAGGAATATGCCAACTTTTTGGGGTAGCCGATGCAGGTTGAGGGTGACAGAGGGTCCGGCGCAGGCGAGCAGACCGCCACCCTTACGTCGGCAGATGGCCCAGTAACCGTTAGCTGGGCGGACCGTGATGGAGCCCTTCCTGTTGATGGACTCCCTGGCCACACCAAGGTCCCAGTCCGTCTTGTCCCCAACCTACAAGAGAGTTGACAACCAGCTGCTTTTAAAATCCAATAATACCGGTTTTGTCTACCTTTTTTCTAGTAAAGGTTTATAGATGCAAAGCTACCTGAGCCAGTAAAACAAGAAAAAAAAAGAGCTAGAAACAGGAAGAGCATTTTTTTCTTACAATGTCCCAAATCACCAGAAACTGTTCATTCAAAGCATGTATTTAAAGAAATATTCAAAAGTACAGACTCAATGAAAGAATTCACAAAATGCCCTGCTTCTGGAAGGGAATGCTGGACTTTGATGACATATGGTTCATAAACTGTTTTCAGCTAATATCTGCTGGCCTAAGTAGTGACTCATTCTCATGATTTCAGCCTTTGTTAATGCCGTGGGGACTCATACCTGAACCACCCAATAGCACCTCCCAGAGGAGAACCTTTGTTTTCCCAGAACAGCGACGCAGGTGTCAAACCTCCGGGTGTCGGGAGGAAGAGGAGGCCTCCTCTGCTGGGCGCCCACGCTCACCTGTGGACCACCATAAATGTATTGGTTGAGAACAGCTAATGGCTGAAGGCAAAACACGGCAAAGTTCATGGTCGGGGAACATCCAGTCGCACCTTTTTACCGTCTGGGGATAGAACCAGCCAACCTGCAGCGGTTGCTGGATCCAGAGTCACGTCCACTGGAGATGTGAAACGGGGAAAAAAGGAGGGGAGGGAATTTTAGAGATCATCACCCGAGCGTGACGTGGGATGAACGATGACAAAACTCCTCTTCAAATTGATTGTGTGCAGTATGCTGTCAAGTTCATTCTCATACCTGCATATTTACTTATTTTGTTCACGTCTGCAGAGAAACAGAGAAGAAAAAAAATTCATTGAGTTCATTTCTTGAATCATTGAGAAACTATGTCGGTATGTGTTTCAACAAGGAGGAAGAAAATCTTTTGTTTTACACGTTATCAGGACTTTGTATGTGGGGATTCCAGTTCTGCAAGACAAGGAGAAATCTATTGCTTGTACATCACTGACCTTCTGTGGACAGTTTCTGTTCAAGTTCTTTGCAGATGTCCACCAGCTTGGAGAAAGCTCCCCTCACGGTCCCAATGCAAATGTCCGAGTGAACTCTGACCTCAGACCAGTCATTGGTGGACAGCGGAGCACTCAAACACGGAAAGCTCTAAAACATGGCGCATCGACACAAATGAATTATTTAATGGAGGGAAAGTTACATCTGGGACTCTGAGAGGCTCTCTGCTTTTGTGTTCACGTGTCAGACAGGACGCCACCAGATTCAGCGAGGGCATTTGTCTGGAATGAACTGACCTCGGAGTTAGCCAATTGTAAAACAGCCGTTGTCTCTACTGTCACAAACGGAGGATTCCCACCTGCAGGAGATGAAGAGGGTCCTTGGTGTCCTCCAAGTGTTGCAGCTCGCTGTATCTCCGCTGGAGTTCACTGGTCTCCTCCTCCAGCTCGCAGAGGAGCTCCTCCGCTCTCCTCTCTTCTGCCTCGTGCTTCTCTTCTATCTCCCCAATGAGCAATGCCTGGTATCTCTCGAAGGCGGTTATCACCATTGTGGCGGCCTGCACGCTTGTCTGTATCTCCTGTTCTTTATTTTTCTGCAAATATGCATACCTTGAAATCAACTAAGCAAAAACTCCAAACAGGAACCAGACATAACATCTGAAACATGGCCATCCCGGGGATCGATCGATCTGCTGGCCCTCAGGTCAGAGGACGACTAACATATTGCACCTAACTTTTCGCTCAATGGGTCTCTCGTGCTTCACGGGTGAAGAAAAGAAAGAACAAGCCTTACCCTCCCCAGTTCCAGTGAGCGCTGGATCTCGTCAGTCTTTCTCAGTCGGTCCTGGATCATCTGTTGAATCTCCGCTTGGGTCGTCTTCATCTTTCCCTGAGGAGGTTCAAAGATAAGCATGCATCTCAGTGGACACAGCTGGATAAACACAAGTATAAGGTTCAGCTAAAAGAGAGGGTGGGTGATTTAGTGTCTCAAATCGCTTTGATTTTTCTCCATCCATCCATCCATCCATTCATCCAATTACGTTACTGCTTATTCCCAATTGGGGTCGCAGGGAGAACTGGAGCCTATCCCAGTGGTCAATGACACCCAGGACGGTCCGCCAGTCCATCGCAGGGTCATACAGAGACACACAAGGAAAAACAACCACGCACACTCACTCCTAAGGGCAATTTGGAATGTCAAATCAACCCAAGATGCAGGTTTTTGGATGGTGGGAGGGAGCTGGATAAAACCCAAAGAGAACCCACACAGACACAGGGAGAACATGGAAACTCCACACAGAAAGGTCCTGTTCCCCCGGAACTAGAACCCAAAACCCTCTTGCTGTGAGGCGATGGTGCTAACCACCACACTACCACGCCGCCCATTTTGATTTAGTGTTTTCAAAAAGAAGAGCTCCCCACCTTGATCCTCCTGCTCTCTTTCTCTATGGGGACGACCTGGTGGTGCTTATGGTCCGTCTCGGTGCACCTGGCGCAGACGGGTGTTTGCTCCCTCTTGCAGAACATGTCCAGGGGCTTGTTGTGGTTCCGGCAGAGGTGACTGGCGGCGAAGGTGGCCGGATCCGTCAGCCTGTGCTTGGTCATCACCGGATCCCTCAGGTGCGGGGTCAGGTGGACCTCACAATAGGAGGCCTGGCAGACGAGGCACGACTTCACCGCTGTCGCTCTGTGGTCGCGGCAGACATCGCAAGGGATTTCTTCGGATTTCGAGGATTGCCTCGACGTCTGCCTCTTTGCTGGCACTGGCCTGTTGGCCGATCTTTCTGTCAGAGATCTTGCAGTTATATAGCAGGGGGGGGAAAAAAAAGAAGAACATGTTGGTTTTTAGTTGAGGCTGATTAGAGATACATTCCATCTAAATGTACATGGATTTAGATCCATGTACTTTCAAGATGACTACTCAAGGCTCTTAATCTATATGTAATTCATCATTAACACACCAGATGCTTGGGGTTTCAGAGCCTTGCCCTAGGCCTCTTCGACATGTAGCCTAGAGGAACATGGAGTTGAACCACTGACCCTCCAATCATTGGGCACCTTCCCTGAGCCTCAGCCGCCATCGCTACTCACCTTTTGAATTTCTCAGTGATGTCTTTCAATCCCACGTTGATCCTGAGTTCTGGGCGTCTCAGGAATGTCTCTTTGCACAGCGGACAATCCGGCTGAGGTTTGATGTCCCATAAGTGTTTGATGCATCCCAGGCAGTAGTTGTGGCCACATGGGATGGAGACCGGGTCGGTGAAGCTTTCCAGACAGATGACGCACAGAAATTGCTCCTCCGACAATATGGAGGCCATATTTCTGCCCAAAGAATTACACCACATGACACTCTATCTGTGAGAAGCAGCTCAGATTTTCACTGTGGCTAAAAACAGCCGTTCAGGCCATGCTGCGACCAGTTGGTCTGCAGCCATACGATCGAAATACTCCCACTTGTGCACTATTTTTACACAGTGTTTCAACTTTATCCTCTTACTTTTACAAACTTTACGATCTCTCATATTCTTTTAACTGTAGGCTAATAATAAAGTTTATGTTAGATAACTTGTCCTGTAAATTTAGCCGACTTAATACTGATGGCAAATCAGACAAAGCGATGAGGAAATATTGGAAACCTGTGAAACAGGACTGGGTTCACATGAATACAACCATCCCTCAGGTGTAGCTCCAGGGTATAGGTCAACACCAAGTATTTAGACGTTTCCATTCACGAACTGAGCAGTGCTGCTCTGACATAATATTGTCAGCGTCAGTTTAAGTTGAAATAAACCTTTTTTTTTCTGTTTTTAAATCTGATTGGTAAAAGACAACCTCAAAAATTCACCCCAAAAAATTGTTACCACTGTTTCCTCCTCATGATCTTTTAGAAAAAACATCGTCTGTATCATTGGCGTTAAATGCAAAGTCAGTATTGTCTCAATATAAGAGAGGTTAATATTTTTCACATATGTTCTCACTCTGGAAATTTTCTATTAAATTTAGAATGTCTTACCTGTGTGGAGTCACGGATACTCCTTACTTGTGTTGAACGCAGCTCAAGACAAACTTCCTCTCCCAGGTGGTAAGTGTTAAAAGTTCCCTCCCACAATGGAATGTGCAAAAGTTCCAAACAGGTAAGTCTGGCTCTGAGTCTCAGCTATTTTTACACACCCCCTCAAATTTACAGTAATTTCCTTGTTCCTCCCAGTGCAAACAACAGGCCACTGCTTCTGCTCTTTACCAGTGTCAGTGTTATTCATCTGTCTGTGATGTAGAGCTGAGACCAATAACTACAATCTCTGGACGTTGGCCATCTTATTTTCTGAAACTTAGCGTCAGTGTTGGTACTTTTGATAAGTCAGTCTCTTTCTCTTTCTGTCTGTTTGAGAACAATTACAATTTAAGCTGAATACCTACATAACAAGAGGGGCACAACATCTCAAACCTTCAGATGTTTCACAGCAGTTTAGGCAAATGCATCTGGATATGTTGGGCTAACAGAGAATTGTGTAATTTTTTTAGTATTACAACACATTCTTTTTTAAATTCCCACACTGTTTGCGACTCGATGTGATCGCAAACACATGTTCTGTTCTTCACTTTGCTGGCCTTTCGCTCTGACAGGAATGCCTTTTTTTCCCATTTTTCATCTAACACTTCATCAGTGGAGGTTATCTCATGAATCAAGGGCTAAACTGTGAAAACACAGTCAAATCTGTCAAAGACAGTAAAAGAACAGACTATGTACAGCACAGTTGGAACACATTTGGAAGAAAATTGGAAGAAAAAAAAAGACATAGATCAGGGTAATGAAATCTTCCTCGTCCTTTTGAAGGGTTGTTGGATTTCTTAAGTTCGTATTACCTTGGCACATACAAAAACACCGGGCAAATGTATGACGTACGCTGTTTGTCATCTGATTTCATGTTCGCTTTGTTTTTTTAGTTAGCTTCATAATGTCTTGCTTCAGTTCTGTTTTGTGGTTTCACATTCTCAAACACAGTTTCTGTTCTGGTAACCAGCTCCATTCTGATCCTCGGCTCCCACCTCTCAGTAATCAGTAAGCCGCAGTGTTTAAGCTCTATGTTTTCTCTTACAGCTTGTTGGGTCCTTGTTTTTCCAGTTTAATTTGATTGATTTCCACCAGAAAACAAATTGAAATGCAAAAAGATTTTTAGGATCAACGTTTGCCATCACCTCAAGGGTCCAAAGTTAAACTGAAACCAGATGTTTTGTTAAGAGTGATAATCTGTCAGTTTGCGAATTCATGAAATCAGTCTTTTTTTTCTGGACAGATAATCATGCAGCCCTCAGTGAATTTGAGCTGCAGAAATATTTATTTTGCTTTAGCTCCATCTGCAGGTCAAAGTTGGTTTCTTCATCAAATCTCTTCTTAGTTTCTGTCTGACGCTGCTTGAAGACCATTGACCTCATGAGGAGATGCAGCTGTTCATCAAAAAGATGCATTCTAGTCTTGTTTTTGTGAAGAGGTCATTTTGATGTGAATTCCCAGCAAAAAAAAAACGAAACCCTGAGTTGTTGACCATTTATTGGCTGACTTGGTAATACTCATACAAAAGACACCGTGCAAATGTATGACGTACACTGTTTGATTTTAATAAGAGCCATCAGAATGATAGTTTTCTGGGTCAATACAAGCTTCGTCGAAATAAATACTGTTTTCATTTCATGAGCAGCTGAAATTGGTTCAGCAACACAAAAATTTATACAAGGAGCATTGAATATCTGTTTAACCAAACAGAAACCCCACTCGGAATCCTTAAAAAAACATCGATTTAACACTCAATTAGACTTATTATTCTCATGAGGATTTAGCTTCAGTCTGACCAGACTTCCTAATTCCTCAACGAGCTGAGATGGGATGCGTCAGAAGATTCAAAACGAAGGGATATGTCCATCACATAGCAACTTCTAGGCTGATCCATCTGACTTCAAGGTTCCTAAATGATCGCCCCGGGGATGTTTTTTTACTGTATAAAAAAAGACAGTGACCCCCACGACCATTGCGACACCGAGCCCAACTTTCACCCGCTCTTTTGCCAGGAATTTGAGTAGATACTTAAACACGCTGAGGATGGGCCGCTGCCACGTCTGCCGGTTTCTTTTCAGCATGTCGGGGGTGTAGCGGCCTCCGTTCTTCTCGGCCACCATCTTCTGGACCGTGTGGAGCAGCTTGGACACCTGCGCCTGGTTGTTCCTGTACTGGCCCTGCCGGCCGTTGTCCCAGTGCTTGTTGTCGACCACGTGGCACCGGCCGCCGCACCTCTCCACCACCTCTCTCAGGCGCCGGTTTCCCGCGAGGAAGGCCTCGATCGTCATATCTTCGGACAGCTGGTCTCCGTGGGTGAAGACCACCGTGGCGTGGTCGAACACCTCGTCGGAGAAGCACTCGGCTATCTGCCCGACGACGGCCGACTCCTGCTCGGTGAACTTGTCCACCTTGAGGACGATGATGAAGGCGTGGGGCCCCGGAGGCCCCGAGGTGACGCACTTCTCTATCTCCCGCCGCAGCTCCCGCTCGGACCTCCCCGGGGAGAAGAAACCCGGCGTGTCGACCAGAGCGACGCTTCGGCCACCGACCGTCCCGGACTCCACCTGACAAGAACCTGCGTACGCCGCGGAAAAATGCCGGACACCGAACGCCTCCCTCCCTAACACGGTATTACCCAGGCTGCTCTTCCCTGATCCCGTTTTCCCGAGCAGGACAATCCTCAGTGTGTTTGACGCTAGATGGAGAAAAAAAACAGCCACCATCAGTCACGCTTTCCTTTTCTGACATGAAACCATCACAGTATCAAAAAAATATTTTGCTCAATGTTAATATTCATAATCCTATACATAATAAGGGTGGCTGTTCACCAAACTGCAAGATATTACTACATTTGAATTTAGTCTACTTCTAAATAAGTAGACAAATTGGCATTTTACAATCTTTTCAATCATTTTAGAATGTTTTCAGAAGAAACTGCTGGGAAAGTTAAGACAAGAAAACTTTCCCCAACATAGATAATTAAAAGTAACTAAGGACATGACAGCTGATAAACCTGAAAAAAAATTACTTTCCCAATTTAGATTTTCTTTTTACTTCTGACTTTACTCTCGGCTTGTTCCATATTTACCTCGAATCAGCCATTTTTATAAGTTAGATAGGTTCAAATGTTGCATTGCACACAAAAAATAAGAAAAGCCATGCTTAATACAGTTATTTAGAAATTAAAAACAAACTTAATGGCAGGCAGAGATCAAGACTATGCAACATTTTGAGACAACTGGTTATCAGCTTTTAACAAAGGGAAAAAATCCCATTCCTATTGGCTTTTACAATATAGTTGTCAATCTTATAAATAAACCCAGAAAGATAAAAACAAACAAACATAGAATATTCAGGTTAAGTACATAGCCCAATATCACACCTTTTAGTTAGCTGTGATGTCATCAGTCTTTAGTTCTACGTGAACTATTTCTTATAAAAGTCCATTGAATGATGATTGACCTGTAAGACTAATTATTCTTTTTTTCTCAGGTCCTGACAATATAAAAATCAGTGACTTACAGCTTTAACCACCTTAAAATTGGGCATGTATAGTATGTTTATTTTTAAAAAGATAGCATTTTTCAAACAAGGTTTACATGCATGTTATTACTGGCTAAATCTGGCTTCCTGTAACGTTTTTTTGTTCTTCTTTTTCTTTCTTTTTTTTTGTGGCAGCCATAAACAAATGTAAGATGGCTGCCAAAGCTCTGCACAGAGTAAAAAACAGGAGATCTCATAAAATGGAGACAGCACATTATTAATCCGAGGCTTTCCGCCATGATCAGAGCCGTTAAAACACAGAGCACACTTTAAGTACCTGCAGAACCCATAGACAGTTCATTTGTGGAAACCCCTCGATGATTCATCATGTTTACCAGAGTTCATTTCCGTGCCTTGGGCTAAATGTGCATTGTTTGGCAAAGAGTGAATACAAAAGGAGATTGTAACTCACCATCCATGATGAAGAGATATATACATATATTCTCTCAGTGGGTCGTATAGATCAGTGCCTGCTAACGTGTTCTTTGATCGTGTTTCCTCTCCTGCCGTCTGGCTGAAAACTGGTCTCCGAGCTTAGTTTCACTTTTGACTTGGCTGTGCTCCAAGCACATTTCCACTGATAGACTCGGGTAACAGACAGGATTTAACAGGAAGCTGCCATGTATGGGGATAAATGTTCATTTTAGTCAGGCCCCATTGGAAAAATGAGGAATTTGCGGAATAAAATACTTCAGAATATAAGTCCTGTGTTCCCGTTTTTGCATCTGATATGCTGTTATATTTAGATTTATACATACATATATATATTCATAGATATCTATACTCTTCACTTGTGCAGCAGACTACAGGGGCTTTATCTAAAATTCTAAAAACAGAGTGTAGACTTTTTTTCTGCAGATTTTAGAGAAGGAACTTTGAAACTGGAACTGTAGGAGATAAAAATGAGTCATAGTGAGTGTTTGTAAAATAGGCAAACAAGTACCAAGTTGCTTTATGTGCAGACACGGTCAATCAAAACATTTACCCGGTTTAGCCACTTTTTGATCAGGTTTTATTGGTTTTACTTCACAAAT